TTATATAAATAAATAATATTATACTTTTATTAGTAATATTGTTGTAAAAAATAAGGAAACAGAAATACCGATACTGGTAAGTAAATTAATAAATACATTACATTAATAATATTAATGAGTTTTACTTACGTAACACCTTTGACCTTTTTAAGCAACCACAACTAGGCTCAGACATAACAGAATAAAAATAAATAAATAAATAAAGTTCAGTGGTAGTGCAATATCGCTTGATTGCAAACTTAATTGCGTGAAATATTGAGATTTTAATGTGAATCTTGCCAGCTATTGCTGATTGATAAAGAAAAAGTTTATTTGTCCCTTGGTACTCTTGACACGTGTCGTGGTTTTCTGATTTCATCTTCAAATAAGAAATGGCAAAATGAAATTTCCAAATAGCATTTGCAAAGTGTTAATTCAAAGCTCTTAAAGTGATTATTTACGTTTCGAACCGGCATGGTAAACAAACCCATGAATCACAAAACATTTATTTTTAGTTTCTTTTATGAGTGATAAGGCAGGAAGCATCGGGTGGCAGTAAGACTTAGAGATAATCCAGATAACATTAAAAGACTTGCTTTCCCATACGTAATAAATCTCCTGATGCCTTCAATAAATTCTGCCTTTATATTGGCTCAAGCGAATGGATGCTGATAAAAAAATTATGGGCCAACGTTTGAGATTCATTCTCACCGTACCCCGCACGTACAGCCAATTATTGTCAGATTTATGAACTGCCATCTACAAATTTTTCCTTGCGTTATCACTGTAAGACATGAACGTTCTTTATAAAAATGAAATCAAGTGTCAGTGAAAACTGACTGGGCTTGAAAATACAAAAAAATAAAAATTCTTCCCTTTTAAACATTCACTCTCGATGTATATAAATGTGACGGAGTCGTTTTCGTCTTAAGTAAATCGACTGATCATGCAAGGAACGCATGAACACGACGAAGAGCTGTGTTTGTTGATATCGCTCAGATGAGAAAGAAAGAAAAAAAAGTTAAAATTCTCTCATGTCTCATGTTGAAAGCCAAGTGATAAGAGTATACTTATGACATTGTGGTGTCAATAATTGAATACAGTTTCGAGAAAATTTAACAAATCATCGCGCAATTGAAACATTCGTCATCGATGATGCGAAAAATCAGGCAAAAATTGCTCTTATCACTAAGTTATCAATGCTGGCGCCCGTCAATAGATCATTACCCTCGGAGAAAATGCCATATTTACGCTCAGTTCTCTCATTCTCAACGTTGAATAACGCGACAACACGAAAGCGAAAATGAACACACAGTTTAAGGTTTTTAAGCATTGAGTCTGTTCAATTTTCAATAGCTTGATCAATCGTTCAGATGCTCTGCTCGTAACGAGACGCGGAACTGTGTTAACTCGGAATAAAAAATATTTCATAGCTTCTAATAGAAAAAAAAGAAAATTGATAATTCAAAAATAAGAAGCTTGTACGGTGTCACATATTTACATGAAAAGTTACTGCTGCATTCATTAAAAAAATAAATAGAAAAGAAATCGAATATAAAAAAGAAATTAATGTGACAAAAAAAAAATCATCAGAAATCAGAAATGCAATCAAACTAAAGTGCCTCGAAATTCAATCATAAAAATAAAAAACAAAAATCGTCGCAAATGAGAATATTTTAAGCACAAATCCGAGAAAATTTTTTTTTCAAATTGTGCCAAAAGAAAATCAAAAAGGTTGTGAAAAAATCATTGAAAATCGCTTAATCGTGAAGTTTTTATATTGCTCGGATCAATACATTTGATATTTATACTGTAAGTATAAACAGGAAACTGAAATTGGAAACTTGTCGAAATATCTTATCCTTCTTTCAACATGAAAGCGCAATGTTTAAAAAATCAAAGATCTCAAGTACAAAATCAACATAAAAAATATCAATCATAGTCTCGAACATTCCTTCTTTTTGTAGCGTCTTCAATTGAAAACTCTAAAGATTTTTTTTTGTGTCAAGATGAGAAAAAATGCAGCAAATTGCAATGAGTTATGAAAACCAGAAATCACTTGGATGAAGATAGTAAAAAATGTCACAAAGGGCATTTTAAAAAGCAATTTATTTCTTAATGATAACCCTTCAAGCCACACACAGACCTTTCAGAACGAGAATTGGTCTTTTTAATTCATTACGGCTTTTAAATACACGATTAAGAAAAAGAAAGAGAAATTGTAGAATAAAATGAAAAAGAAAATCTCTCGTAGGCTGGTTCGACGAATTCAAATATTTTAAAACTTCTCGGACTTTCTGGAATAAATTTTCAAAATATTTTCAATTGAATTCATCGACGATGTGATCGAAAACGAAACATTTCTTCGAACTTAAATGTTTTAAGAAACTTTTCTTTTTAAATCCGTGTTATCATTGAACCTTGAAATTGTTTAGTTAAAACAATATCCTTTGAACTCAAACGAACTGCAAGTGTGCGCATGGTGTTTGCTCGTGTAGCTTTTGTTGAAGGAAATAAAAGTGTCGATGGCAATGTCATTTCTGTGCTTATCTGTCTAGGTAGCATTGTTCTCTGACACCTCACTCTTTGACGTTTCATCGCGTTTAAAGTTAACTTGATTAATTTGTTTATCATGTGGATCTTCTTTAAAAGTCTGAAACATTCTTAAAATACGATCGTCAATTGTTGGAGGAACACGTAAGATAAATTTGCTTTCTCACATTTTTATAATTAGAAAGAAGATTTCTGTACGTCCTCAAAATCAGAGGCGTAAAACAGAACGCGTCCACTGAGATTCTGGCACGAGTTTGTGGAACATACGAAAAACATCTTTCAACTTTTTTCCATCACGCTAAATTTTTGAGCCAATTATTCAATTTATCCAAATTTAAAGCGCTAAAGTGACTTTGTTGTTGTATAAGTTTCCATCCAAATATATGAAATAGATAAAGAAAAGGAAAAAAACGGCAAATCATAGGAAACGATTAAATTTATCAATTCAACACTGTAAATTAGGTCGATTAGATAATCTGTGAGAAGTTATCCTTGTGAAACATGCAAATGATGATTCAGAGATATGACATTGCGTGTGTTTGCTTTTTGTATCAACTGACGATTCGTTAACGTAAGTCAATTCTCCCATCACCCAAAAATTATCAATGTAAACGCACTTGACACTCAAATTTCATTACAAACAATAAAAAAAAACAATTATTTAATTTTGAAACTGTGAGACCCGGAATAGAATCATTGAAAAATGACATCTCCATGTCAGTTGTTGACAGATCGTAATCACTCAACAATATTTTGAATGAATGTACATAAATTATGTTACGAGCACATTTAGCTATGAATAAGTTTCATAAAATTGATTTAAAACAGAATTCATTTTTATGAGAGTTTTAAAACAATTTTATGGGTCGTCGTCATTGGCATCACCCTCGAGCCTCTCGTCACTAATTGCACTCGCTGTTATACTATTTTTAACTCAATAGAGAAAAAAGTATAATCGAACAATGCGCGTAAATTCATTTGAATAACTGAAGTAAAACTGTAATAATTTGCAATTCTCATTAAATGAAATGCTTACGTAGTTTCTCATTCTATGAGTTCATTCATCTTCTCGAGAAGAAAATCAGTTTTCGCGATGGCGTTGAAGTAAACATTCAGATAAAGTATAAACGATCTTCTTTTAACATTGAAAATCTCATGAGAAAACCTTTTATGATTGCCGTAAAAAAAATGACCTGAATATTTACGACATGTCGTGGTGATCGTCTGTTTCTGGGGTAAATACTGCATCAACGTCACTCTAAATATAAACATTTAAAAGTAAAGAAAAATCAATGGTGATAAGGAAAGAAAACAAAGGCTTTTATTATCATTAGATTGCATAAAGCTTGGCATGAGGTTCAGCTTATGAAATGAACATGACGCAACTTTTTATTGACTTCAGCTGAAGTTAAATATAAATAGATGACAAAAAGAAAGAAAATTCTATTTTCGCTAAATTTTCTTATTGCTTTTAATCACCGCGAATGAATTTTATAATTGTTATCAATCATTTCTGTTTTTATTGCTGTTTGTTGACATATTAAAGCGTGCTTAGTAGAAATGAATTCACCGGCTTGTCGTGATGTGTTCAAAAAGGTTTATTGTCAATTCACAAATGAAATTATATATCAACAAATAAGTCGACACCACAAATGGTTCTTCTTTTTCCGTTCTGTTATCAATTGTGTTGATTTGCAAATTGCAAACACCGTCAGTTATCAAAAAGAAAACAAAATGTTTTCTAATCATCGGGGGAATCTCTAAATTAAATACAACTACCGATTCATCTTATCAAGAAGTTGTTGTGTGAATGTCTTCTTTATTTTCTTACACGCTCTGGTTGAATGAATAGCGGGAAAATAAAATTAATCAGTAGACAAACCAGTCGAGATTCGCAAGAGTTAAATGTGCTTGACATGCAAAAATAGAATGATCAGTTTTTCGGTGTTGAGCGTTGTTCCTATGCGATAACTTTTTTTATTAGTTTTCTTTGCAAGATTAATGAACTAATTCAATTCCCAACCGTGTCTTAATTTTTTACTAGTTGGAATTCAAAGGGCTTTAAAAATTCTTGCATTAAAACGATGTCAACTTAAAATTCTTGTTCTCAATTTTCTTCTGATGTTCCTTCCATTTGAGCTTAATATTATTAAAATTTATTCATCTGGCCCTGAACTTTTGTGTGCTCCGAATGCATTTGTTTATATTTTCTTGGCACATTGCCCAATGCTATTGATGGCGAAAGAAAGGAAAATTAAAAGAGAAATCACATGAAATATTAATTCAAAATGTTCATATTTAGTATCTAAAATTTCAAAAAAACGAATTAAGATTCTTCCATAATGGTAGTTTAATGATGATTGCTTTCAAGTCCCTAGTAAATAAATGAGATAACTCTGACGATCACTCTCTTGGCTAAGCTTCAATTTTCTGAATCTCTCAACAAATTGAAATCTTGAAAATTATTCGAAAGGAACGTTTTCCGGTTGTTGTTGAAAGAATGAGAGAAAATTTTATTTCTTCTTAAAATATTCATTTTTTTAATGTCTTTTTCATTTTCTTTCTTTTTAGTCAACGACCAACGAAATTCCATCCGTCAAAATTTGTCCCTCAAAGTCAGATTGTTTTCCAGGCCCCAGATCTGCTACAATACCAATGCCAGCTTATTACGATATGCTGGTATCACAAAGTCCTCCGCTTTTTAGTCATAGTCCCCCGACAGGATTTTTATCTGAATATGGCCCAAATCGTTTTTATGAGTCTCCGCGTTTTTGTCGATCAGCGGCAGCTCTGACGCCACCATCAGTCCGACGCTTCCCACCGCAAAGTACACAGCCCTCGTTATATCAGACACATTTACAAAGCCTAACTCCATATAAGCCCACAACATCAAAGCCAAAACGTTCGTGCCTCATTGTCCGATCTGAAGATGCCAAACATGAAACGATCAGTGAAAGTAGTGAAGATAGTGACGACGGGGAAAAAGCCACAAAGTCAAAGAAGAAACGAGTTGTTTTCGCAGATGACAAAGGATTGGAATTGGAACATGTTAAAATAATGTCAGAAGCATCAACTCAACCTCCAACATGGTCTTTGCAGTTTCTGGCGCATGTTACTCAAGGGATGATTAGCCCAGAACCGCATGAACAATGGACAATTGATTTCCGACAACCTGCATCGGATTATCTGGAATTTAGGTGAGATTTCAATCAGAAATATTTATAAAACAGTTATGATAATAAAAAAATTATCATCAACAGACGAAAATTGGAGGCAAACAACGTGTCATTGGAAAATGTTATAATCAAAGAATCAGAATCAACTGTGGTTGGAACTGTCAAGGTGAAAAACTTAAGCTTCCACAAGGAAGTATTTATTAGATCAACCTGGGATAACTGGAAGTCAAAAACTGATACATTTTGCACATACTCACAAATCGTTGGTGCAAGTGGTGCTTATGTGATTTATGATACCTTCTCATTCAAACTCACATTGCCGCCTCATTCGCGCAACCTCGAATTTTGTGTATGCTTTCGTGCTGATGGAAAGGAATATTGGGATAGCAATGGGGTAAGTTTAATTGTTTATTTTTACGCGAACAGTTTATTAACTCAAGTTTTTATATTTTTCAGGGATCTAATTATAAACTCACAAACCGTGTGTCTGCTCAACAACAAGAGAATGAATTGGTGATAAGACTCAATAATGCAACACTTGAAGATAGAAGCAAAAATGTGTCAAATACAAACAGTGATGGTGGAGCGAGTGATCCTATTGAAATGCCAAAGCCCAAATTTGGCTCGTGGTCAGAATTTAGTACGCGTAACCAAGAACCTTTGCCCTACTGGTAAATTTTCTTTTCATCATGTCTCTAACTGTCATCTCGGCGGGTTCCGCGTGAAAGATGAAATTTTGTTGTGTAAAAAATAGTTAAAATCTCAGAGGCATTTTTTGTGAGTGTTTAGGAGAAAGTTTAATTCGATGCAAAAAAAAAACAAAAAGATAAAAAGATAAAAAAAGAATTTTCTCGGGACACATCAGACTCCAACATCATAAGAAAAGTGGCTCGAACCTAATTTGTTCTAAAATTCCGGTAAATACTTAACACTTGATATGATATTTGCTTGATGCTTGGTTTGATTTCTGTTTTCATTGCGTTTCCGGTTCATCTTTGTTATCTAATAATTTTCTCTTTTTTTATATTTATTTTTCATTAATAAGCATTTGTATTGATTTATAATTTTCTGGTATTCTCTTTTTTTTCATTATCATGATTGGCACTTATAATTTGTTCAAATATAATTAATTAAAAATAATTTTAATAGAATGTTTTATGTGTTTTATTTATTTGCACCCCATAATCAATACAATAAGTAACAATCTTAGAATAATTAGCACATTTATTGGAATTTATTGATTAATTGAGTTTTGTAATCGAAGCTTATTTCGAGTGCAATTCAAGCCTTGACTCATATTTTTTGATGCCTCATTAAACTTTTATAAATGTTATTAATACTCTCATCACTTCTCGACCTCTTTGTTGACTTCATTTCTGTAATGAACGATTTATGAAAATCGCATCAATTTAACTAATTTTTTATTTTTCTTTTCTTCTTTATCTTCAGTTCGTCATCTGAGAACAACGGCGTTTGCAGTGGCTTGTACATTTCTTAAACCTTCCAATAAATTTAATTGTCGGAAGGGAAAATCGGCTCAGAAAAAGGAAAAACTTTTGAAAATAAGCTCATTTTTACAACAAACATAAGTACAAAGTAAAAGTTATTCCAATGGAAACAAGCAACAAACATAAAACATTAAATAAGCTTAAAAGCAGGCCGAAGAACGCAATAATATTTTTTTTTATAATTGATGTGATGATAAGTATGGAAGCTCGAGTTCAGCAGCTGACGAAAGGTGCTCGTGATCTTCCTTGATCGGATGCAACATGGAAGTTACACTTAAGTAAACCAGTTTAACAATCGTTGAACAAAATTCTTTCTTTCTTTATTTTTTATTCTCCTTTATAGTAAAGTCTGATTAGTAAAAAACATATTATTTAAATGTTAAGAAGTGCGTTGGTTGAGCTCTATGACCACACGACATGTGCTCAAATTGATCTTGAAATGAAACAATTCTTATTTAAATGAAAATGAATGATTTTGCAGGTCAAATGATATACTCAACTTTGAGACTCGTTTTTTGTATTTAAATTGACCACGTCATGTTATTATCGAGATCATCAAACGCACATATAAAATATAAGATTCATTTAAAAAACTTATAAGTTTTCTGTCAGCTTCTTTCTCTCTATAAGAAAACTGAAAATCTTAGTGGAAATTATATTTAATTAAACATGAACACATTTGAAGCGATAATCGAAGAGACTTGTATCGAATAATTATGGAAGGAAAAGCAAAGAAATTCATAAAGTTTTTTATCAAAAAAAAAAGTGAAAATGAAACGATATGAAAATTGGTTTAGATTTTTGTGTAACTAGAAGACTGATAAATAACTGATAACGCAAGAAAATGGATGTCCATGCATAAACCCTCAAAAACCTTAAGCGGTCCATTTTACATATAAATATCTTTACTCAAATTACAATCACAAAAGTTAATATAATGGAAAAGTTATTCTTAATTTCATTACTTTTTTTTATACTAAATTGTAAATGAAAAAAAACAAACGCAAAACTTATATTCAAGAAAAAAAAGATTGTGAACTTTTAAGAAACTTTTAACCATTTTTATTATCTTTAAAATAAGATTAAGCCATATGTGAAGAAACTTTGAATGTCTCACATTGTAGCATAACTACGTTCAAAATGATTTAACTCACCACGGTGAGTCAAATGCCATGTAAATATTCTTTATTATATCTTTTGTCTATTTTGCTGTTGAAGAGTAAGAAAAGGCTCGTCATGCAAAACATTTTTCACATTATTATCATTATCAAACTCAATACGCTATGTTATGTAACTTCAGAAAAGTAATAAAGAAACAGTTATGTTATATTTTTAATTAATTTAATTTAATTATTTTATTGTTTTATTTCAGATACTGATATATTTGTACATTTCATGTTATGGCAATTTTAAATTTAGTGTAAGTTAGGAAGAAATTATCTGGAATATTTCATATCAAGATGACAGCCAGAAAACTTCTTCAATCCAAGTTTTAATCATTCTATGAATTTGAACTTGTTGCATGAATTTACTGAAGTGTTTTATTATTTAAATTCATTTGTTTATAGATTGGATTCATGTCAGTGTTATTGGATTCATGAGATGTGTTAAGCAACTGTGATAGTTCATTCTTCACATCCATTACAGCATCAAATATTTCTCTCGAATATTTAACTTCGAAACGTGATGACTTTCTTAGTGAATCAATATCAATGCAATCTGAACACAGACAATTGTTAAAATAACACATTTCAAGATGTTTCTTTCCAAATTTAGACACAACTCCATGGACTCGGCATTTTCTGCATTGCTTCTCCTTTCTTTGTTTTCCGTGAGTTTCATCAGAAGAACAATGTTCGTTAAGGAAACATGAAAACTTTCGTTTTCTCTGAATTTCTCTTGCCGACTTCTCCCTTCTTTCCTTTGTATTTTTGCAGTCTAAGCAAGGTTCACCAAACGAATCCAGATGATCTTGTTCAAATTGACAAGGAGAATGACCAAAACGAATGACATCAATGCCATGGTTTCTACACAATCTACACTTTTGTATTCCACGTTTCTCTTTTATCATAGACATGACTGAAACAAAAAAATCACATTTACCGGTCGTTATTTTATTTCTTTCACTGATTTCTTTTCACTTCACTTATCTCATCGATTTAAAACTTTAAAGTGTATGAAATTAAGTTTGCCTATTTTATTAAGAATAAGAATTGATTATCGATCATTTAATGATATAATTTCACAAAAAGAGATAAGATAATTCACATCTACTCATAAATAATTCAATAAATGAAATTTTACAGAAGCTTTTAAATTTATTTTTAATTGAAAGAATAAAATATTTTTCACCCACCTGTTTGTTCTTCTCCAATCTTCTGAATACTAACTTTGAAAAACGTTTGATGGTGAAAATCATCATAGCGCCAAAACAATTTCTTATCTATCAAGTATTTTTGCACTTTACTACTCAAAAGAATTTTTGTATCTATTTATGATTTTTCAAAGAGAGTATTAAGATAAATGGGCTTCACACAGGTGTACACTCGAAGCTTCACACTCAAATGTAAATCACAATATCAAGAGTGGCTTTAAATGTCAAATATTCACATAATGCATGCAATCTTGCCTATCACCAAAAGCTTAAAAGAAAATCACAAGTTGTGATATCAAAACCGAGAACCGATAACCGGCTGTTTTTTTCGGTTATTCGAGTACTAGGTTAACCGAGATTTCTATCGGTTAACCAAAAAATAACCGAAATTAGCGAAATTTACTCCTATAAAAATTTTTTTTTTCACAAATTGTCTCGTTTTTTGATTATTCTTGAATAAAAACGAATTAAAGTTTAGTAAAATGCATTCTTTCCTTTAAAAATAATTTATTTTTATAAAATTGTCTAAACATTTAATTCAAAGATACTAAAAGCCAAAAAATCTTTTTTTTGAAGTTTTTGTATATTTTTGAATCAGAAACAAGCAAAATGCAATAAATGTACTAGGGAAAGAGTGGAAATATGCATATTAAGCATTCTTTTTAATTTTTTGTGTTGAAAAATCAAATTTTTATCATTATTTTACTAGGTTAACCGAAATCTTAAAAATACCGGTTAAAAAATATCTATAATCACAACAGAGAATCCTAGAAAAATCCATTTGAAAATGAAAAATCGTTCACAAGTAAAAATGGGAAAACAAAAGCATATGAAACCAACAAGAAACAATTTTGAAAATAACCATAAAAGCATAACAACGCAAGAGTTTTGATGCTTGAATTTAAGAGACGAGTAGAAAATGACTTTGTAAATATTCGCATCCAATACTGTTGACGCCTTTTCACTAAAATATTCTTTCACAAGTTTTCAGGATTCATATGAAATGATATAAAGAAATGAAAGACATTGATATGTTGTGAAAACGATAGCTTTGATGGCATCCGACTCTTTCTCATATCGAAATGATGTTGAAAACTACAGCAAAACTTTAGTTTCTGAGAATGTGAGTGGAATTTAATGTGAAGGCTTCCTACTGAAAGTAATCCCATCACAACCCTATACAAGAAAATCCTTTCCTTTTATATACATTCGAATTTGACAATTCAATATATTTCAGATTCAATATTAAAATATATTATAACATTATTCATAGCTCAATGGTTCAATGCGTATGATTAATAGCTTAACGAATGCAAATTTCAAGTTTTCCTTTAGAATCTGCCAATGATGTTTGAATTTGATATTCACACTTTTGAGAATTACAATTTAATAGAGATGACAACCGATTGTAACTTTCCACATGATTTCACTTGTAATAATTATAGAAGTTCATAAGTGATCATAAATTATAAGTTCATAGTGAGTGTCTTTGAACTTGAGTGCGACGAATTGAAAGTCTCTCTGGTAAGCTATCATTTAATTCCATCCGTCGATGAATTATTGATTTAATTCTTTGTCCACAGTCTCGGCTCTGCAGCGCTCTTTAATAGAAGTTTATTCGATCAGGGACTAAACTTCACAGATGGTGTGAAATAAAAACAATATCTGTCCAAAGAATGACGTCATTACATTGAATTGTTTTTCTTTTCTCGCCCTATAATGATGAGGCGAAACGATGGAGAGAAAAGTATTAAAATAACCATAAAAGTCGATATCGATGAAAGGAAATCGAAATTGAATGTTTATGTATCTTTACAACTTTTCCCGTTCCCTTTCTCATTCAATATATTTATATTGCTTGTTATGCACTTTAAGTTATGCTTAAAATAAGGGGAAATTTATTCCTAGAAAGAAATTTTTCGTACCAACTGTCTGGCAAACAATTCGAAAAAGAGATGTTAACCATGTTTTTCACTTAGAGCGAATTGTTAGTGTTTGAACTTCCAAGTGTTCGATGTTTTGAATCGAAAAACTTCAGGAGCTTTAATAGTGACAGCTACATTTAACTGTTTCCTTCCATTTTTTATTAGAAATGAATCGGAAGTTTTAATTTTTCATTGAACGTTTTAATTATCAATTGTCATTCAATTTTTGCCCATGAAGCATTCAAACACATATCGAAATGCAAGTCGAAATGTTTATTTCAAGGTATTGCATTGAAACGTATTTAGAATGGATAATAAAATGAAATGGTTTATAAATTAAACATCATAAATACTTAAATAAAAAGCTTTTTATGGTTTTTTCGGCATCGACTTTACCCATCCCATTTGTCACAAAATATGACATAGCAAATTTAAATACAGGCATGAAGAACCCAAAGTGAAATGTCAAGTCTCATCAGTTCGCGATAATCATTGTGATTGAATAAAGTCAATTTGTTTTGAAAACGATTGTTGAATGTTTGAGCTTTAATGTTGAATGTTTTGTTGTCAGATTGACCGCGCATGACGAAAACATTCATTTCAATGACAGCTTTGACTTCCCCTTAATTTTGGAAGAGAATTTGTTGCATTCTTGCCGGAAAAATGTATGTTTCCGCAAAATGCTACATGTTTTCATTCATCCAATAAGTTGGTGGGGATACGGACATAAAGGAGATATGAGAAGAAAGCAATTGTGAAATTCAGTTCATCGTTGAATCTCGTTCGGCGTTGAAAGCTCAGAAATCTGCTGCTCCAGTTATAATAATTTTATATAAGAATAAAGAAGTGATTCGGTAGTTTATTTCTGTGGAAATTCGACTAAGAAAAAAATTAAATTTGCAGTGTGCATATGAGTTTGTATTAGTGCACGATAAAAATTTTAATAAGAAGATTTGAAGGCTTCAATAAAGTGAAGAACAAAACCTTTATCAATCAATCACGGCTAAAGTATAAGCAGTCACTCAAATAAATTGTGTCAGCTGGAAAATAAGGCAAGAGGAATTGAAAATCACTTCATCAATCGGAGAGAGGATAAAAAGTATGAAATCTGGATAAAGATTATTTTTCAATATTCCTTTGAGATTGTAATGCATTGTCATGTGAAATGAAACGCTTTGAGATGAAAATGAGATAAAAAATACTGTCTTTGTATCAAGAGATTATAATGGGAAAAGGAAGAGGTGGAAAAAGTATAGCGAAATGAAAATAATGATTTTCCTACACAAAACTGAAAGTCCACATACATTATATAATTTTTTTACTCGATTTTTCTTTTTCTCATCATGAGAAATAATTGAATTTTGTGTTTTGTTTGTTTGTTTTGAACGATATTGCGAGTGTTCCGGAAAGGACGTTTGTAAATGGTTATTTCATTTCAACTACATAAATTTGCTCATTTTCATTTTGCCAATGCGACAGTGAGAAATTGCACAATCCTAAAATTCATATTTCAATTACATAATCGAATGAACTTCTTTGCTGGTGAAACTTCATTCAAACAAATAATGATGTTGATGACTCATGAACAGTATTTTTGTTCTTGTTTCTAACTCTTTTGATCGCGTAATGCAGATTACAATTTTCTTCTTTCTTTTTTCCCCCCTTTTTGTTGGTTTTCTCTTTGAATGAATAAATAATTTCCATTCAACTTTTTCTCTTGAGTAAAATCATCAAAACTCGTAAGTTTACTGTAAAAACTTTCTCTTTTCTGATTAATTTGGAATTGACAAGCTTTTCATGTGCTTCCGCTTGAAGGATTAATTAACATAACTGAATATCTGTCTGCTCATTTTATTTTTAGCTAAATTTTTATTTTAACAGAATATAACCGTGGATATGATGAAAGCTGGGAGAGATTTTAATTTCAGAGATATTTTAAGAGTTCGACTTGTAACGAATTCTGTTGAGATTACTGACTTGAATACGAAATAAAGAGAAAAGGCTTAGAACACGGTGATGCCTTATGCACGCTTTAATGAAACTTTTTCTGTTCTTTGTTTTATTACAGTTTCAGAATGACTGAAAAAAAAGCGACTTGCTGGTTATTAAGTCGCTCATACAATTGTGAAAAAAAGTCGATATGGAATTTTAATTTGCGCTCTTTCAACTGAGTTCTATTGTTAAAAAGTCATTAATTAAACAGCTAAGCTCACTCCTTTCAACAAAAACTTTTGTCTTCGTAATCCCGTTGAATTCATCTAAAAGCTCACTCATATATGTGTGAGAGCTAAGTAGAGAAGAGTCATGCCGAACATTTCAATGAGATATCAATTTATTAAGAAAATCATTTTGATGAACCTTAACAAGCACTCTCATAGCAGTTATCAAGTGAAGGCATTGTTCATGCAATATTTGTAAAGACAAGAAATTCATTTCTGAATCACAGAGTGAACTTTTAATAAAAACATTCCTCACCGAAAGCTTTTGCACTCACTGAAATTTCTTCCACAAAACGAACTAAATAATTTTACAAACAGATAGATGTGGTTTAGAAATATCATTCTCTGAATTTTGAATGGAATATATTTGAAATAGAGTTAGCAACTGTAGCTTTTGCAGATAACGATTTAATCACATCAGCTAACCACCCATTCCGGACAATGCCAAAAAAAAACCTCAACCAACCATTGTATATGATACAGAAGTGGAAAAAAATGTTTCGGAAATAATTAAAATTCTATCTAAATTGTGGGTGGTACGAAAAGCTGTACTTGAATATTTCTCTCAAACTCTTACGACATTACAGTCACTGTATGATTTGTGGCTTTTACTATGCTAGAATTTTCGATCCTTTCTAAGGTTTGGTATGAAAAGTCAGTCTAATGAAATTTTCTCTAGCTTTATAATAACTTTTTCATCCTGAATACCATGGGAAGAAGAAATTATAATTAATTTTTAACGATCATTCTTACTGAAACTGGAAGTGTTGGTAAATCTTGTGATTAAGTTTTACTTCAGTGATTTCTTTTCATCTACTGGAATGTGTTTTCAAGATACATTTTAATTTGCGGTCGATGCATTGGGGAAGTTGGTTTTCTGGTCATCGTTATTGCTCCGTTGGGATGCGATTAGTTTCTTGTTATTTTTTTTACAGAAAGCATAGAAGTATCTGAAAATGAACAAATTTTACTTAGACAAATATTTAAAATTTTCATCTTAATTATTTTCTGATAGTTTGCAAACAACTCATCCTTTTGAGAGAGCTTAGAAATAAAGTTAGAGTGAAATTTATATAAAACAGATGTAGAGAAATTTAAGAGCAAGTGGATTTAGAATTCTGATAATTTTTCTTTATGAAGAGTCTCTTGAGTGCAGACCGGAATGCTTCAATACCACTAGAGAAAAAGTTTAATTTTGCTAGTTTTAAACAAAAAGAAAACTTTTGAAGAGTTGAATGAGAAAAATTTTGGCACCAGAATTCATTTTCATGTCTAGGTTATCATTATTAACTTTCAGTATTTTGCAGATAAAATTAAAATCGGTTGCATGATTGAAATGAGATTGAGTGAAATACTTTGGTAGTTGATAGTTGAAAGAGGTTTCATTAATTATATTTGGCTTTCAAAAGTCACTATTCAAACTTTATGTAACTTTCAATATGAATGAAGAGAAATCGATGCAACAATACTTAAAGTGACTTCGATGAATCATTTAGTCATAAAAAAGTTTTCATAATGAATGGGAAAAACTAATCAAATTTGCGTTTCTCTCCCTCTCGCCTGAAAAAACATTTACTGGCGCCAATTTTCTTTTCACCCCTGAGCAAATCGATTCAGCAGACGAGTTTTGGCTTTTCAATTATTCAAGCGATAAAAAGAAGAACTTTTTTCTTTATGTTTATGTGTTTGTAAGAACTGTGAATTGGTAGAAGACAATTAAGGCTGCATATCCTTATAAGCACTGAAATGAACTTGAAAAAACTTGTCTCTTTTTTTCTCGGGTAAAATAAGTTTTGGGTCGACTTTATGGAACGACTTGGAGACGTTAAGCAGACAATTTTTAGTCCCCGACATCCGACATACATACTTGTATAATAAATCAATATCATGAAACTATTCTTGGTTTTTGCTTTATATTCCAATTGAGATTTGTCGAATAACTATTACGGAAACGAGACTTTCCTAAGGATTTTATTGAACTTCTTCTGGTACTTGTGCAAAGTTTTCTCAAGGCGAATGAAAAATTCAGTTTCTGGTGGCACTTGAAGAAGGTTTTTATCTGTTAGAGATTCCTTTGTAAGGATGCCTTCATTTCAAATCGTTACAATCTCCCAATGTGAGGTTATCAGGCTGAGAATATGTGAAAAAGACATAAGTGTGGGTGGAACATCTGTAACATAAATCATACAAAATAATATTGTGACAAGATGTTTTGTTAATGCTTTTCCTTTTCATTTTCTTTTCGAATTGTAATGATTCAGGTTATGCAAGTCCCTCATGTCGATGGCAAAGTAATTTGAATGAAGGCAACGAAGTAAAACTGGAATAAATAAATTGTAACAGATAGGTGAGTCATATAAGATTTTACTACCAAACGTAACGAGTTTAAGTGACGAAGTTATTTGCAAATGCTCCTGACTTTCATGTTCGTATGTATCATGGAAATTCCCGATATTACGTTTTGTATGTTTCACTTATTTTAATCATTAAATCACCTTTAATATCTACATTGAGGCATCGAATTCAATGACTGGGGAGTGTGTTTTATGTTCATTCACGTATATTGTAAAAATTTAAAGGGGAGAGAATTATTAGATATGATTCAAAGAGTAGAATGAAAAGTAAAATCAATAGCGACATGCAATAAAAGTTTATTTTCATGTTTAAAGCCTGACCTTTCAACCCAATAACAGCAAAAAAGCGGCTACATAAAAAGCAGAAAGCATTTCAACGTTCTCATTAGTTTCACAACCAAAAGAGTTTGAGTTTGTTGAGCTTCTTTTCAGCTTATTTCCATTTAAATTGGAGCAAGAATATGTGAAACAAAAAGTTGCTAAATGACGATATTCCGCTTAAATCCCCCAATGGTATACAATTTATGAGCTTTATGTATTTGAAATCCCGGCTGTAATTTACTGAATACAACCTCAAAGAAACATTAAATTAAATAACCATCATTTCCGTATGTTAAATCCACAAATGGGCGTTTAGTTTCCTTGTCATTTTTTCATTAACTGTCAACGGCTGAATCACCATTTGAATTATTTCGATAATAGGATGTTGTTGTATTTAAATTGACGACTCATTGGGGAATTGTTGATTATTATGTTGTAAAGCTCATAAGACTTTTTTATGGTTATTAATTTTGGATATTTATGTTGCTGCAAGTTTTGCAGTTTATGTTTGGCCCGATAGAAAATTTCTTGACTGAATTAGAAAAGGAAGACATTGTGGAATATTTCTGGTCAATTGATTCTTTTTGTATGCTGAAGTCGGTAATCGTTTAACTTTATTCCTCTTTCTATCTAAGAAGGGATGCTTAAGCCCAACAGATAAAACCTTTTTCAACCTCAAAAATTGAAAAAGTAGATAATATTTTGAATTATCGATGAAGAAGGAAATAAAATGACAATAAAGGTCCAACGAGTCAAGCAACGAGTGACATGAATATATATATAAAAGTTATCCGTCGTGCAGCGACTGCTATTGATTTTTTTTGGAGAAGAAAAACGAAATTTGGTTTTCAGCCTCTGCTCTGAATATAAATGAATTTTTTCATAAGCCCAATGATTATTAATAAACCCAAATTTTGACAAGCGGTAGATAACTGAAATTAGAATGATTCAAGGTTGATTGAAACCGAAATCTGAACTCTTTTTATTTATTTCTCTCGTGTGAATTTTTTGACGAGTCAGCATCGGTTGAGAAAAAGAAAATATGAAAAAGTTGTATTTCATTTTGAATAAGATTTTCACTTCACGAATGGTTAGAAGCTGATAAGTAGCTTGAAACATCGAACGAGGAGAGGGAAGAATCTATAAATTACATATTTTCATACTCAACATTTTAGGCAGCTAACGACATTTCATTCTCTCCCTTGTTTGCACTCGCTTCGCTTTTGACAACAAAGGAATTTATTTCTATGCTGTTTTTCCTTCGCTTTTCGCAGTACAATAATAAAAATAAACAATGAAAACTGGAGCAAAGTTTTTCCTTCCAACATTTTTTACGTCTTGACCTCACTTCAAGACCCATCACAGTCTCCTCTCCTTTGGTATTTGTTTTGTGTGTAAACAAAGAAAAAATTTCAAATTGTGATTTGTTAAAAAAAAGGGAAAAAACTTTCAGGTTCCCTGTCAGTGGAAAGTTTACAGAAAGTTTATTTCATTCGAATTTTAAGATTCTTTTAGTAATCGAAAAATATTTTCATCTCATTTTAACGACAAGGGGAGAATTATCTCCAACAAGTTTATAATGTTTTTAAAGAGGGTTTGAAAGTGAGACAGTACAGGGATAAGAGTAACATAAATTATGAAAAGGATTTTGCTTTTCAAGTAATTGAATTCGAAGAACCTTCGTTTCATAAGGAATAAATTTGAAGACGCAATGAATAACTAACTTTCTCGCAAACTTCGTCTTCTTCTTTCTTCATTTGTAATTGATGTGAATCCACAAAATTGTTCCTTCAAAAACTTCCGGTTTTGAAAACTCCACAAATGAAGAATTCTGTTTGTTCTTTGAGATCCTTTCTCGGTATTATCACTTTTCACCTCATTAATTCTATACACTTCATCTACATATTCCACAATCTATCTTCTTCCCTATTACTTGCTTTTACCTTTTTCATACCCTCAGAACATATGTAAACATTTACAGTTAAACTTTCATAGCTTAGATATTCATGGTGATTTATAAATGTTTTATTTTAATTTTTATTCAAAAATTGAAAACCCATTTTAATGGAAGCGGAAATTCTTCTACTTTGAGCAAAAAGAGAAAAATTATATTAAAATGGTAAAAGGAAAATTTCCCCAAAGGGCTTTTATGCTGATCCATCGATTGAAGATTTATTTATCATATCGAAGTAATTGATTCAAGAAATTCAAATTAGTTTTAAATGATGGTTAGATATTCACCGATTCTTTGGAATGATAATTTAATTATTAATCCAGAAAAGTTAAGAGATACACAATATTTATTCTTTTGTACAATGAAAATGAACTCATCTCAAATACAAATAACTATAAATTCAAACGAATTTGTAGTTGATATTTATGATATAAAAGAAGTGCTTGTTTAAATTTATCTTCTTGTTTATGAAATGCGGCAATCGCAATAATTTCCCAACTCGGTAATAAAATGTTATGACTCCCACGCACACACATATATCTGTTTTATTCTTACATAGAATGATATACTTTCTTGTTCAACAACTCCAATAAATGAGAAGCAATAGATCCTGATTTGAAATCCCTTTAATATCCATTTCCGTTTAAAAATGTATCATTCTGTAAATCATCGAGGGTATTTGTTGTAGATGCTAACACACAATTCCATTTTGATCCCGAGTCAAGAAAGAAAAATACACAATGCGAACTAAAAAGATCATTGGGTCGGAAAAGCTTTCTCTCTTAAAATCCGGTCAGAGGGCGGTGAAGGGTGAACTAAGGGAGATATTCGTATGGAAGACCAACCATTAAGGGTAAGAAATATAAAAGTAAGTTTCAATACTTTTACATGTGTAGTTCATGAAAACGGACATTGAATAAAAAGAGAGACAAAAATAGAGAAAAAAAGAAACGAATTAAACGATGTCAAAACGATTTCTTCGTTCACCCTGTAGAATCTAATAAATTTTCATTTATCATGATGCTCTTCGAATGGTACGCAAAACGAAGAAGAAAGAGAATAAAAAACATAAAAGTTGCGAAGCAAACAGAAAAAATTCCCAGTTTAAATGTTTATTGTATTTTGCTGCTTTCTAACTGTTGGGGGAGGTTGATCTATTGACGATGAAGACGATTGATTTCCATGTAAAACTCATTTCATTCTGTCTCGTTGCTGGGGCGAAAATGTATTTCGTGTTTGGCTGTCTAAAGCTTTTCCATCTGACACGAATTGTCATGAATTATTTAGAAAAGAATTTAGGCAAATCAACTTTTTCTCCACGTTTTTTCTTTCTTTATTCTTGTGATTTCTTCTTTTATGGACAGCCTTGATATTTAACTGACATTTGATGAAGACGCATCCCTGTGACTTCATGAGAATTGAATTATATTCTCGTTTCTCTCTTTTCCTTTTGCTTCTTCTCGTTTCAACTCACCCTTCATTACATTATGAAATTTTAATAAAAATTCCTTTCATTTTATTTAAATATGAACTGGCAGCTGAAGATGGAAAAAAATCTAAAGAAAAATTCTCCATTCAGAGTCTCAATATCCTTGGCAGTGATGAGAAGATGGAAAACATCCAAAATATGTCTCTGTTCTATTTTATTTTTCTGTCAGTAACAAAATGAATTGGAAGCAAAAAGGAAATCCAATTTATTCACGAAAGAAAACAAATCCAACATTTATTGCAATTAAAAAAGTTTTGTTGAAAGTGAATGAAATGTCATCCAGTGATGTTTGTTTTTGTACGATAACACGACAAGATATAAACTGCCTTGGAATAAAATTTATTAGACTGAAATTGTTTTCTTTATCTGATAAAATAAATTATTGAGATTATCGTTATCTTTTCATTTAATACCGCTATAGCAATAAAGATTATCCTAGATTAAATATTATTTACTCTGCAAAGTACATGATATCAATAACGGCCGTGCTATGATAGCTAAATCGCTTTGATTTAAGCCTCTTCATTTGAATTGCTTATCTCAGTCTTCGTCAGCTTTATAAAAAAAATTAAAACAATAATAATTTATCATCCCTCGGACAAATCTGGTAGCAGCTTTTAAACGAGGTTAATTGTTTTATAAGCCGATTATGGTTTTATTCTTGTTGTTGTTGTTGTTATTTTCCTCTCCCTTTGTGGGTTTCGCCAATATGAACCCATGGAATTTGGTCTACATACATACATCAATAAAAAATGAAGTACTTTTTCATTCAGAATCCAATCAAACGATACTCGATGTTTTTCAACTTCATGTGAAGTCGAACAACTGAATGATGATCTCAACAGTATTTGGATATAACAATGAATATGAAACTATTGTAATGCATGCAGTAAATCATCTCCCAACTGTTTTTCACGATAGTTTTCATGCATTTATAAACAGTTTTTGTTTGCATTGTTTTAGCGTTGATTCTGCCAATTCAATTGCCATCTGTTCTCAGCGGTGATAATGGAAAAAGCTTTTTATGAAATAGATTAACTAGCTGTGCAGTTGGTCCCGATGTTTTTCATTAAGCAGGAGATTTGACGGCAATATGAGTTAAAGCATAAAAATAATTCATTTGAAGTCGAGGAAAAAAAAACTTGTTTGTTTGAGAGCACGCAATTTGTGGATGTTACAAACGCAAAACAAGCATTTGCATACATACACGTACCAAAACAAACGAGACATGATGCAAAAGCTTTTAATGAAATATGACCAAAAGGCATTTCGATGTGGTGTCAGGAATGAATCATGTACCTGACATGCTTTAAAACTCTTCACTTTTGTTTTTATTCAAAGCAATTGCGGTTAATTTCACACTTCATTAGTCAAATTCCTGTATAATGATTATAATGAAATTTATTAACGTCGTTTTTGATTGAACGGTAAATTTATTAAATATTTTACATTAAAGTTAAACATTGAAATTTTGTAGGCATAAGAAATTAAAAGCAAATCAACGAAGGTATTAAGTTGGTTGATCTTAACGACAAACATTGCCTGATAACCAAAACTAATCTCTTAATAATCACTTCAGGCAGCCTTGAGATTTATCTTTAGCCGCCATCTCGACACCACCGCAAATTGCTAAGAAAACATCTTTAATTAATATCTTTCCTAAATTTTGTCGAGAACGAACATTTTCATTTAAGTTTATATGTGGTTGTAACGTTAAGGAAAATTTATTGACTTGAACTTGCCCAACATCAAAATAAATTATAATTTGACTTAAGGATTTCTTTATTTTTGTTTTTTTTTGCTTGTGCCAGCAGGAAGAGTTATTAAAACATTTCGTTTCTCTTTCTGTTAAGATTAAATTGGCGCAAAGCAATTACTTGCTCATTAAATATGGGCTTAATGAAATGGAAAGCGGAAGATAAATCGAATTGAAGCGAAGCATAAAGTCTTAAAAAATCTTTTTTTTTCTTCCTGTACCCATGGTGAAACACATTTCAAACGTGAACGCTTTCAATTTTTGGGGGCTTCCGCTAATGGAACATGGGTTGAAGAGTGGAAGGGTTGGAATTTTCCTCTCGAAAAGCTTGAAGTGTCATGGCGGAATGTCTTTAGAGGCATATAATTAGAACTCAGTCTTGTGCTAAGTAGTCAAAGAAGTCGAAGAAGATTCTGACTCAAGAAAAATCAACAACGAAGAAAGTTTGAATTTGTTGGTAAAGCAAACTTCCGAATTTCCTTCCAACGTGGAGCGTTTCCGATAAATGTAAGGAAAATTACTGAAATTATTCGAATAATTCTTTTAAGAAAATTCTTTCTCGAAATGATTAATCTTACGAAATTTATTTTATCTCGAACGGAAGAAAAGCACTTTTGCCGATAATCAAAATTAATTTATTCAATCTGTAGACCCGCCACGCCACAGACTTTTTCCCTCGTTTTATTAATGCTTTGAAGTTTCTCTTTTGCGAACCAATGACAATTATCCAATTTCCATGGCAGATTTTCAATTCTGAACATTGTTTCCCCTTCGCTCCAATTACTACCGTACGCATTTTTATTTCAATTAAATCTCAATTAATTTTATGGTCTCGCGTTGGCATCACATTTAAATTTACACAGCATCCCATCGAAAAGACTGGTAAACAAATTTCAAATTAAAAGAATCATTTTACACGTTTTACGTTCCGTCACTCCCTTGCTTTCCATTTAACAATATAGCGGATGCTGCTTTTAAAGTCGTCGTTAAAATTTTATTTAATTAAAAATAAAGCTTTTTGTAGTCAGAAACGCAATGTTATTTTAAAATGATGGCAGAGAGAAAATGAAGAGACATTACTCAGAAGCGAAAGCAAAAGGTCTTATCCAACTAAAACGTCAGATGTTCAAGCGAGCGATAACCTTCGTGATAATTTCTTGTTATCCTTTCGAATGTTACATAATTGCTTCGAGCGTCAGTTTATTTATTTTACGACAACGATGTTTTTCAATGGTTCAGCAATTTCACAACGCCGCTTATCAAAGTGTGAAATCTTTTTAATTCGTTTTAATTTCATTGACTAGATTTTGTGTTAATCTCTGCGTTAATCTTTTTGATGGGAAATTACGAGCTTTTTCGACATCGTGTACATTTATTATTCATGAGAATTTCCCTTACATCAATATCTTTGATGAGGAAATTTTGATTTGGTTGAAGTTGATGTTTTAATTATTGTAAATATTCAACGAATCGATAATAACGGATAAAATTCGTTCACTTCTACAGAAAATTTCCATGAAATTCAAGCGTTTTAAGCCACGTTTCGCCATGTTTCTCCTATTTATGCAAAACCTGGCAAAAACCTTAAACTAAAAACATTTTCTTCCGTTTTGACTGCATTGCCACAACGTGAGAAGAATTCAAATGAGAACGAATCGATGCCAACAACATGAATTGCTTAACTTTAAGCATACGCTGCTATATCAAGAACATTCAATGAAATTCATTAACGCTTTCACCCTCTTAAAATCTTTTACTTCACATCATAAACCCCTTCAACAAGGGAACTTAATTTCTCGACGCCTTTTTTATTCCTTTTACGGAAGAACATACTTTACTCTCAACTCGAAAATTATTTCTCATGTTACGCAATATGAACAAATTCATAAATTGTGGGTGGAAGCATCGAACCGTTTCAGTCACCCAACCGCTGTCTGGTTGAAATAAAAAATATAATATTTTTTAACGATGTGAAGTGTTCAGAGTGTTTCGAGACACATTTTCGCAATTTTCGTATGAATCATAAATTTTTGGTGTTGTATATTTAGACGATATCATGATTCTTCTGACATTAAAATGGAACGTACGTTGTCTATTCCAACCACTGGTCGACTACATACGTGGTAGCCTAAAGCGTGTTGATGTTGCTTGATGGAATTAATTTTTGGTAATCTCAATGATCTATAATGGATCATTCATAAATTCATTTATGTTAATGACATGGGGGTTGCTTCTGATCCCTTGGAACTTTCGTTGAAATATCCGTGATTTGTGATGCTTGTCGGAGTAAAGGATTTTGGGATAACATTGAATTATGTAAGTGAACAAAACGTATAAACTGGAGGAAAATAAAGATTACTTTTATGACTCTCGTCATGTGTTTTTAGAATTATATTTGGGGACGCGTTGAAATTTATATCAAAAGTATTCAAAGCAAAAAAAATTAATTTAAGGATGAATAAATTGCAACTTATTTTGCCTCATAGAAATTCATATTAATCTCGTCACCTCTTGATGACCTTCATTGTGATTTAAAGGATAATTAATTAGTTAAATTTTTCATACATTTACATAAGCTTTATAAGATTTTTTTTCTGAACAAAGCGGAAACGATAAAGAAATAAAATGAACAAGGCGACAGCACGTTGGCTCATAAAAATGAATTTGATTTTAAGTCCAACGACTCCGTAAGAAGCGTGTCATTTGACGAAAGCTTAAACTTTCATTCTCTCGATTTAAATGCCTCTGATGACGATGATGAATGAGACAAAATTCATTAAAAAGAATTTATTCAATCGACCAACTTTTATCATCTTTTACAACAGAGTAAAAAAATGTAATAAATATGAGACGTGAAGAAGACCAAATAAAGAGATCAAAATAAACTTTTTTTCCGACGTATAAAATAAATTGTTTGACGTCCTTCATTCTAAGAACGAAAGAAAAAATGTCGTAAATTTCTTTCTTTCCTTCTTAGAAGAAAAGTGACAAAATGTCGCCAAAGAATGATGGATTGAAAAATCATTTCGCTTACCATCATGACACCTTCAAACATTGATATGCCTCTGTTGTCCTTTCCAACTACGATAAATATTTAGATCTCTGTGAAAGTAACATCGAGATGATTGTCTGTTAGGATTATCACTTTCTCCGCTTCATCTTTCTCATCTCTTGACTGAATTTCTTATGGTTCATTTGAAATCTTCTAGCAATAAAGTTTTTGTCAATATTTACTCCAAGTTCACTAACAAAAAAAGAAAGAAAAGAAAAGCAAAAGAAAACAAGGAAAGTTGGCGTTTCCTAAGTAAAGAACTTTTTTAATCGCTTTGCAATGAAACTGACATGTTTGCAAACGAAAAAAAGTATAGGAAAGCTCAAAAACTTCAATATCGTCTCAAAATAACATGTTTGTTCAACTTGAAAATAACTTTTCGCATTACCCTTGGACTCATCGATATACATAATAGCAAGTGAGCATACATCTCGCTTACAATGAGTTAAATCATTGAACTGAGTTAAGTTCTAACCCAATGCAAACAATTTATATACCGATAATTTCTTAAAATAATTATTAAATTTCAATTATAGCTTCGTGTGGTTTCTTGATTGCTTTGCTTGGTTTTGAAAATCAATTTTAGGTACGCTTTTAAAGGTACGTAGGTAGTCCCGATTGGATCAAATATCGCAGAACACAATTTTTCGATAATTGAATAATCAAAACCACCTGACGTCACATTTATTGGCAACTAGAAAATTATTATTAAGAATGAGAAAATGGAGATAACAAAGTAGCGAAAAATTGTTATTCATTGTCAATTGTTTGTGACGCTTTGCATCATCATAAAACTTGAATTATAAATTGTCACGTCATAATAACTCTCAAGCTTTATAGTAACATATGTTTCCGTGCATCTCATACATCATCATTAGATATCATGATGAAAGTAAATTACATTTACGAGGTTCAACGTACCGAGAATTTCATTAGAATCGTTAACAAACGATAGAATGAAAAAATAAAACTTTTCTTGTTCTCATTACTAAGTTGATATGAGAAAACTTTCCCCTTTGATGTTGTTATCAACGTGATCATTTAAAGTGAACAGTGTAGGAAATTTCAGTTTTAAATTAAATTGTTGGCCATTGTTATAAGTTTCTTTTGTGACAGCTTAAATATGTTAGCATTAATATTTTGCAGAAAGTCATGTTGCAGAAAAATGTCACAATGCTGGCTGAAAACATAAATAACATAATTAAATCTTCTTTTCAACTTATTAAAGCAAAATATCGTTGTAGCTGATTACGACATTATGGACTAAACTTCTATGACAAAGAAGTTAATTATCTTCGTTTAAAGGGTTGTGCATTTTATAAAACTTACTGAGCAAACTTTAACAAGTTATAACTTTTATCTTGCCATGTTACATCATGTAGAATGAGTCAATCTTCATCTCATTGTAACACTCTATCCATAAAACCCCGAGTAAAAAGATGTTCTAACTTACCACATTCATCCTTCCATATATAATAAAAAAGATTCCATGAATGCATACTAAAACATAATTAAAATGATGATTCAAAAAGATTTTCTTTTGCTATGCTTGTTTTTCCATTCAAAGATGATGAACAAGAGATGAAGTTAAAAAAGAAAATGAAAAGAAACAACTGCGATATGATAACCATCTTTATTGTTTCCTTCTTCCTGTCACGTCGTCTGATGAGAAAAAAATTTGATATAAAAAATGAGTCCATTGCCAACATTTACAATACGCTCATCGCAACACCAGCCGTCGTTTCCATGGCATCTCATTATAAGTAAATGAATTCTTTTTTCTGTTGCTCTTGCTGTGATAATTTTGTAGCTCTCAGTAAAACGATATTATCAAGATGTAAAATTTTCCTGAGCTTTTTTTTTTGTTGCTTAATGATTTTTGCAATTAGGCCCATACTTGGTTTGTGACATGAAAACACGACGACATGTAAAATAATCGTTAAAAATAAGATATGATATCGTGTATTCAGACTCTGAAGAAGGTTCATTGAACAACAAAGTGCTTCAACTTTATAACGTGCTACTGAGTCACTCGCAGCTTTTATGTATCGTCGTAATATGAAGCTGAGGGAAATGAAGAATTAAATTATGGCAAAAGAAGGAGGAAAAGTGGTTGGGAAGATTTATGAAATGAAAAATTTAATTCTGTAATAAAATTAGTTGTGATGATGATGGGGGAGAAGGCAAGTAAGTTGATGGTGTCGAGTCGTTTTAAATTGGGACACTTTCATGAGTGGATGGTTGAAGGAAATTAAATGAACGTTGCATTAAAATGATTAAAGACATGAAAAGGGAGAAGAAGAATGAAATTTTATTCTTGTTGAATACAAAAAAATACCATTCCGTGATTCCCAAGCGATTTTCAAAGAAAGAATAAAAACGAAAAATAAAGAATGTTGAGGATACCTCAAATTTCTTCCGTCCACTGAGTTCATGACTTTGCAAATTCTCAGCATTCATGTTCAAAGTTCATTCATCTTAGGATCTTTTATTTCCTTACATTTCATTTTTATTCTCCCTTCGGAATTTTATCTTATGTACTTAGGCTTCTTTAAAGTCTGGGATATTAAACGATGCATAATTACCTTCGCATATTTTTACTTCTTTACGCAAGACAGACCACGAACAAGAAAATTGTCGGTTTCAGGCGAATGAATTTCACGGATATACATATTTTTACGCAACAATAATAATAGCAAGTAAATAAAAAAGTTCCTCTTCACCTCGTATTTCAGAGGATGATAAAGTAAAGCTTGATACAGATACCCCATCATTATTGCTGCTTCCACTGTATACCTTACATAATTCATAGATAAGGATTCCTGTTATTATCTCAACTGATGTTTGCTTAACACACTTCTCGTCTACATACATGAATGAATGAAATTTTCCCTTCAGCTTTAACTCGTAGATTTGCAAACAAAATTGTTTGAAAACTTTTCAAATGTTTCTGTCATTTATTATTGTTGATGTTGTCGTCACTCCCTTGAATGATGCAATTGACGTTCAGATTCGAAAAGTTTCTGCGTTATGATGATAAAGATTCATGATGATGAAGTTGATGGTGATGTTGAGTAAGAATGGAGAATCAAATATAGCTGGAGAGAAACATGATGTTGACAAATCTATTCGTTGCATGATAATTCAACGGAAAATTCAATTAAAATGCGAGGGAAAACTTTAAATTAACTTCTCATTCATGGCAAATTAATTTATTTCATAAGAAAACTTTTTTACTCTTGCCTTTCAATGCCTCGTTGCGATTATAACTTCTTATGAAATGTGAAAGTCATGATCATAAATTTCTAACATTTCATTTGATTTTATTGAACTTTAATTCCTTTCTCTCACAACTTTAAAAGTTTTATTCATGCGAAAGATTAATTTTTGTTGTGAATTCAGTTTCTGATTCCTCGTCTTCGTTGTCGTCTCATATGTTGGGTGTGGGTGTGAAACATGAGAAAACTTTTCATATTATCAACTTTTTTTTCTTTTCTTTCGTAACCAAACATTCTCTCATGCATTGTTTTGATGTTTATGCTTCTTCGTTGATAACAAATTCCTGACTAACAAGACTATGTACTAAATATTAAAAGTGAATTTCCTGAAAAACGATCCGACTTATTCACAATGGAAATTGGAAGAAAAAACTTAATTCAAAATTGTGGAAATGATCTTGTCTGAAGGCAGCAAGCAAATTGTTTTCTTCTTTGTTTTGTTTGGAGTTGCTCAATGCTATTATAAGAAGTTTTTCAATTCAAACAATAAGAAAAACAGCTTTAGACAATTATCAAAGATTCATTTTGTGTTAGCATCCATTAAAGCATAAAAAGGAGTAAATTTCATTACGGTTAATTACGTAATATTTCTCTTAGTGTTTAATGGTCGTTGCCTGTTGTGATGGTCAATTTAGTTTATTCAAGACACGGAAAATGGGGTAAAGTTTATGTTCACTGACTCGTAATGTAGTCGTAATAAATGAAAATGAGAGAAAATTTATGGTTAAATCGATGGCGTGGTGTAGAAATCTCTTGAATCTTAAGGAAAAATTGTTTTATTCATGGGGATTGTTGAAAAGTTAGGTCATTAATAATTCTACGAATTGTTGAAAGTTTAGGAGAAATATTAGAAATTGTTTTGAAGTTTTTTCATATTATCAAGAAGAATCTCCAGACATTTTTCAATTATTCTTATCTCACTTTATCGATTTGTTGTCACACTGTTGAGCCTAATTTCTACAATAAATATCTCAGAATTTCTTAGTCTTTTAATCAAGAATTCTTCTCCCTCTTTCTTTCATTCTCTTCATCTCAATGTGCTTCCAAATGCTACAGGGCAAAGCTTTCTTTGAGGTAATTAATCTAATTTGTAGCCTTGTTCCGTTCCGTTCCGTATTTCGGCAAAAGTATCGAGTAAATAAATTGTTCTGTAAGAATAGGAATTGTAGAGAATGAGGGGAAGGAAGTGAGCTTTGAAAAGAAAAGTAAAATCACATCTACCAATTGTTAATCCTTTCTAAAAGCTAAAACGCCTGTTCATTAAGTGAATAAGCTTAACACTTGTTGCCATGGCAAACAGAGCCAGTACCACGCAAGAACAACAAATCAATTAACGAGGGTGAAAAGTGAATTTTTTATTCAATGTTAGTCACAAAAGCACTTTTCGTTTTCACATTTAAGATCCAATTTAATTCTTTTAGCGTCATGGTGATTTTAAATATTGTGAAAAAGAATTTTGATGTCATTAAAAGTTAATGAAATTTTGATTTAAGCAAACACAAGTTCAAAAGAAATGTCACAATGACGACAAGTAAGAGCTTAAAAAGTTGTTGACATTTTATTCTTCTTCGTCTTCTTTAAAATAAATAATAAGAAAAGTGTAAGACTTGCTTGTCTTAAAAGATTATGAAGATTTAAAGGAAGATAAATATCAACAATCTTCAGCTTAATATTTACTTTTGGAAATTTTATAAGAAATTAGCAACCGAAAATTTGCAGTCATGCAATTTTCTTCACACGCCTCGGGATGTACGAAAGAAAAATTATCGTCAATAGCATGGAAAATTCCATAAAATTATTTCCTGCATTATCTCAAATGCACAGATTTTCGGAGACATTTTAGAAAGCACAAACGACGCTTCGAACTCTTCATTCTGTCATCTGGAAGTTTTTTTGCTTTTTTTAACTTCAATATTGAGTACTTAAGCGTACAAGGAAAACTGTGAAAGAAAAATTTGCTATCATTATCAGCATGTTCGACTTCCTTGATTCCCATCCCATACTGTGAAATTTTCATTTACTTTCCTGATTTTCTTGTGTAAAACGTTTTCGTTTTTTTTTTTTGCTTTTCCATCGATTTTTATTCTGTCTTCTTAACTTTTACAGCTTACTCGTTCTGTTGTTGGAATTATTGTAAATATATGAACATTGATCGGAGAACGTGAAGTGGAGAAGCTTCGTGTTATCATAAGAATTCTTTTTTTATTTTATTCGACATCAAATCAGCCTTTTTATTTCTTCTGCTCATCTCAGCTATAAATGGCTTTCAGGGCTTCCGACATGTGCGAGAATAAATTTAATTTTCACGCTGCTTACTTTTGACTTTTAAGCATAAGAATGGATGTTGAGGAAGAATGAAAAAAGAACGTAGCAGGAACTTATTTCTTCCTTTTTCTCATCTGCTTTCTACAAACACGAGGAATAAAAAAAATCAACACACGGAATTTAAATGTTGATCCTTGACAGCATTGTTATGTAGCTCATATACTTGTATATAATATTGGATGCCAAAAGAATTTGCTCGCTTAAAAAGTTCATGAATGTTGGGCGATGAATGAACGTTAGAAAAAATTTCTTCAATGGCAATGGAATCTTTCTCGAAATAAAAAAAAAATAGCAAACCAAGAATGCTGAAAGCAGAGTTTCTTGACTTCCATCGTTTACTTGCTTTAACGGAGAAGGCATTCATGCAAATTTGCTTTGGCTGAAAATTTCAGCGACGTCAGTGATGTTTTGATAAGTATTCAATCGAGAGGTGATAGCAATGGAGAAATTCAGTCGTGTGAAAAGAATGCAGCTTTGATAGAATGCTGAGCGATTTTTAAGTGCTAAGCTAATAAATACCATTCAAGCACATATAAAAGCTTAAGCTTATTGTAGCTTGATGCAAAGCTTTAAAATTCCTTTTTGATTTGAAAAAACTTTCCACATTCCGATTGAAACTAATCTTTAATTACAAATATTCTTTAAGGAATGAAAAACTTCTTTTTCATGATGTTCAAATTGCTGAATTCATCCAAAACGAATAATTATAGCGAATTAAAATTAAAATTTTATTCATGCAGTCTAATAAAAGAAAAAGGATAAATTATACATTGTATTGATGAATTCAAATGACTTTCATTAAATGTTTTTCTATTTATCATTACAAGTCTTTAATCCTCAATCAATTAGATATTTAGATATTCTCAAGAAGAAGTGAAAGAGAAAATGAAAATCGATAAGATTGATTGCTTTCTATCTGTCTAGATGAGTTTTTTTCCAGCTGATATTGAACATTGTATACAGAGCTTAAAACTTGTAATTACATCGACAAGAATTAACATCAAAGATCCATTGATTTTCTAGAAATTTACATAAAATATTCAATTTTGGAAAATAACTTTTCCTATCTGTCAGTTGAGAATGTAAATAGTGAAACAATGATTTTCATTTCTGGATGAACTTCAGAATTACTATACATGAGCTAACACATCAGAATAGAAATGAACAATTCTGTACATCGTTGAAATGGAATTTTCATTTGATTTGTTTAGGTTCTCATCGCCATAGTGTCGCTTCACAGTTTTCAATTCACTTTCATCTCGAAAGTTCGTTTTGAAAAGTTCATGAGTGAAATCAAGCATAATGTGCGCAACATGATTTTCTCCATGATTCTCAGTAAACAAATGAATATTCATAAATCAATATTAACGATTTTCAGCAGCTACAAAGGGTTGGGATATCAAATACGAAAATAGCTGAAAAACATTTTGTACAAATTTCCCTTCACTCTTTTCATATCTAAACAGAGTGAATTACAATTTTAAGTTGTCTTGTCGCTTCCCAAAAGTTGTTAAAATGTTTAATTGCAAACGTTTTACAGTTTGACGTTTTATTTTTACGTAAATGGAAGTTTCCAATGTTCAATCTTTACATTATACTTTACGTAAAGTTGTAAGAAAGTCAAACACCAACAATGAATTTTTTTTTGCTGCTTCTTTCAGTTCCTTTTTCCCTCTTTACAACATCAAAACTTTAGCTTCAACAGTTTAATTATGTGCATAATAATTAAGGAATTGAGGGTTTCTTCTTTTTTTATCTCGTCTTCTTTTCACACTTTACTATGACGACAGTGAATTGAAGATGGGAAGTCGAGAAAAAAAATTCAGATTTTCTTCCTTTTTTTATTAAAATCTGTGGGTTAAAATGTTTTCGTGTAAAAGTCCCTTCCATTCTTTTTTTCAAGCGTTTTATTGAATATAAAACGGCGATTAGTTCGTGCTTCATAAGAATTAATGTCATGGCAAAAACCAAAAAGTTCCTTATTCAGTTTTGACGGCTTTCTTGCTCAGATATAAAGCTTAAGAAGCATTCTAAATAAATCTTCTTTCCATTGCTCTTTGATACGACTCTTCCTCACTAGACAGTCTAAACTCACAGATATTTATCTAAGAAGAATAAGAAGAAAGTTTTTTTTTGTGAAAAATGATGGAAAAATTGTTTGCGGCTCAACGTGTGTGTATGTTTGTCGATGTGGTGTGTTTGCAAATTTTCCTTGACATACAGAAAAAAGAAAGAGTTCAAGCTGGCGATGATTGATGGAAGATTATGGATTTGAATGGAGCAACTCGACACAAAAATTGCTTTCACATCAGGGGTTTGAGGGTATCTGAGAGTTCTACGAAGTGATTTATTAAAAGACATTCAATAGCTTTCTGACATTTTATTGCTTTCTTCTTATTGTTTAGATTTATATGTGTGTTATAATTCATTTTACTTCGTCATCAAAAAGACGAATCAGAACTTCTTATGAAATTGATATTCGATAAGAGATATCTACGTGACATGTGGGTGGAACAAACATATAGTTTTCATTTCATTTTAACGTATCATAATTTTCGAAGCGTTTGATGCAAACAAATCAGAATTAACGAAGGAGGTGACTTGATAAGATTATTATTGCAAGTAACTTGAATTGTATTGATGTTCTTTTTGTCAATCTTTTCACATTCAATCTTTCACCCAAATACAAATGCCTTGCGATAAAGTTTCATTTTCGAAGTGATTTCTGTCCATTGACATCATCAATATGAACTGTTGATAAAGAATTGTAAATATCTATGATGTAAAGTGGGAACGGAAGGAAATTGAAGCGAGAAGAGAAGAAAAATTACTGGAAAAAAAATCTTCACTCCATTTGATGACGGGAACGCATACTTGATCCTAAACAAACATTTACATTTTCCCCTTCAATCATCGTAAGCACTTGAACTGTAAACGATGTTAGATGAATGATGTATTGGCTTGAAAAGAGCGATTAATGAGTTTTTAATTGGAAATGTAAACACACTTCAATGGATTGGCAAATCTTTTCCTTCATCTCTGCATTTTGCTTTCCTTTTCTTCTTTTACTTCATCGTTCATTGAGCATCTTCCACTTTTACCCTCGATAAATTTCTTTCTTTTGATGATGCTCAACCATTGATTGTGAAGTTTCTCTTCATCATCGATTTGAGTTAAAGAAAGTTCCACTTTTTTATTGATAGATTTCCATAATCGTTTCTATCATGAATAAAACTATCAGTAGTAAATTTAATATTCATGATAAATCATTTGAATAAGTGTATTTATTATTCTCTTTCTTTTTTAAAGTTTGTACAATCAACTACACTTAACAGAAGAAAGAAACTGTAAAGAATAAGTGAAGCTGTAGGCAAGAAGATGACAAGAAATATGATTCAAAAATCGATTAGAATTTTGCTGCTACAATTGCTTGGAGTAGCAATCGTGTGTGGTTTGAGTGTTGCTGGAACTGGAAGTGCTAGCGGTAGTATTATGAACAATAGTCTTAATCCCTATTCACCATCGTCAAGTGGATCATCAACAACAGCTCCATCGATGCTCGAAACATACTTACAAACGTTTCCATTCAATGAACAACAAAATATCCTAACGACTGTTTATCATGCTTCAGCGAAGCATCAAACCAGCACAATGGGTGTTGAGAAAGAAAAGCTGACAACATCGAGTGTACCGTCGTTCAGCTCCACCACCCACACATCAACAGAAACAACTCAGAATTTCTCTCCAAACCAAAACACACAAACGCCATTTATCATTTCAACTGGCTCGTCAACATCCGCATCGTCTTATCCCTTGACAACAGCGAACTTATCAGAAAATCCTGAACAACCAGTTCTTATTTCCACTGGACCCATTCTACTAGGATGCGGACCAAATAACCGTGAAGGAATTGGAATTCAAAAAGCTCTAGATTGGCTTCGTGAAAAACGTGTTTCAGATTACGGATGGGAGAATGACACACATATGGTGATTCTGGCAAAGGAGGTGAGTTTTATTTTATTCATGAAGAGAAGAGACGAAATGGGAAAACTCTTTTATCATATTCGAGACAGAAACATAATTGGAAAAGCTTCTCATTCGATATTTATATGAACGAGAAGATTTAACACCCACACAATAAAACATTAATTCATTCAATCAATTCTCAATCTCTCTTTCTAATCTCTAAACGAACAGTCTGAAAGTCAATTCAATAACGTGTCCAATTTTTATCCCATTTCTCTTCTTCACATTGATTTATTGTGAAAACATTAGCTTTCTAACGGTCGTGAACCAAATGATTCCGATGGACACTTGCAAGTAATTTCCGATTTGGAAGACATGTTGTCGATCAAACAGATGGAAGTTGACATTCTAATAATGCTCGACAAACATCGTTCACCGATTTCAAAGCCATTAGAAACGGACCGCTTAGCACGTTATATTTTGTCATTGGGTTCATTGTGCAAGGATCCCAGACGGTTTTACGGCCATGATTTAATCACACTTGTGCAACATCATGAACCGACACAAGATGATGAATTTGCGCTCGCAACATTAGCAGCTTGCAGCTCTGCTACTCATGTTAGAAAGCGTCAAATACGACGATTGTTGGACATTGCCAGTGGGGAAATCACAAATATTGGTCAGTAACGTCAAATTTTCTATGGTAAATGATTTGTGTGAGAATGAAAACTTTTTCAGATACAATGGCAATGGTTTTACTTGCATTGCGATGTATAATAACGGATCATCGCCATCGGCATTTACAACACTTTATTAGAAGGCCTGCATTGGGATTGGCTGGTCTCCAAGGACCACGAGGTAGTTTTGGTTCCCTTCGAAGTACAGCACTTGCAATGCAAGCACTTCAAGACTTACAACTTGACAGTACTTCAACATACAATCGAACAGCTGCATCTAAGTGGATTTTAGATCGTCAAAGGAATGACGGTGGGTGGAGTGAAGAACCCTTACAAGATGGTCAAGATCCAACTATTGGAGTTGGATTAACCGCCGATATTATTTTGGCTTTAGGTTGCAAAGGACTTGGTAAAAATGAAAAAGCTTTAAAATATTTCTTAAATTATTTAAAATTTTAATTAAAGGTGCCATAAGAGCTTTACAATGTGATCATGTCGTTCGAGAAACAAATGGAAATGGAGAAAATCATGAAAATGGTGGAGAGAAAATTGCACAACCTGTCGGCTTACCTTCAACATCAGCAGAAGATACAGAACAGAGAAATGTTTCTTACACGTATACACTTTGGCTTGAATCAAACATCACTGAGATTTATTCACTTCAACTTGTATCTTCGAAGAACACAAGTTTCTTCAAAGCGATGACGCAAGCAGCTGATCAAGACTCAAGGTGATTTCTTATTGAATTATATATAAAATAATAAAAAGAAAAGTTACTAACAAACTTCACTCGTCTTGAAGGTTCTCATTTGAGGCTCGCGAATGGCCCAACGGCCATTACATTCATACACTTGCTGGCAAGAAAGAAGAACCAACATTGTGAGTTTCACTAAGCGAACAATCAAACAATGTTCGCGCAAATCCCTAGCGGCATCATCAACGTTCATTCTCTTTACGCTTTCTATATTTACAGATATCATTATTGGCTTCTTTATCGCTTGCCCGAATTTCCAGATCCGGAAGCAGCCCCAGGCAATCAATTAATAGCGCCAGTTGGTAAGTTTCCCCTTGTTTTCATTTTCCTTTGCTTCAAGTGTTGTGTTGAAGTGTTGATGAGGGTGAAAAGTGTAGGCGAGAAAGTAATCTGCCTATCTTCACTTCCATACTTAAGCTCGACCGACCAAAAGATGAAGAAAAGTTTTTGAGGAAAAGAAAAACTTTCGATTATCACTAAGTCTCAGTCGTTGCTTATTTATTCATATAAAATTATCTATCTTCGTTTTCTCTTTTCTTTTCCTTAACCAGGGGTCGATGAACTGATGGTGGAGGATGGTGAACATTACTTGTATTGGTATAAGAAACTATAAATGCTGCAACATCTTAAATAATCCAACAAATTTGGTGAAAACGAAGAATGAAGAAGTTTATTTTGTTCTTATTTGAGTTTTGTTCAATTTAGAAAGCAGGCTGAAGAAGCAAACATTTCACTTTCTTCACGTCTTTTCAATTCAATATATTTACTTCCCATGTACATGACTCAAAAGAAATGCCAAGGATTTGATTTGTACCCTAAAAGTATCACAAAGAGAAAACGTCAAAGAAAATTCTATCAGTTTGGTTATGAAGTTAGAATCCGGCAAGACGGCGATTTTTGTGTTGTGGAATTGAAACGATTTTTGTATTGTCATTTTATGTAACTTTTGTGAATGATGTCAAGAAAGTTTTCAGAACCGTTTTTAACTTCCCTAAGACACGAGAACGAATCTAAGTGAAGGGTTTATAATCAAATCAAGTCACCAACTTTAATCATTATATTTAAATGTGGCTCTTAAGATTGCGTATTTAGGACGATGTTCTTATGAAAATTTTCAGAAAGATTACAATAAATAATAGTTAAAGTTTGAAAGCATCAATTAAAGCTTTCATCTTGAGAAAATCTTATAAGCTTTTGAAATGAGGATAAGAAGATTCATAAGATGTGAGATGAAGAACAAAACCAGAAATTGACATCATTTACAAAAGCAGCCCTTTTAATTTAATTTCATTCACCAAACTTTTCTCAAATTAATCTTCAGAGGACCCTTATTTAAAAGTTGATAACCATAAAGAGGAGCTTTCGTTTATAACAGTATAAAATTTATATCTTTACAAAAAACAAATGTAAGAAAGTTAACGAATAAAAGAAAAGGCATAAATTTCATTTTTATTCTTCTTTTTGATAAAAAGCTTCTTAGGTTACTTAAATTACAATTGATCAAAAGTTACCGGGATACGAAATGAAAAATTTATAAAATCAAATAAAATTTGTTAGATAAAAGCTTTTGTAAAAGAAAATGAATGAATTTCAAATGCAATATTTATGTAATTTCAATTCTTATTTTTCCTTCTTCTTTTCAAAGATATTGATAAAAAAAAGTATTTTAGGAGAAAAGAAGCGCCTGAAGCGATAAAAAATGTATTCAAATGGTAGATGAGACCAAACAAATGGAAGAAAGCTTATTCCATGAAAATGTATCGTTATGGTGTTGACTAGTTACGATTTTTCTAAAGGCAAAACATAAAATTGAGAATGAATCCTAGAAGGTGGAAATCTCGTTATACAATTTATTGGTAGCCTCCCGAAGCATTATTTTCTTTAGCTTTCCTTCTTCTGTTGTATAAACTCGTAGACTTATAGACTATAAGAAAAATAAGAAAAAATTTCTGACTTTGGTGTGACGTTAAAGCAGGTATAAGTAGTAGAAATTCTTGAAAAGTGACTTTATAGGAAGTTTTTTTTCTAATAGTAAATAAATGAGACACATACTCACATCAACCGTTAAAAGAAACGAAAACTGAGAAGAAAATTATATTTCAGTAGAGTGTTTAAGACATTACCAGTAATTTATGTTTGGAAGACTAAGAAAGAAAACATTTTTCAATTCAGCAGAAATCTTTTCTCATAATGGGATGTTGCATTAAAGTTTTCTTGCACTGTAACTAAAGAATTATGATTATCATCTATGACAAATGTGTACTTTTCAAAAGCTTTCTTCAAGCATTAGAACAATACCAGTGAGAATGTGCTACAAGAACCTTTTGAATAATAAAAAAAAAATTAAATTGATTTGGGGAGCAAAAACATTGAGAAATAAAAAATAAAATTTAGCGCAAAAAAAATTAAAAAGAGTTGAAAGTTTTATTGAATTTAAAGATTAACTTATAGATATGGATTATCAATAAGCCCATTCCCTTCTAATGTTTTAAAACATGAGATTAGCTCGTCTGGAAGACAAAACTCGAGTGGGAAATCAAAAAGGATTGAAATAATTCCTTGAATTGTTTCACTTCTTTTATTTTTTGCTTTCTTTTTCATTCCCATTTGAGATCGTCTGAGAGTACAGACGAGAAATGTTGTGTTAAAGTAATTTATGTTCAAGATAACTACATAAGTTGCAAAGAGTAATACCTACTACGTTTAACAAGCAATCACGCGATGCATTGAAAAATCTAGGAAAAATATTTTAGGAAGCAAAGCTCGTCTTTGTGTTAGATTTGCAATGCAATGGCCAAATTGTTTTTAAATGAAAGGAGAAAAATATACCGATAACAGTTGAAGTGGAAGAAAACATTTTACTTATCGCATTGAACTTTACGTGAGAGATAATAAGTAGTGATTAGGATAGTCATTTCTTTTTCCTATCTTTAATTCAATTTGTTTTGACATGAGGACTTAAAAGAAGATTTCAATTCGAAAAGTCAACAAACTCGCTTATACACCAACGTGTACAGTTTCTCAATGGGATCTTAAATAACTTCAAAAAATCTGTCATGCTTCTGTTCTATGATACTTGACATTTCGATTGATCCCAAGTGTCAATAGTTGAAGTTCAATATAAATTCTTTTCAACAATGATTGTGATTGAAATCAGTTTTTCAGCAAATTAAAAGCTTTCAAAAAACTTTCTTGATGATTGTTAAGCTTTTATTATTTGCTAAATGAAAATCTCTTAAACATTTATTTAGATAATAGATGCCTAATTAATTATTTATTCCAAATTTTTTCAATTTACTTAATTGTTAACTCACTTGACATTGGAATAAGAAAGTTTTCTTATCAAAAAGTTTTCCTTCAAATTAGATGTATAATTAAAACAGAAGTTTTAGTAGACTATTTCATCACAAAAAATCAAAAGTTTCTGTAATTCACTCCTTTAAAAGAAAATTTAGGCTTCTGATTTTTTCGTAGTCTATAAATATCTGAACATTTTAAATCCCAAGAAAAAGACTTTAAGCTGAATCGAACTGAAGTCAAAAATAATCTCTAATTTAATTTCATTGTATAAAGCTCGAGACATGAAAGCGAGAATAATTACATAAAATATAAACAAAAAACTGAAAGCGAAAATAAGGCAAAAATGAAAATATATAAAGTAAATGAGAAATTGCAGCATTTTTATTCAATAAAATTTTATTTCAGTTGGTAAATTATGGAATTTGATTGGGATAGGATAAGTATCAATTAAGTTCTTTCAAAAAGTTATGAAAATTATGTAACGGAAATTTATATTTTAAATGATTGTGGATTTCAGTCTTGTAATGTTTGACACCCTTTTCACTGATTTGTTTTGATTTTGTGATAAATTTTAGAAAGAAAACTTCTATTTTGTAAAAAAATGTCATGCTGTGCGTGTTCAGAAACGCCTTCGAGAATAACCAACTTATTTAAGGATGATAATTTGCTTTCCAAATTTATAGAATTGACAGGAATTTACGTAAATATTCAAAGTACATTTTTTATTTTTGATATTTATTTAATTCTACAATTTTAGATAAACTGCAACACTTTCATTTGTGATCCTTGTGTTGATAAACTTCTATCTTACTACATTTTCAAAGAAAAATGCTTAGAAATTTACGAGCGAACCAATGGAACTGAAATCTTTAGTTCAAGTATCGGTGAGGACATAATCATTTATGACAACGATGAGGAAGAATACATTGACTTCAATCTCTCGACTAAAAACAAAACCACAAATAACGAGTATGACAATGAAAGAGAAAGTATCAATTCAATTGAAGAGAAACCAGAAGACGACTTAATTTTCAAATGTCCATCAAAACGAAAAAATTATTCTAAAGAATTTAGAGAAGAAGTTATTAGCCGAGCAAATGAAACAAGCAATCGTCAGGCAGCAAGAGAATATGCAGTCGATGAATCAAACATTAGAAAGTGGATAAAGCAGGATGGATGCAATTCAAATATCAAATATGATTTAAATCATTCCAATGAAATTGAACATCTCGAGGAAACTCATTTGACCGAATATGATGTAACAGCTGACAACGAAGAGAGTGAAAGATTTGAAACATCATCACGACACATTAAAAATCGCAAATCGTACTCATCAAAACAAAAACTTGAAGCTGTTAGTTATGCTGAGAAATTAGGAAATCGAAAAGCATCGAAGCTTTTCCATATCGACGAATCTTGCATTCGTAAATGGCGTAAAACAAAAGATCTCTTGATAAAAATCAACAACGAACGTGGAACAAAGCGAAAACCAAATCTTCATTGGCCAGAGTTAGATGCTGAATTAAAAGCTTGGGCGATAAGTGAAATAAATTTAGGAAATCGAATCAAACCAGCTCATCTCAAAGCAAAATCTATTGAACTTGCTAAAGCCTTCAATTTTCATGATTTCAAAGGGACTTCTAGTTTTATCTTCAAATTCATGAAACGCTATAATCTTCCCAGTCGTGAAATTAAACAATCAATAAGTAGTAAAAAATTAATAATCCAAAGATTGAAAACACCTTGAAAACTTTATGAAAATTAAATAAAAATTTAAAATGCTAATTAATGAACATTGTTTAAATCTCGAAAAAAATAAATTAAAAACTTTTATCTCGTCTTTGTTACCCAGTAAAAGAAACTTTATTGAATATTTTCGATAATGAGTCGAACAATTATAAGAAAATTATTATTTATCGTTCATCTCCTCCCAGATTCAATTTAACATTGTCATGAAAAAACTTTCACCAGGAGGAGATGCAAGCAAATATGACAATTCATGAGGTTCAAGGAAGATTTGAAAGGATTATGAAATTTATTCTAACTTTTCCTCGATCGTTTGTTGTTGTTGCTGCTGCTGTTGGTGATAATTATTTTTCTGCATTCGATTACGTTGCTGACCTTGGCGTTTATTTTGATTAAAGTTCTGCTGGCGATTGTAACCTTGATTACCTCCTTGATTTTGTCGATTGTAGCCACCTTGATTACGTTGGAAGAAGTTCGGCTGTTTGGCTTCGAAAATTCTTTCATTTGCATCGACTAAGTTGGTGATTTTGTCAGCCAATTGCATCGACAATGCTTGAAGACGTGATGGTTCTGAACGATGCATAACGACAGTCTCTGTTGGATCATCAAGTGAAGCCATCAATTCTTCATTAATTATCATCTTACTGATAATTGAGTGAACTTTCAATTTGGGCAAATCGTACATTTCCGACAAATATGGAACACTAATTGATCCATAAACATTCGAATATGTGAAAAGATAAGTTCGCAATGATTCTTCCTTAATGAACTTCACCAACATTTCACGAACACGATCAGCTTCGTAGAACAAATCCCAAACTTTTGTATTCATTTTCTTGTTGACAATGAATTCAGAGCATGCCTTCCATTCACCATGACGCATTGCTTTTGATGCAGCAACGACATGTTCACGCATTGATTCTGGGGGACCAACAAGTGATTGACGTTCAGATGATCGCAATTGCTGATAGAAAGTTTTACTGGAAAAATAAAAATATTATTAGAAAAGAAATCGCAAGATGCAAGAAAGTCTCATTGCATGCATCTCCTCGTCTTATCTCAAATTCATCTCGTCCCAAGCCTTTTTAACATCAATAATAAATTCTCATGAATGTTCACATTATTGGGACTTGGAGAAATTTAAAACAAAATAAAATTTCTCACCTTATCATACGACGACGAGCATCAAATTCATGTGCAGCCATGTAAGGAATTTCTAAAAGCATAGCGGAGACTAAATAAACGCATTCTAATAATTCCAAATTGATGTGCATATGGAAAGGCATTTGACGTTGTTTCTCGACTTTTTCTTGTTCCACGCTGCGTTCATGTTGACGTTGTGGCAATAAACCTTGTGCCAATAATTCTTTAGGCTTTGTTGTCATCATCAATTCAATCAGACATTGATGAGCATCTTTGATGTTACCTTGACGGAAAGCACACAATCCCAAGTTGGCCATCATTCGGTTGTACAAGATTTGCGTTGATGGATCCGAATGTTGAATTGTTTCTTGTAAATGGCTCATCAACACTAAATCACGAGCTTGGAACCAATTGTCATGAAGTGCATGATGAAAGATATGCGATAAGATTGCTCTCGTTCTCAATCGATCAGTGTTATCGTTAGCATAAATAAAGTGACATAATTTCTCCATTTCATCAACAGATGTTCGATTTTCAAATTGTCCTTTCTTCTTCTTCAACACGTTGGGATCAAATTTATAATACAAATGATCAATTTTACGTAAATAAACGCGGCAAATCTCCAAAGGTGTTCCTTGCACTTCAACGTATTTCAATACTTGTTCGATGAGCTTTGTGACTGTCACTTCATCTTTCAATCGTTCAACGTAATCATTGCTATGTGGATCGCATTCCTTCAATAACTTAATGAATTCATCGTCTAAACGTTCAACAGCAGTCAGCACACATCCACGTAAACGATATGGTTTCGTTTCATATTCCTCGGTCTCATCGGTAATCGATTCCGACAATTTAATGTCGTTGAGATTAACCAACAGCAATTTCATTAAATCTGCCATCACTTCAAGTAATTTGCTCCAATATTCAATTTTCATCGGTTCAGATATCTTCAAGTTGTAATCGAATATTGCTGAAACAATATTGAAACGAATTTTAACGGCAAGTGCTGCTCCCAAGTTGTGCTGTTCAGCAATTGTTTTGAGTTCATGAAGGAATTCAATTTGAAGTTTTCTGTCGGTCTTCTTCTTTCCACGATTTGACATAACTTCATTAAGTTTACTCAACACAATGTGAATATCAATTTCAGCATCTTTTGCGAACATTTTGGGTTTCTCACTCGCTCCATATTTGGGAACGGTTTCCCATCCACCTTCATCGTCATCTTCAGGCTCAGCGACAACTTCTTTTCTCGGTCGTGTCAATTTAGGCTTCTTCTCACGAGCTTTTTCAGGCTCGTCCTTTTCGGCTTCAGTTGTTTTCTTCAAAAACTTCTTACGAAGATCAGTTGGATCTTCGTCTTCTGAGCTGGAAGATGTGTCACTATCAGAGCCCCAATCCATTGAATCATCAGATTCTCCATCATCAGGTTTAGCTACTTTCGGTTTGATTTCCTTCACTGTTACTTCTTTCTTGAATGAAACTGCTTTTGGCACTTCAACTTCTGAGTCGGAATCTTGTTCAACTGCTTTGTCCTCTTCATCATCTTCGTACTCGCCTTGATCAGGATTTTCACGGAACTTCTTCATTTCACTTTCAAAGTCTTTGATGTACTTTCGGAACTTTTGTCGTAAAGTTCCAAGAGATTTTCCATTATTCTTCGACATGTTTTTGCGTCCATCTTTGTCTTCCCATGTTACGTTGATGAAATCTTCAAGCTCAACAATTGATCGAATCACAAATCTTGGAATGATTCCTTTCTCCTCTTTTATGATGACTGGCTGTGCTTTCGTATAGGCACGTGTAAAGTCTTCAAAGCTTGATAAAATGCTTCCAATATCTTTAATTTTCCTATGATTTCGAATACTTTTTATAATGTTTGTAAGTTCTTCATATCGCTTTTCTTTTTGCGATCGAACAACACGCTTGACATCTTCATCGTCGCTGTACTGTAAATATACATAATTATATTATAATTTATTCAAAATTTCTTCCTTTATTTCATGAACTTACAACAACAACTTGCTGAATTGTCGGCTGTGATACTTTGTTAATTTGTTCATCCTCACTAGAACTCTCGGAATCACTATCCGAACCACCGGCAAAAAAGCGCGACATGTTTCAACTTTTGTTCTCTGAAAGATGAATAAAAAATGATTTAAATTTATTTTCACTGAGGTTATCGAGTCGAAGCTGACACTTGGCAATTTTTTTTTCTTCAAATTTTCAAATCAATTTATTTAAACAAATACAATGAACTGGTGGAAACCTTCACTTAATTTTTATTATCAGTACTATGTTTAATCAAAAGCCACTATTTTTATTAATTTTACCTTTGTAATAACTTTAAAGTGTTGAAATACGATAAAATTATTTTGTCAAACTCGTGTGAGACAAAAGGGATAAGAAGCTTCAGCGAATATTTTCGAAGTAATCAATTTCGAATTAAATTTTCGAAAATAACGATAATGAATACCTAAATACCCACGCAAAGTTGTTTATCAGGCCGTGACAAAATCACGGAGTAACAAATTTCTCGGTTCCACTTTGTATGGGAGGTCAAACCCGCGCGAATACACCAAAGCCGGAAATACTGGTACATCACTTACACTGGTCGAGGGACCGATTTTTTCGTTAATTTATGATTCCTTGTAAAAATGTCCTGTATAGCATGTGAAAAGTACGAGAAAAGAATTACAAATATTTTTCGTGATGAAGAACTTCGTGAAAAGTATGAAATTTTTACAGGGTGCAAGGTAATTAATAACTTTTTTCGTGAACAAATTAAAGAGGGTGAATTTGTTTACCTTTTATTTTATTTAGATTGTTGTCGATTCCTTCATCTGCGATGGCTGTATCGAACGACTTGAAATGTCTATTGCATTTCGAAGAAATTGCAGAGATATTTATCGTAAACTCTATCCATTATGGATACCAAATGATGAAACATTACAAGAGGAAAAATCTGAGAAAAATAACAAAAACGTTATCGAACTTCTCGTGATAGAAGATGAAACGAATCATTGTAAAGAATTTTTCACTGAACAAGTAGAAAACAGTGGAGAAGAGCTTAAATACATTTCAAACATAGATGATAACTACAGCAGCACTGAAAATCAGGAGGGAGTTGATTACGAAGACGTTTATGTTGAATACATAAATGAAAGAGAAGAACCAGAAGAAGTAAAATTAAGGCCGAAAAGAAAGAAAGCAGCAGAACCACCACCAAGTGACGGTGATTCAAAAAACAGAAAATCTTATACCGTTGAAGATAAACTCAACATTATAGAGTTTGCCGAATCAATGAACAATCGTGTTGCAGCAAGACATTTCAATTTAAATGAATCATCTGTCCGTAGTTTTAGACGTCAAAAAGAAATGCTTTTAAAAATGGATCCTACAAGAAAGACTAATCGAAGAGCTTTACCTCACTGGCCGAAACTCGAGAAAGAACTTAAAAAATTCGTTGAGGATTATCCAAATAAATTTGGTACGAAAGCCAAACTCAAGGATATAAAGCAAGAAGCGATTAAACGTGCATCGGAATTGGGTATTCAAAATTTCAATGGATCAAATTCATATATTTTCAGATTCCTCAAACGCAATGAGCTTCCCTCAGCTTGTCCAAAACCACGAAAAACGAAAATCTAATTTTAATGAATGAAAGAATAAATAAATATAATTGAAAATTAAAAATTGTTTTAAGTGTTATGTTACGTAGTTCATCTAGGAAATCGTTAATCATGCATTACAAAATTCGTGTAAAAAAAACATAACAATAAAGAGAGAATTCAGCAAGTGTACAGCAACAATAACATGGAAGTTCAAAGAAAGAAAAATTATGAAGGCTTGAGGGTTAGACATATTATTTAAAATAAAAATAAAAACATGCTAAAAATCCATTGTCATACAAAAGAACCGTCATTGGCAATTGCAGAAATTTAAAATGTAACTTTTTGTTTGTTCATTTTTATTCAAAAAAGTGACTTCGTTCTTTATAATGTTCACAACTTCAATATCATTTTCATTGAATTAGGTACTTACTTACACTTCGTAAGATTTAATCACGCTGTCCTTTCAGTTTCTGTAAAAATTTCTAAATAATTTTCAGGGCCTATTCCTGAGAGTTCTCCAATATCTGCAATGGCACTACGTACGGTACCATCCAAATCATATGCGCATTGAAGAACGTTGCGCAATTTCTTCAGTGAGAGATGCTGCAGCTTCGAATGTACATCTATCTTTAATGGCTTTGATAGCATTATTTGCATTCTCATAAATGGAAGCTGTATTTGCCTGAATAGAAGCACACGGGTCTGTGACTTCTTCACACCTCAGAGCAGCATCTTCATGAAAAAAAAGAATTAAATATTTGTTATAAAAATTAAATTCAATATGAATTACCACCAGAAGCAATGACAGCTGCAAACAACAAAAATGTTAAACTTTTCATCTTGAAGTCAAGTGAATTCTATGATGAACTAAAGACAATGATGCTAGTTGAGTAAAAACTCTTCCTTTTATTTAAAAAATTCAGGCTTTTTTGAGAAATTTCAATGAGCTTTTTAGAAACTTTGATAAAGTTCACTGATAGTTTCAAAATAATTTAAAGATATTATTACCAAGGTGACATTATCATAAAGATAGAAAACACAAACTGTGCAATAGAAATTATAGCAACCATAGATTTAAATATTTTTGTAGGTAGATACAGTGGAAGCCCGTTAAGAGAAACACTGAAGGGAGTCACAATTAACGNGATTTATTTAAAAAATTCAGGCTTTTTGGAGAAATTTCAATGAGCTTTTTAGAAACTTTGATAAAGTTCACTGATAGTTTCAAAATAATTTAAAGATATTATTACTTACCAAGGTGACATTATCATAAAGATAGAAAACACAAACTGTGCAATAGAAATTATAGCAACCATAGATTTAAATATTTTTGTAGGTAGATAATCAAGTCCTTTTATTGAGATATCTATGAACAATCTTTTTTAACTTTTTATTAAAAAAATTATGCTAAAATAATTAAAGTTTGATTATCTACATATAACTGCACTTTAAAAAAAGTTAAGGGCTTTAATCTGAATATGTAGCTGAAACTTAAAAATAAATGCAAAATAATTTAAGGAGAAAAATATGTTTTTTTATTTATTTCAATGCTCTTATTTTCTAGTTCACACAATTATTAAAATTTTTACACTTTTGAATTCTGAAGTTGTAGGTAGTTTTCTTCATAAATATTCCCACAAATCGTCATCAAATTTCGTTCATGCAGTAAATAATTATTCATCCTGCTCATGATAATTTATTTCTTTTTGTACATTTTTTTTTGTTTGGTAACCATTTTCACTAATTTTCTTTTATTTGATTTAATTTTGAGGCACTTTGATGAGACTCAATATTTTATGGCTTATCAAAAACTAAAAAGAAGTCATGAATTGTTACTAAAACTATTTGTATCTAATTCGTTAAATTATCTATGGCACCTAAAAATAAAATATATACCAGAAAAGAATTTAGTTAAGTTATTTAATTAAACGTAAATTTTACCACCACATAAATAATTTTCTTAAACTTTAAATTTAAAATCAAATGACAAAATTATTCAGTTTAATATTCGTACAATTTTGTCAGAAAGAAGAAAATGAACTAAAATTTAAGAATTCTCTTACATAAATATAATTAAATCAAATTATTTGGTTAATTTTGTTTTCTCGCTGAAATTGTCTCAAGCTCCTTGAAAAACATATTAAATTTGTAATTTTTATTCTGCAGCAACTCACAGCCAATAAATTGCGAACGTATGCGATTTTGACATGAAGCATCAACTATTTTAGCCTTCGACTGTTACTCCTTTCACCATTTTCGAAGAATGCTGATGTTCGTTGGCGAGTTGCTGGCTTTTCAAAAGTTCTAGTTGCTATCACATTTGTCGTGGTAGCATTTGAACGTAAACTTCGCACTTCTTTCACTGTTGAATTAAGCTTCGTCGTGGTACATTCGACTTCTTTAACTTGAGCGCTACGTAAAACACGAGGCTTAATCGAAGCTTTGACTTTATCTTTATCAGATGATTTATTTCCATTGTCTTTTGTGACAATTTTCTTCGATCCACGTTGTGAAAGATCTGTTAAGAGATCAAACTTTTTTATCGTCGTTGTGCTAGGCTTTTGATCACTTAAAGCTTTTACAACTTTCCTGATATTTCGAGTTATTCGACGATGCAACTTCTGCTTTCCGATTGCCTTCTTAACACCTGTTTGTACTGAAGCATTATCGGATTTCATTTTCATTCGTTCAAACTGACGTGTCGCATAAAATCGTCCAGTTGATGCAGTCACTTTCTTCCTTCTCACAATCTCATCATTATTTTCCTTATTATTACTTTTCACTGGTTTTTCTCTAAATTCTGCTTCATTCTCAGATGTCTCCATATCTTCACTTTGTATTGTTCTGTCATTTACTTCATTAACACTTGACGACGATATTTCAAAGATTTGAATTGAATCATCACAATTCTCACTTTCCACTTCTTTTGTCTCTTCCACCGCCACATCTTTATTCTCAATCTCATCAGATTCTTCATCAGAAAAGTCCATGACATCAGTATCAGAACCAGAATCATTCTCTTCTTCTTCTTCATTGTGTAAAGCTTCAACTTCTTCAGGTGTTGGTCGCAAATAATTGTAACGTTCCATTGGCTTGTAGACCGGCGCACTTTGTAAATATCCTTGATGATCATAAATATTCGTGTGAAGCGATGGAAGTGGTTGTTGAGTTGGTATCGTTGGAACTGGACGATAAGCGTAATGAAGTGGCGGATACGGTCGCAATGCCATATTTTCATACATCTCACGATGCTGCTCGTATGTTGAATGATAATTTATTGGCTCGTTGGGATTTGCAAGCAGGAAATTGTTACGACAACATGCTTTCACAAAGGCACTTTCATTGCTGCTTGCTTGATACGTCAACGCTCCCGACTCAACAATGTTCTGATGTTGTGCATGTTGTTGCGATGTTGACGCAACTTCGTAACCAAATGGTGACTCATATGAATTATAACCATTTGAATAATGATGATTTTGATGAGATCCCAAATATCTTTCATCTAAGTTTGTTGTTACTGGTTGATAGAATTGATTATCACCATAGAATGCATTTTGTCGTGTCAATCCTCCACTGTAAATGTCAGGCGTCATGACATAATCTAAATTGTACGCCTCGCTTGTGCTATAATCATAAATAGTTCGTGCACTTTCATCTTCGATTGTTGTTTGTTGGTATTCAGTGTTTGGTGAACGACAAAATTTAAACATGTTCCGTTTATTTGGTGGATCAAGCATGACACAAACAACTGAAGTGTTGTCAGCTCTTAAGCCATTGCTTCGCCATTTTTCTAAAGCTGTTTCAACGAGAATTCTTGATGGATTTCGCCATGCATTAATACCGAGTTTAGCATTGTGATCATTGCGACGTTCAGTTTCATAGACGGAATCAACAGAAAAGTCAGGGTCAAGTACATTCCAAAGACCATCACTAGCAAATATCAAACATCTGAAAGACAAAATCATTAATTAAATTACTTTAAAATGTGACGAACTTCAAAAGTTACTTGAATGAATGTGCATCGACATCAATGACATCAACATCTGGTTCTGGTGACACGACAAATTTTTCTGTTTTGTAATTATAACTCCACAGGTCACCTAAAGAGCGTGCAACAGCTAAGAAGGGAACTTCTTCAATGCGGGTGTTTCGACGAATTGGACCTTGATGGGGGTTCTTCGGACGATACCACACAACACGATGAATTCCTTGTTTTTGTTGAACTTTCCCTCCATCTGATTCAATTCGTGCAAGCTCGTCAGGATTTTCTGGTTTGTGTTCAACTGTCAACGGTTGAGATATCCATTTTCCACCTTTTGGATTTGTTCGGCCTAAAACTATTCCCGAATCCCCACAATGTCCAATGTATAGTTTTCCTTTACGTAGGAATGCAACACTTGCCGTTGTCCCAGCAGTACTTGGAAGTCCGCTTGCAGTTTGAGGCCATTTATCTATTTTAAAATTAAAAACATCAAACATCAATTTATTTTAGGATGGGCCAACATAAAAAATGTTTTTCTTTCTTTTTTTTTTCTTTTGAAATCGAAAACGAGAAAGCAAAGCATGTTGTAACGTGCAATTGAGTTGGTCGGTGCTACAAACATCATACAAATAGCAATTCTTTGTTAGTGTGTGTTATGTATGGCAATGAAATATAAGAGAGTGTTAGTGGAGAAATAATAAATTCAGTGGCGTCAATTTATGATAGTTTGATGAGTCATCAGATTAATTCAAGGATAATAATTTATGACAACCATTTGGAATATTTATTTGTTTTAACTGGAATTAGTCATTTTCTATAAGATAAATATTATTGTTATTATTTTATCCCTTGAATTACTACAAAATTTATCGACGCCACTGCACTGAATGGAATAAGAAATCGCGCTCTAAACTATTTTCATATTGGATTCAAATCAAAACAAAAACAAAGCAAAATATTCACCCAAATCTTTCCACATTGCCATGTGACATTCGAGGAAGCCTTTCTTGATGGCATCTAATACGTCTTTATCATGGTTTGACCAGAATCCAGGCTGATCGACAATATAATTCATTAAATGATTCTTCGCAAATATGCTTGCTGTATCACCCCCATGCCTGGAATTGATTGAATTAATTAAATATCGGAATATTTAAGATAACAAGAATATTAAAAATTGTTAAATAATAAGAGAAAGTGGAAAAATCCACTTCAATTCTCTTCGTATAAGGAAATGAAAAGTTATTTCCGCTTTTTACCCATCGAATATTCCAAAGAATGCATAATCCAAATCCTTTCCATTATCTGATTTCTGGTAAGCAACACTAAAAGTATCTTCCATGTACTTTCTAGAGCCTGTGAAACACATTGTAAACAACTTTTCGTTATCTTTTCTTTAGAGAAAGCTTAGTATGATGATTATCTTACCCATGTTGCAATATGCAGTAACACGGAGTCCAATACGTTCATTACTTCCGTTTTCTGTCTCCATTTTATATTATTTAAACATCTGATCTATTAATTAAACTCCGTTTATCAATAATCATTTACAATATTATGAGATGATGCTTTTGGCTTTGCTGGGATTACTCCATTGTATGTGTAACATAAAAGGATGTTCATTGTGTTTCAAGGTTCATCGAAGAAACTTAAGATATCAAATGGAAATGATTAATTATGCAATTTGATGTATAAAAAGCTAAAATTCAATTTTTAATATTGTTATGATGAAATTGTGATACAAAGCTTATAAACGCCCCTAACGATATTCGAAGTTGTCTTCTCATGAATATGACGCACATGTAAAAAGTTTCCTAAAATTGCGCTATTTTAAACCCCGCGTTAATTTTCTAAAATGACCCGGATTAAGCTAGTTTTTCCGCGGACCGGAAATTCAACTTTTCATACAAAGTGAGCAAAAACTTTTTCCGGGTGTGATAAATTCTCCGGGTGTGATATTTACACTCTCCACCTGAAACTAACTTACTGGTGCGCAGTTTTAGGTGAAAGGAGACCTGAGTTTTAAAAACAATTCTTCGCTCTCTTCTTTTACAAATTATTAATTTAACCCGTGAGATTATTCATAACTAACAATTGCTTAATGAAAGTGATCTGATAATAATTTAATAGTATTTAGTTATTTTATCCCGTGACGAAAAGAAATCCAATCCTTGATTTTCAACGAATTTCATAGACAAAACTTGATGGAATTTGATATTATAATATCGTTCAATTGATTAAAGCTAGTGAATAGGAAATTATTTCGTTTTATTTAAACTAAACCTCAGCAATAAGCACAGTGAGTATTGTTCAATTGTTAGTTCTAGAACAGTAAAGTGGTTTGGCTGTTTCATAAAAAACAAATCTTAGACAGAAAATACAAAAAAATCGATGAAAGTTCCGCATAGCTTTACAGAAGCTTCTTAATCTTATTCAGTTTATTTTCTAAATCCAATTTATGTAGTTCGTTCTTCTGTCTATGCACTTGCTCATCATCAGGTTTCGAAGCGACATACATTCTTGTTGTTGTAGGGTGTAGCAAGTTAAATGTGCTCAATTGTCATTCAAAACTGATCTCGTTATCGATGATGATTATTGATTAGACCAACGGAGGAATTCCGTTTTATTTTTAGGTCAGTTTTGTATCATCGTTAACATACGGGGAGGTGAATTTCTTTATCATATATGCATATGTGTCGCGTCAGAAACTTAATATGTATCTCTTTCTCTCTCACAAGAAACTAAAAATATATTCCGATGTTGCAGCTATGAATTACGATGATATTTTTACTTTCTTTTCTTAAGGTTTCGTTTGGGATTCTGATCGAAATACAATCGCAAGATTACATCTATTTCAAGTCATAAACTCAAGCAGACTTGCGTAGCAAAGTGTTGTACAATTACAAATGTTTCTTATTGTGTTTCACTTGTTCCGCTAGAAGACTTTTCTATGTAAAATATTTAGATCTAGACTTGAGCGAACAAAATTTATTGTCGAAATCACCTGAGCATGCAAATGTTATGTCATTAATATAAATTTATTCAAAAACTTTCTAAATCATTATCCTAAAAACATTCAAAGAACCATAAGCAACAGTTTAGTGCAGCAATAGTAATTTTCTTCTCTGCTTGAAATACAACAAAATAAAAACCGTTCTTACTATTTATTGAATTTGGCATCATTTTTGTGAACTTTCTCATTTCCATTTCAATTCAATTAAATCGAATGCCCCTAATTGATATACCTAATTTATAAAAATATTAAATTTTACAGGTGTACACCATACAAAGTTGACAAAATCAAAAAGTTAAAAAAAGCCAAAGATAACTCGATATAAGAAGTGATAAAAATAAACAAAAGTTCAAGGAAGCAGAATACAACAGAGTATTGATTAAATTAAATAACCATTGGAAACAAATCATCAGGAAGCTTTTAATCAAATTTATTAGGATTACAAATGTGAGTATACCGGTTTAAGTGATTATTATTTGCCCAAGTGAAAATATTTCAAGCGAGTTAATTAAATTATTTCTAAAGATAATCCTTTTTGAAAAATAATGAAAATGTTTAAAATGCAAGGAATAAACTTCGTTGGCTTCAGTAATTGGGATTATTCGAAATAATCTCATAAAATTGTATAAGAAAATTTTAACGTATAAATATTCAAATTATAATCTTCACTTATCTACCCCCCGAACGCATTGAGCGGGGCATGTTGAATCAGTTTATTTTCTAACATCCCGCAAGTCGAGACTTGAATTTTATTTCTTCTTCATTTAATTTTATTTATTCGCGTTCTTTAGTTTCAAAAGGTTGAAATCATTAGTTACTCTATTCTTTAGTCAACTAATTATCAGTATAAGTGAAAAAAAGTGCTGAATGAATACAATTTCTTAAAAATACTGAAAACAAATACCGTGGATTAAAAAGTTGGTGGTCATTGCAAAAAGAATATTAAAAAAAAAAATTTTATGAGAAAAGCTAATACCAGCGGCGAGACGAATTACAGCTTCAATGAAAAATGTAACATTTCTCAATGATTTCGTATTACTAATCGAGTTTTTCTTCATCATCAACACGTTAATTTCAACAGAAAAAATTTATGATTCTAAGAAAAGTGACAAATGTGTGTGAAGGTTTGAAATAAATTTTGGGTGAAATATTGCAACAGAAAATAAAAAAAACAAATGAACAGAACTACTTTGCATTGTTGTTGTTCTGGTGACGAAAAGGAGAAAAATGCAAATTTTTGTTTTATGGATCTCTTAAAGGGTTCCTGTGTGTGTTTGTTCTCAAATATCTGGTTTCATTCGTCGCACATAAAGAATCTCAATTTCACCGTCTCGAATGAAATATAAAAAACTGGCAAGGAATTTAAAAATCTTCTCATGACAGACTAAAATATTATTTTATTGGGTTGATTTGTTCCTATCTTAAACTTCTTGTGTTTGATTAAATTTTTTTTGAGTGGCGTGGTTGATATTCGCTTCTGTGATTTAAAGTTAAACATGAAATATTTGACTTTCAACGTCAATTTGCTCTGTGTATGATAAAAGAAAAAGAAGTTCAAACAAGACGTCCTTATAAGGATTTTTTTCTATAAAAACAAATTATTATTTACCGACTCCATCACGGAGCTGTAAGCAATCATTGATGTAGACTGAGATGAATTCGCTTTTTTATTTCCCCTTTCCAACAATTATTTAAATTAACCTTGACCCTCGCCTTAACAAGCTCATGAAACAAATTTTATCATCGAAAAATCAAATCACTGACATTTATGCATTTCGAATCGAGATTTTTCTCGACATGCTCTGCGGTCATAAATGTAGTAAAACAGTTAACTTGCTTCAACATCAAGCAAAAAAAAAATTACAAGAAAGATATTGGGAACGTGCTTCTTTCTCGTTTATTTATGATATTTATATGTAAGATTCTGCGTTGTATTGATGGGAAAACGATAAATTTATGCATTGAATTGAGGAAGACTTGTTAATAAAGTCACTTGATTAATTAATTTCTTACATGGTTCATCGATTCAATTACACAGAACATTATTAGATTCTATTCAATATATTTTATTTTTCATGAATTGTCTAATAAATTTAATTGGTAAAGAATTGCAATTCCATTGATTGCTTACTACATATTTAACTTTCATGCCAGCCGCTTCAAGCTAATTCAATTTAAAGAATTTATTTGTTCTCTTTTACTCTTTTTGTTCAATTCAAAAGTTTGCTCAATTCGTGGCAAACGCACAAAAGTTTTTTTTTATTATCATGTTTGTAAGACCTAAAATACTCGAGATAAGATAAGTTCGTTTGCTGAACAACGTTTTACTTGCTCACTAAATGCCAAACAACAGCTTTTCTAATGATTTGCAAATAATCGAAGATGCTATACACAATAGACAGGCCAATGTCTTCATGACGCCTATAGAAAGTATGCGAACTAACTTTGGCAAAATGTGTGTGGGCAATTTGACCGGATAAAAAGCGGGCAAACTTAATTCGTTCTTCTTGAAGCGGTTAAAAATGTTTATTTTATTGTATTCTGTGCGTTGGCTGTAGTCTGAATATTACACGATGGTAAAGTCATCGTCTGATATGTAAATTGATGGAGCGGAAGATTCCTAAAGTGTCGCAAATTGTTGTCTTTTCCATCAATATTATAAAGTAATGTCTTTATCAGGCGCCGCGCCTTTGTAGCTTTAGTTTCACTGTGCTGACGATGTTGATATTGCCTGTGTGCGTTAAACGTAAACAAAAAAAATATTTTCTACATTTGTGATGTCACTGCGCGATTTCAAATTAAAAATCAAAAGAAGAAGAAAAGCTTTATCAGCAATTATGATTTTCATTTCTCATTAAGTTTTTTGACACAGATTTAAAATTTTTATACTTTATGATTTGATTAATAATTTGTTTCGCTTGTGATTCATACATTGACATTATAAATCTAAATGCTCCGCTTGTATTTCATGTAAATGTATCTAGAAATGATGAAGGCCGTGTGCAATTGAAGATCACGTTTGTTTTCGGTTTAACGCAAGTTCACTCATCGATTCAATCGCTTCACGTTTCATAAATCCACCGATTACAATCCTTAAATGGTCAATAAAATGCGAGGTGCACTTTGCAAATGACATCCGAAGGCTAATCGTGATTTTAACTGGAAAATTCTTTTCCGCTTCTTATTTTTCGCTGTGGTTGTGTGGAAGTTCAGCTAACTGATGATCAACATCAACAACATTCATTACCAAACTTTTTTTTTGTAATCACTCAAATCGTAACTCAATTGAGTAAAATTTCACATCAATTGGTTCAACATAAAACCGAGTGAGAGTAACGAGAATGGAAGAATTCATCAATTTAATGAGTGATGATCCGTTATGAATCTTCATTCTCATCTTATTCATTATGTTTTTTTGTGTGTGAATGAGAATATGATGATTATGATTGCAAAAATAAATTTACGATGCTGCTGATATAACTCATGCACAGCAGTTACTAACATTCAACGATGAGAATGATATCAAAGACGCTGATTGATGATGAAGAAAAAATACTTAAAACGAGAAAGAAATGAGAGTTGAATTGCACAAATGTAATAATTTATTTCTCTTGAAGTGTACGTAGAAATGTCGGTAAACTGAAGAAACTTGTATAAGAACAAAAGAATCAAAAGAAAAAATAAAGTTTTGAAATATTTTCTTGCTGGGCAGTGAAACATTAATAAATAAGCATAAAAATGATAAAGTTAAAGTCGCTGTTTCGTAGAGGACAAAGTGGAAATCCATCTTCGTCTTCAAGTTCATCGAAACAAGTTCATCAAATTTCTCCAGCACATTCCGTTGGTATTAAAACATCAGCTTCGTCTTCAAGTCTTGACAGAGTTGCAACAGCGAATTCTGGCAGTGCTTCTGCTGATCTTGGAGCGACAAGAAAATTGTCAAAGAATCATAAACAATCATCGAAGGATAAGTTAAATGATTTACTTCGTGTTAGTTCCAAAGAGAAGATTTTTGATGAAAAGAAAGAATTAAAGAAGCAACAGAAACAACAAAATAAGCAAATGCAGCAAGTTGCAGCTCAACAATCTTCTAACATTCATCATCCATCGTCTTCTTCGTCAGTTCAAACATCAGCTGAACCACGACAAGAACGATCACATCCCAAAGATTTCGACTCAACAGCATTTAATGGAATGCAAGATGTGAGTTCTTTACACTTTTAATGTCGTTTTGTTGTTGTTTCTGTCACTCATCCCACGCTTTATGTAAACCAAATTAGGCGAATTCTATTAACAACCGTCTCGCTTTCAATTGAGTTTTTCCTGTCGACCCGGTTTTTATATATTCTCAATAATAAATAAGATCGTGAGAAGTTGGTGACATTCGTGGGCATTTTTTTTCTCTTTTTTTTGCGTTGGCGACAGAAAATTGCATTAAATTATTTTTATTGCATTTACCAGTTAATTGAATAATTTTACACTTTTTACATTTTAAAGATAAAACATAAACAAACGATGCAAGAATTGCGTCAGTTGCAACATGAAAATTCAAGCTTAGAACTAAAAATTCGTGAGCTTTCATCATCACACAATGAGATGATTCAATTACGCAAAGATGTTCAAAAGTTACAACAAACAAACGACATGAACAGCTCGAAGTTGAATCAACTTGAGGAAGAAAACGAATCGTTAAGAGATCGACTGAGAAATGTTGTTCAATCGCCACTTTCGGATAATGACAAAGAAGATTCACAACATCGAATGCATAGCTCAGCACCAGCTTCGATTGCACTTCCGAATGTAAGAATTTCTTAAATAACATTCAAATAGATTTAAAATGTTTAAATTATTTCAGTTTATTGGTAATCATGAGTCGAGTGAGACGCCATGCACGACACCAGATTGGGATAAACAATCATCAAGTAGCGAAGTTTCTGTAGCTTGTCTGCAAGATAAAATAATTCAAATGGAAGAAACTCATTACTCGACCAATGAAGAACTTCAAGCGACACTTCAAGAGCTTGCCGACCTACAAAACCAAGTATTAGAATTGCAAACTGACAACGAAAGACTTTCAGATGAGAAAGATGTGATTTTTCAATCACTTTGTCGTCAAACTGAGAAACTTGAAGATACGAGAAGTCAAGTTGAGACATTACAGAAACTTCTTTTACGTGATCCCGATCAACAAGATTCAGCATCATCAGAACGTGAACAGAAGTTGGTTGATTTGTTGAAAAGTGCACAAGATGAGCGTGAAAATTTATTATTGAAGCTTGAAGACTTAAATTCTGATTTGAATGAAATGAAAAAGTCAACAGAGTTGTCGAAACAAGTGAATGAAAGGTTGAAAGAAAGAGTAAGCGTTTTGGAGTCAACAATTGATGCATCAGTTGCTGATCGAAAAGAAATCGAACGTGAGTTGAGTAATGCAAAGGAAGAAGCGTCAGCAAAACAAATCGAAATCAGTCGCTTATCAACATTACTGGATAACGCTCGCTCAAAGATTGATGAACTTGAACAAGACAGAGCATTGGGTGATAAATCAGATTTAGGTGAGCTACTCGACATCGCTCGAAAGGAGAAAGATTATTTAGAAATTGAAGTTGCGACGTTACAAGAACAGTTGTCGAAGAGTCAAAATGAGACACAAAAGCTTCGCGACAGTCTTGCTGGTGTCACTGAGGAATGCAAAGTCACTAGAAATAATGCAAAATGTGCTTTGAGTGATTTAGAATACAAATGTGAACAGTTGAAGCAGGAAAAATCCAAATTACAAACTGATTATCAATTACTTAATGACACAACAAGTGAACTTCAAGTAAGAAAATTTTTATTGATGTTGTTGCAAAGAAATTTATTTGATTTAATTAAATTTACTTTAGGTTCAGAGCAAATGTCTTGGTGAAGATAAATCTCAACTTGAAGCTCTTTTGTCACAGACGCAATACCATCTTGGTGAACTTGAACGTCAACTTACTGAAAAATCTGAGAAACTCGAGGAAGAAGCTCGCATTAGAAAGCAGGAAAATGAAGAGTGGGAACAGTTTCAACAAGATCTTCTCATTTCCGTTCGTGTTGCAAATGATTTTAAAACAGAGGCTCAATTAGCTCATGAACAGCTTGCATTGGACAACAAACTTTTACGTGAGAAGATTCGTGGCATGGAGACACAAGTGGACAAATTAAATAAACGTAAGTTGAACTTTTCTTTTTCTAGAATTTTTCTTTCTTAAAATTTAAAATTAAAACATAAAAAAATAATAAAAAATTAGAAGAAATTTCCCAACCGGAAGTCGTCTCAGAACAAGAGACTTCAATGCATGATCAAGATGTTCAAAGCAGTAATAACAACAGTCATGATGAATTTCAAATGGAAATAAATCGCATGAGAAATTCTTTGACTGCTTTGACATTGAAAAATTTTATGTTTGATGGAACGGTGAAAGAGCAAAAAAAAGCTGAAAAAATTGTCACACAAAAAGTTGAACGACATGATTTGCCACCGAAAATTGTCACTGAAACTTTTCCTAAAAATCCTGAATTGTTGGCAAGAAATGTTAGCAGAGATGAGAAATTTGTCGAAGCTAAAACTGAGATTGTTGAACCTCTTGTGAATGTTTCTGATCCTCCTGTTGTTAAACGAAGCTTGTCGAAACATCGAAAAGATCCAACAAGAACACAAAGTAATTTGATTGATCCGAACGATATCGTAGCCGCTTTAACTGCTAGTCAGGAGAAGCTTGAAATCGATAACAAGCCAAAGATTGTCGATACGAAACCGAAAATTGTTCGCGTTCATTTTGCTGAACATGCCAAGCCTGAGAAAAAGGTTTTTATTAAACAACCTTCTCGGGACTCCGATGAAGTCGCTTTGATTAATAACAATAAAGAAACGAGTAATAACAATGAACTACCATGGCAAAAGAAACATGAATATCGAACTGTCACGCCTTTCTTCAAGCCAAAAAATAAGGCAAAAGCAATTAGCGATGAGAATGTTTCTGTCGACATTAATTTTCGTCCGATTGAATTGAGTCGAAGCATTGAAGATGTAAACCAGGAAATTGTTAAACCTGTTCCAATTTTTGCTTCGAAAAGCTTTCAAGAACTTCCAAAAGTTCGTGAATTCAAACCATTTGATGAGTTTCAGACGAAGTCGTCAGATGATTTGCTTCTTGGCAACATTGATGGAGCTCGAAAGCCTGAAAGTAAGCGGCATAAACTTATGAGAATTCGAAGTACAAGTAACAATACTTTGAATCGGTTGAGTGATCAACTCGTGTACGAGAACTTTCATTATGACATTCCCGAAGTCAATTCAACGACTGCTGATAATTTCATGAGAAAGAAGGCACCACAACCACTGCCAAGAGTAATGGATGAGAACGGAAACAACTCAATTCGACAAAGCAAAACAATTGTTTACGTGCTTGACAAAGAGAAAGATGAATTTATTCTCGAGGAACCAAAATCGAATGAAAACTTATTTGACGATGTGTATGAAGACGTTTTATTGCGTAATAATGTTAGCCGCGATACCGACTCTTCAATGTTTTATTCATTGATCGATAGCCGTGATGATTGTAAGTGAAATTAGCTTTCACAATCAATTCAATTATGGGGAAAAAAAGGTTTCGTTTTTATGTTCAATGTTTGCTCGTTCATTCGTCGGTTTTTTTGGACAAAAATTTATGCTTTTATGTTGTTTCTTTGTCACAATTTTATTAAATGTTTGAAATGTCTTGCATATGACTGAAATGTAATTTTAACAAGAAAACTATTTGAAATTCTTTCAGTGGTTGCATCATCGAACGAATCACAACAATCGATACTTACAACAGTTCAACAAGAAATGGCGCAACGTCGAAAGCAGAAAAACAATGGAAATGTCATCAAAAATGGAACAAACGGAACTGTCGTTAATCCAATGCCACTTATGATACGTCAAGACTCGCGATTATCTGTGAAAAGTTTAATTGAAAGTATTGAGAACACATCGAAGCAGAGCAAAGGATCGGGAGGATCGCAGAGTGGGTCGACTTCAAGTTTGAACAGTTTAAGTGCAATGGAGCAACCACAGCACGACGTCAAATTGCTATCAGCGACAGAACAAGAAAAGCAGCAGAAAACTTTGAACAATAATTCACTCACGAATAATAACAACAATTTGAGTGGCAATAATGTGAATGGAAGTCAGAAGAATCGAGGTAGGTCGCACGACATGATGAGGTAGATGATTTTGATGGATAACTAACGGTTGGTTTGATGGAGAGAGCATGACAAGAGCATGATCGGTTTGCTGCACTAACTTCTTCACTTTATCGTTTCAATTCAATAATTTCTTTTTTTCTTTTGATTAGATATCGTGTTATTATTTTCTCCCTTCTTTTGTTAGTTCTTGATTGACTTTTGAGTTGAACAATAAAACAGAGTGAAATCTTTTGTTCTAAAAACTACTAACAATTTAATTAACAATCAAATTGATTCATCATGAATTTTTTTTTTGGCAAATAGATTTTGCCTTGACTTGTGACATGAGGCGTGAAATTTTGTTTTGTGATATTGGCAGCTTCAAATGGACGTGACAGACTTGAACTCAAAAGTTTTATCAATTAAATGTAATATTTTTTTAATAATCATGAAGTTCATGATGGCGTCATTTTGTTGTTGAACTTTTTTTTTGTTGTCTAATTATTTATTTAATTTGCATGTTTGAATTTTAGTAGAAAGAGTTTCTTTGTAATTATTTAATAATTTATTTCTATTTATCCTCAATACAGCAACAACTCCACAAAAGAACGATGATCAATTTTATTCATCAATCTTATCTTCACATAATCTTAGTAACAAACATGATTACGTCAGACGAAACAGCTATGGAGATTTGAGTAAGTTGAAGTTAACAAAACAATTGTCATATTTATAAAACTTATTATGTGATTTATGTAAAGGTGAACGGAAAGATCCATTGAATGCTTTGGTGAAGAATGGGGGCTCGAAAAGAAACGCTTTACTTAAATGGTGTCAAAATAAAACTGTTGGTTACCGAAACATTGACATCACGAACTTCAGGTGAGATTTTTAAAGTTTGATGAAAAGTTTGAGAATCACTGTTGTGTATGTTTTGATGTTTCAGTTCAAGTTGGAATGATGGTATGGCTTTGTGTGCACTTATGCATTCCTATTTACCCGAAATGATTCCATATGACGAGTTGACACCCCAAGATAAGAAGAGAAACTTTAGTTTGGCATTCTCAGCAGCTGAAAAAGTTGGAATTAATACAACGTTGGTAAGTTTCAGAATCACTGACTTTAGTCATGAAGCTTATTTACTTAATTATTTTAATTTTTATGTAGAACATCAACGAAATGTGTCAAATTGAACGTCCAGACTGGCAATGCATCATGGGATATGTCACAGAAATTTATAAACATTTTGAAACTCAACTTTAAAGAAACTTCAACTTTTAACTCGCATTTTTCTTCTCATTAAATATTTTCCACTATTTTATCGTTGAAATTTAGCATTTAAATGTTTAAGAATAAGATTTTTGTATTTCTTATCTAACTTTTCAGACTTAAATATGCAACTTGAAAGTTTTTTTTTCTTTACAAAAATGAATGAGAATCAATGAAATTTGGATGCCTTAAAGAAAAAAAAAAGATGAAAAAACAAAAATAATTTTTATATCTACGCATTGTAAGAATCGGTTGAAGAAAACAAAATATTTTTTCATATAATTCGTTTCCTAATCTGAAAAATTGACTGAAGTTAAAAATTAAATTTTTTCATACTTATTACGGCAGCGACATCAGAAACAGTTGCAACTATTTAACATAGGGTGAAAGTACCTTAAACGGTTACAACGAAAATGAGTACCTATTGTGGTAACAAACCACTTTGAGTATGATTTTCTTCGCTATTTTAAATCGGTATGGCTCAAAATTTTTAACAGAGGTGCTTTGAACCTTTAGCAACAATTATGCTTCTTATTTTAACTACGTTCTGCCCTTCATTTCCGTAAAAATCGTTCGCATTATTTATACCTCCAAAAATGGAATGAAAAAATAAGCGACAACAGGCCAAAACAGACAACCTGCAAAATTTTTCGCGGAAACAAGCTAACTGAAGACGCAAAACGGTTTGTTTACGTTTTCATATATTTTTAACTAGAAACAATGTTAAATAAAACACAACAATCTTCCTACATTAAATCAATTTAATATATTTAATTGTTTTTATGGCTGCAGCTGATGTTTTTGTTTTTTGTAGAACATTTTTTTTAGTCTTGCATCTTGTAACCACAATATGTCCCCATCTTGTAACCACAATATGTCCCTGATGCAAAAGTTGTTACCACAATATGTCCATGTTAGACCTTTTTTAAAATCCGTATTGTAGCTTAATTAAGCAACTATTTCGGAAAGTTTAAAAACAAAAAACTGTGAAAAGGATGGTAAAGCCTACTGTTAAAAATTCGATTCTCAATTTTACTTGAGGACTGTTTTATTAATTTTTTAAAAAAGATTAAAACCTTAAGAGCTTAATTGTAACCAGTCTGTTGCCATGGACAAGCGAACAACTTTGCTTAAATNTCTGAAAAATTGACTGAAGTTAAAAATTAAATTTTTTCATACTTATTACGGCAGCGACATCAGAAACAGTTGCAACTATTTAACATATTTATAGACAGCTCCAAATCTCTAGTCAAACAACAAACGATTTTTAAGTGAATAAAACTAATCGACGATCGTGTGTAAAAATGCGAATGGTTGAAATTAAAATAACGAAAACAGAGCTGAAATTTGCTTTTCATTTTAGATTATCTAAATATTATTTACAAAAAAGAAAAAAAATGAAATTGCATCAGTAACTTTTTGAGATATCGAAATAAAAGCATTATAGAGACTGAGTAATCAAAAGGTTTTTTCCATTTTAATTCTTTTCCAGGGTTGATTAAAATATTTTAGCTCCTGTCTGTGTATTTTCAGAAGATTTCCTATAAGAATTTTTAGATTTTTTGTATTACCAATGAAGTCGGTATTCTTGTACAAGAAACTTGTGTGGTAACTTCTTTTAGGCTGCGCAACAAGGTTTGCAGTTTTCATGTACAAAAAACTGGTGTGGTAATTTGCTTTCTGGAAAAGATTAAAAGTTAAAATTTTATGAATTTTGTAGATAGTTAATCATCAGAAGCATCAAAATAAAAGGAAAAAACTTTAATTTCTTCTTTTCAAGTTTTATTTATTTCACATTTTTCAATTTAAGCTTTTTTTCTTCGCGTTATGTTTCAATAATTAAATCCACTAATTTACCTGGACACGAGATAAAATTTTGTTAATAAGTTGCTGACATCAAAAAATATTTCGCTCGAAAATGTTTCAATTTGTTTAAATTTTTAATGCACTGAATATTAAGACAAACTGTTGCTTGAAATTTTTTATTAAACTTTTCTGATTTCTTTCTAAACGCGAGTGGCCACTTTTAAAGGCACAATTCATTAAATTTCAATAAAGCATTCTTGTGGATTTCTTTTTATTATTCTTTCCTTCCATAACATTTTGCAGCTAAGAATGATCTATTCACATTTCCAACTCTTTTTTTCTACATTTCTTTTATTGTAAATAAAATTAATAAAATTATTTAAAACTTTGAAGACCTTAAAGAACAAGAAAGTTAATTATTAAATTTTACCATCTTAAAACTATATTTTATGTTTTAAATTTTACAGAACATCTACAGCCAAAAAGGAAAAAGATCTGTAAATGGAACTTGAGATTCTTTTTCTCTTTTTTTTAAATCATGACTGTTAAGCTTTTCTTACTTCGATCTTTCATCGAGAACGGCAGTTGCATAAAAGCAATCACAATTCAGAACGGAATTTTAACTTGTTTAATTCAATCATGCTTTAGGTAGTTATTTAGTTATCGTAGTTATTTTTTAGTTGTAAGCGATAAGGGAAATACTTTCATTATTTGGTTTCTTGAATGGGGGGTTGTTCATAAGTTTTGTAATTTTCATTGCTTTAACACTTAAATATTTAGATATATTTTGGACATTTCCTTTCAGGAGTGATTTAAAGTTACCTAAGATTCGTCTGAAAATTTGTTATTCAACTTGCAAACTACCCCCAAATATTTCTATTTTTATGGTTCATTTTTATGATAAATAATTTCCATTTTTTTTCATTAAACATTCAGATTTTTTTTATGTATTTTTTATTTTGACTCGTAACAGACAATTTTACGGCTTTTATGGAGATTTCTTTTCTAGATCGTCATCTTTAAACTTTTGTTTTCTTTTCTTCTTATTACTTTACACATAAATTAAAATTAGCAAAGCATCTGAACGATGAAAGTTATTTTTTTAAACACTTTTCGATTCCATCCAAACTATTCACAAAGATGTTATCATCTCAATAATCTTCCTTTCAATTTGTTTCTCTACTTTAACTTATTTCACACTGCCTTAAGCAAGTCGTTGCAGGAAAATCATCGTTAAGAGTCCACATATCGTGCTGCTGATGATTGATGCTGAACTTGTCTGATTCTGTGACTCGATTGAATCTAAAATGAAATATAAATTTAGTTTACTGAAGAAATTTTAAAATTAAAAGACTTGAAATATGATTTGAGAGTTGAAAATGATATCTGCAGAATCTATTTAGATAATTAAAATAGATTTATCTATTATAATTTATTTATTTATTTAATTTTTTTGAAAGGGGAAACTTAAATTGTCGGTTAATGAAAGATAAGAAAAAGAAATAAACCATGTTTTATCAGCAATGTTTATTTAGTGGCGATAATTAGTCATAAAAATATGTTGGTCATATATGTCAACTTAATTAGAAGCTCAAAATAAAAAAAGAGAAAACTTTAATTATTTCCAATTAAAAGCCAATTTTTCGGTTCCGTATCAGGATCAACATAAAATATCTCCATATATGCTTTTGATGTTGATGACTTGCATATGAAGTGATTAGTTCATTAATCTAAATCAAACGACTTAGAGCGTCAAAATGGCGAAGAGAAATTAGGCGAAAAATTCAGACATGGTAACAAAATCTTTTATCAAAATTACCTAACGTTGAACTCTTTTGAGGCGGATCGGTAAAAGCTACGAGAAAAACTTTAAAAATTGACACATTTTGCATTGCGGTTTTCGGCGGGAGATCAAAAAAGGACGAACAGTAGATAATTGGTTTGTTTTTTTTTATGGGAAATAAAGTCAAACATAAAAAACGCAAATAAAATAATTAAAAAATATCAAATTGGGGACGACACAATTAAGCGGATTTTAAATTAACAAAAACAAATATTCAAGGATAAAACAATTTCTTTCTTGTCGTTTCTTAAATTAATCTTTTAATTAATTACATTTATTGAAATATTAATTTGTCGCTTACCTTTGGGAATTTTAATTGAAGTCACATGTGCAAAAATATCATCGGACCAGCTTTCAGTATTTCGAGCTCTTGGCGTGATGTCCCATTCGCCTTCATCCATCTTAAATGAAGCTTGAACTCTATTCATAAAGAAAACAGACAGAAATAAAAATGTTTTAGTTATTATGAATTCGACAATGATGAATTGTTAATTGACGATTTGATGGGCTTGGTCAGCGGTCACTTTCTTCTCAAAGCGACTATGAACATTTCCTATCTTTATTATAGTTTAAATTTCTATTTCACATTGTTATTGATATAAATGAAATGAAATTGAATGTTCTAAGAGTCATGTCAAATGCTTTTTTAAATATTTCAGTACTTAAATGTTAATAAAACAATTTGGGAACATTCAAACTTTCAAAACTTATGAATGAATCCATTCATTTTAATTTGCAATTGTTCTGAGATTTTCAATTGCATGTCAATTTTGCTGGATATAATTAAATGATCACTTTATTACTTACTTCCACTCGCCTGGTCTAACTTCATTACGGTTGGTTATTTGAGCGCTTTTCCGTTGCCATGGATCCTATTAAATACCGAAAAACTTCAATTAAGCAATAAAGTTGCATTGAATTGTCAATCGCTTCACTTACCTCTTTATTACGATATGTAAACTCCATTTCGGTCAATGGCTGGCGACTCTTAATTATCCAATCTGTGTAGACAATGTTATTGATATATTTATAGCCTTCAAATTTAGCTGGTGCTGGTCCTAATCCAAGTGTAACGTTTTCTCTTCTTGTACCAAGTGCATTCTGAATGTTGATTAAATTTAATTAAATTTCATTTAAAAGAAGCAAATTTCATAGAAATCTCACCTCAACTTCACATTGATACATCATGAAATCACTCGAAGTAACATTTTTTATCAACAACTTTGTACGATCGTGATGTTCTCTCATGTCATTTTCGATCTTATATTTGTTATTTTCATGAATCTTTGTGTTACCTTTAAGCCATTTAACGGAAATTGGAGCTGGGAATGCTTTGTACAGACAATGAATTTCAATATCGTTGTACTCTTCTCCATTGAAGTAACTTTGATGATGCGTAAAGAACGGTGCATCTGGAAAGAGATTTTTCAATTGAGATATTCTCCAAACGATCGTCTAAAAATAATAAAACTTACATTGAACGTCAATCTTGAAAGATGCTTTGAGATTTCCAAGCTCATTTGATGCTTCACATTCATAATCACCAGCATGACGAGCATGAAGTGTTCTAACAATTAGAAGTCCCTCACTATCAACTTTCAATTCATGATCTTTTCCTTGATCTAAGATCGTATTTCCATTATGAATCCACACAATTTTAGCTTCCGGACGTGCTTTTGCAATATGACATTTAAATCTCAAATCTTTTTGGCCTGCTTTATATACCAAAGTTTCACCAGCAATATTTTCTTGTGTATTGACATTATGGCCAATTTTAATACCACGAGGTGGGCCGTTAATTTCAAGATGAACAATCGTCTCATAGTTGACTTTATTCTTAGTCAAAATTGCGCGGCATCTAAACGTTGCATCATCGAATGGGTTTGTGTTCTTGATTGTTAGAGAACCATCTTTCTTCTCGAATTCTATCCGATCTTTCCATTCTCCTACAGTGACTTCACCTGAGATGATGATGCTTGATTCGTTATACCACATGAAGAACGTGTCACTATCGAAGTTTTCACCCAAACATTTCAACTTGATAGACTTTCCCACATCAACTTTCTCAGTGTAGCCTTGCGTCTTGTATTGTTTGACATCTATACTGCTTACTGTTGACTGTTTCTTATCTTCCGATTCATTGTAGTCATCTTCATTATAATCGCCATCTGACCCATCTTGAAGGTAATCGTCATCATCTTTACTTGATTCCAGTGGACTGGAGTAAGCTAGAAAAATGTGAGAAGATCTTTCATAAGTCACGATGTAACATGATATAATCAACATTTATATAAAAGAATTTCTAACAATCCAAACAGTTCTTGAAAACTGTAACTAAAACGATAACAAGACACGTCATTTATTGCAAAATTTTGCCGCCTTCGCAGCAAAACGAAAGAATTTGAATAAGCAAATATCCATAACAAAAAAAAAACTGCTGACATTCAGAAGTCTCATAAAACAACTCCATGTCGCTTTCCTACATTGTGGTATCGTCCATAAATAAATATAAAAGTTTGAAAAATTATCGTACTGGGAAAGCCATGCCGAGTGGGAAACAACAAACAGAATGCGAGAATGAGTATAAAAGTTTAATTAACAACGCGCTGTTGTCGTTAAAGAGAGAATTTGTCAACTGTTTGAATAATTCATTTTGAGGTTTTATTCAACCGGCATCGATTCTATCCGACCGGGTGTTAATTTGAGTGATCCAATTTAAAGTTGCTTGGTTTTAATCAAAACTATGTTTGTTAATTGACGGAGAAATGGGATTAAATGCTGTATGGTTTAGGCCTATCAAGTGAAGGTTCTTCTGAATTGAAACAACAGCAAAAAAACAAAAAATGAATTTCAATTATCACAGTCGAATGATTTGTTCAAATTTGGAAGTATCTAAATATCTAAAACGTTCTAATGGAACTCAAACGAACGCAGGTGCGTATACCAAGCACAAGTCATATAAAATGTTCATTAAGTAGATATTTAGTTAGGTAACAACATACGGCGAGAGTGAGGGAGAAATGTTATGATTTTATGGTTGCTTTAATTCATGAAGCTTGACGATGGATGTGGGACTTTGTGCTTAGCCTTTAAGCAAATTTTATAGCACCGAAGCAAGCTGACTTCTAATGTCTGTCATTCCGTCTTGCAGCACCCTTTTGGATTGCGTTTCGCTCGCTGCGCTCACATTTATATCTTCATTAATAATTCCAATGGGCACGTTTTAATTAAATTCTGTTCTCGACTTTGTCTAATTCCAACTTATCATCGTCGTTGCTTTTGTGTGAGAAAGTTTCAACTAATCGGCTTAACATTTTCTCATCTAGCTATCTAACTACGCGGTGTTAACAAGAAAAAGAAATGCAAGTCATTGCGACTATACAACTTGAGGGAGTGCTTTGTTGCTGTTCTAAATTGTCACGCCATCTTAACCTAAGCGATATCTTCTTTTCATTGTGATTTATTATGAAGTTCTAAAGACTTTCATACGATAATTATTATTTTCATTTCTGCCCGCACAGACGTTCCGCTTCAATCTGGTGAATGGGTGAAAGAGAAAAGCAGAAATGAAAAGAAATTAATCCATCTTTAATAGGCTACTCCTTTGTGATCTTTTTAATTTAAAATGTTCTTTGCGGTCTTTTTTGAAACAGACTTTTATCATAATTTTTGCTTCTTCATACCACTTTGTAAGTAGAATGAGATTCTCTTCCCTTTCTTTCCATCATTACCTCTGACTTTATTTAATAAGAATAGAAAAGAATAAAAGGAAAAGTCTTAAAAGCCCCGAACGATCTGATTATGATGAAGTTTTGTAACAAAGAAAGGTTAATCACGAATCGATGATGCGCCCTCGTCTATCATGATGAGACGTAGAAAAAGTAGAATTCAATTGATGTTAAAAAGAGCAATAAAAATAATCTACAACAGATCATATGTTAATGATGTCAGGTTAAATTTATGTTGTTTACTTTCCATATTTCTTAATTGCTGACGTGACTAAATTTACGATCTTCCACAAAGTGGTTAACAATCGAAATCATAACACTAACAATGAAAATGGTTCAATGAACTTAAAAACTTCACAACAAACTCTGATTAAGCTCGATTTATATGAGAATTTTAAAATATTTTGATGTTAATTGAAGCCTGAGAAAATAAATTCATAACAGCAACGCGCCAAAACAGTTTCAGAAATTAATTAAGCACATTTCATGTTTATTAATTTACTTCCTACATCAGAAGTCGCTTCTAAAGTCTTTCGTTTTTATTACGACCGACCGGTGTTGGGAATTTTTTTCGATAGATATTTCTATTTAGAATATAATTATTACTTTATAAAGAATCGGCCATTGACAGTTGTTGCCTGAGTTGGTTAGGGTCCATTATTGAAACAACAGTTCCATGACCCTACTGACACTGCTTCTAAATAAATATTCAACTTGAATTCAAGCAAAAAGAAAACAAAGATTCGTATGAATTAAGACAGAAGTGATTTCAACGAAATTATAATCTTTAAAGTACAATCAAAATATTTAGACATTGATTTGATTTCTTTTGATTAACATGCACGAATGAGAGTTTAAGTTTCTTTTTTCCCGTTTAGCAGTTGTTGTTCCTTTCATTTCTGAATGTTTTAATGATCGATGTTATGAAATAAATAAATTACACAAGTAAACATTACGCTTAGAAATGTTCTCGAAGTTTAAAGTCGTGTTGAAAAGACTGAATAAATTGTTAAACGGATTCTAACAGCAGAAAATCACATGATGGTCTTAGATATGTAGATAGCTATCGGCTGCTATTCCAAAAATGTACGTAATTCGCTATGAATTCATGATTCATACTTCATCGCTTCGCTTCTATTTATTTGAAAGCTTTTTAATTTCCTTTGATTTCCGATTACTCGATGGATGAGATTGGAATCAACTAAGTAAGACAGAATAAACAAAAAAGAAGTTTCATTCCAAAAATAACGTTATTTGGAGTCGAGAATACAAAGCTATAGTGTATACAAACAATTTAAAATATCAATATTTCAATCAACATAAAATTGAAATAACTTTTTATGCTTCAATTTGGGTGGCGTTTGTAAATTATGTAACACGATACTTTTTCATTATTTTTTATAACACTCAAATATGTATTGAACATATTTATAAGCATAGATATGTGAATATGTTGGAAACATCCAATCATGAATTGAATTTGTGACATAATTTAATAGAAATTTAATTAACGACAATTTCCGTGACATCTTTCGCATTAAATCGTTAAGTTTAAGTGCAACCACTGAAGATCGAAAGAAGTTAATATTAAAAACCGGTTGATGATCGAAAGCATTTGAGAATAATTTTGGTAAATACTTTTTATGCTTAAATATTTCTGAGTATTTGCTTGCTCGTTCGGTTGCTTGCAGGCAGAGATCAATTATCGAGTGGCAAAGTACTCTTGTGAATGAATTATTAACCACGAAAAAAAAATGCCTGAATACATTAAAAAAATTGTAAATTCATGAAAAAGAATTTAAAATCATTAATCATGTTAGAATATTGTGTGGCTTTCGGTATAAAATTGTAGACTCAGAGTGAGAATCAACTATCAAGTGAGTTTATAAATAAATAAAATCTTCAATGATGAGACGCGTGCAACATGTGAATTCTTTGTCAAGTGATTTAAGATGAATAAGGCGACAGTTTCCTTTTGTTTGAGAATTTTGACAAATGATTGTTTTGTTGATGGCTTCTGAAGTTGAAAGCTTTTTCATTTCTTTTATTGATGACCAAACAATCGATTTTTATTATATTCAAGAGAATACCGACTTCAAATGAAAGCAATGCTGAGTTGCAGGTTCTTAATAAATAAATTGATAAAACGATTTCATCAATAAAAGTTTTCTTCTTCACAGTCGTTCAGCCGACTAATTTTCCATCAATAAATTTCTTTCATCGAAAGTTCATCAAAGACGAAGAATCTCTTCAGTTCTTTGTATTTTTCAACCTTATGCACTTTTCAAACTGTTCAAAGGCTATTCTTTAAATAAATCTTTTAGAAAAATTACGTTTCAAGACAAAACAAAAGTTGAATAATCTTTTCCTACTTTCTAGATACGACGATGTGAGTTAAATGCTGCTCAGACACTCCCAAAAGACTCATTTCACTCGTTGCGTGAAAAATTCTTTTTATTTCACATAAAAGTCGAATAAATGTTCAACAAGACATTCTTTACGAATACTCCTGAATGTAATTAAAAAATAAGATATTAAAAAAAATATTATTTCATTTCAGAATCTCATAAATTATCTTCATCATAAGAAAGAAAAGGAAGAAGAAAAAGTTTGATTTAATTTCTCGATCGTCAAAAGCCCTTTTGCGACTTTGTTTATATGTAGTCTCGGCGGAGTCATTTCATGATGTTCGATTGAAACGTTGAGGTAGGTTTTATGACTTTTTTTTCTTAATGTTTGCTTATAGTTCTCATTTTCTTTCGTTGTCTTCTTTGATATCGACGCACATCTTTTATAATAAATCCAAAACCTGATTCTTCACTGCAAGATGACCTGCAAGCCGGTTTTATTATTTGAAAATATTTTTGAGTCAACTTGTGGACGCAAAAAAGTCAACAAAAGAACATGACGATTGATCCATCGTCGAGCATAGTTAATCAATATTCAATCTAAGCTTCCATGTTCACTATTTTCGGGGCTTCAACCAATACCACACATTAGCGTTTTATTACAGGTGTAAAATAAATGTGTTTTCAATTCCAAAACTATTCGTTCATTCACTGAGTCACTGAGTTGTTTCCATCAAGAAACCGACCGTTGAAAAGAGAAATAATTTCCATAATTTTAACGCTTCTTTTTCACCGCTACACGACACGGGCTTTAATACTCACTTTTTTGGGATCTTACGCTTGGATAATATTTCACCCAAGATAGATTCTTATCGAAAAGAAATTCGTTTTAATGGCGATTAATTAATTTGAATAATTAAATGAATAAACAACTCTGCGTTTGAAATGTAGCATGTCAATGATAAAGTAGTGGAATGCTGTAACATTTATCGTCTAAGTTTAAATTTATGCAATATTTATTTGAATTCAAGAATGTAGGGAGCAAACAAACATTGAAAGATTTTTAGATTAATTAGCAGGTCGGTGAGATTGAATCAACATACTAAACAACCTTCGAACTTTAGAAGAAAAATTAGATGAACGCAGTTATGTTCGTCATCCGCGTCACGATTTCTTTTAAAACAAGGAAATTGATTTCCGCATTCAAAATAAAGCAAACTTCTCTTTGCAAAGAAGGGAAAAAAGTTTAATTTGTTATGAAGATAATATTTCACTACGATCATGATTTTATCATCAAGCAATCTCTGATTATTTCCTGTCATTAATGATGCCAAGTTTGAAAGAAAAAAACTCGCGACATTCCCACAGACTCGCAATTTTTCATTCTCGCTTTCATCAATGAACTGCAACCAATTCAGAGCGCTGCAAATTGTTTTCATTGCTAAAAGACCATGAAAGAAAAAAATAACTTGAATGCTGCAATTCTACTGCAAATCTTTAACACAATATTTCTTATTTTATATTCGCTTTCCCTCTCAATTCCAATAAAATTAACAAAGCATTAAAATATGACTTTTACGGCTCACACCCACAAAATTTAGTTCGATTTAAAAAATTCTTTAGACTTATTTGAGGTAAACGATCGATGCGTGTTTTAGAATAAAAAATTAATTTCTACTTTACATGGCGAGCGTCTGTTTGCTAAGCACTGACATGAGACGATTGTCGAGATCTCTTTCACTTAGCAGTGAACAAACTATCGACTTCATATGCATGCTGACTTATCTATCATGCTTAAAAGATTGCTTTCGACATTTCATTTCACTCTTCTTTGTTTTGTGTTTCATCTCGTCGGTCCCACCACAAAAAAAAATTATTCTTTTGATTAATCTTATGTAAGTATGTTTGTGTTGGAACGCTTTTCTTAAGAAATAAGAACGCAACATAAAAAAGACGAATTTTATTCATTTTCTCAGAGCTGCTTTGCTTTTCGGGATCAAAAACATAGCGAGATTGTTGGGAGGTCGCATTGGGTCAAACTGAAATAAAGAAGAATGCACGAAGGGGGATCGTTTTATATTTTATTCATTTCTTTGTTAATCCGATACGATTTTGGAATTAGTCCCACAATATAACATAACTTCTAAAAAAATATATTTAGAGAGACAATCAAATTTATTTACGCGAATACTTTGTTGTTTATTTGAATTTTGATTCTTCCGAGAAAATAATTTTATTAACGAATTTGCATTCAATGCTTCAAGCAACAGGCGATAGAATTCAAGAATATTTCTGCTATATATCAATTCATCCACTTACGAAGCCAATTTGCATAAAAGAAGAAATAATATTAAGCGAAATTTGAAGCAAATAAAGTCTGTAACAGAAACGAGAAGCTTTTTTTTATAAATTCAACCTTGATAAATCATAGAAAGAAAAAGCATAACAAAATTTGTCAGCAACGATATCGGAGGGCTTCGAATGTCGTTGGTTATCTAAATAGAAAAGAAAAATAAAAAGGTTCGGATGTCCTTTCATTTGGGTATGGCATCACCACGTGCAATATGAGCCGTTAGCTGAAAAAATCGTTTCCGTTCACGCGATTCTCAGAGTTTATTTTAAGTTGATTGGAGAATATTTTATTGCTCTTATTGTAGTAAGAATAACTATGTCATTAAATCAAAAGAGACAGAAACAAAGGATTGTTTGGTAATTACGTAACCGAAAGTAATAAATTTTCTATTTTTTTGCAATTTTCTTAATGCGTCATCGAGGCTCGACAATCTCCGAAATATATTTACGATGCTTTTAAAAATGAAATTTAAATTCAATGTTTCTAACGCCCAATAAAACTTAAGATTATGTTTTTCTTCTTCATAACCGAGCATCGCTTTTAAGAATATATTTTCGAAGATGTTGAACCTGTGACGACCAAATTTTAAAACGAGCATGAGGTTTTAGTGATATCTGAAGAAAAGCCGCGCCCTTACAATTTACTTATTCACTTTCGTTCTATTCTTTTTATTGTTTTCCAAATTCTCATATCAACTTCAACGTCAACTTGACACGCACACAATCATACGATAAAGTTGTAAACGGAAGAAAAATTAATAAAACGAAAAAAGTTGAAGGAAACTATGTTGAGGTTTCAATTATCATCGGACGTTTCAGCAAACCCAATTGGCTACGCTCAAATTACAGTAATTTGATTAATTGCAGTCATTTAAGGAAAGTGTTATAAAACTATATAATTAATTATAAATGATTCAATAGCGCGAGCATATCTTTACGGTTAATTCGTTTCGATCATTTCATATCATGCATCAGAATTGAGTTATTGAAGTTGATTTCAAGCAACATTCTTGCCTTACATTTCTTCGAGGCGAGTAAACATGTGACCGGTTTCTTCTTGTTTTAAAATAACTAAAATAAATCTATAAACAAGCGCGTCTCATAACTTCCGCCCATCAGTGAAAGTTTAAAAAGAAAATTATTCATTGAATTTTCTTTGGAAATTTGTTTTCCGGAACTTGCGACAGCAACATCTGGATCATGAATGATTGTAGTCGTAAAATATTTGTAATGGAAGAGAGAACAAGAACAAGAGATATAAAAGAAAAGTGTTCATAAGTTGATTAAATTAATTTAATTGAAGTTAAAGTTAAATTTATAGGCGCATGGAAGTGGAAATCCAACATAAAATATTCTTTCAGCTTCTCTTGTTTGTTTTTTTATTTAACTTTTCAATTGTGCGTGTGTTTAACGAACACATGGTTTGTTGAATTTTCCATTCTTTACATTTTTGATTCCGTAGCTGACACATGTTTTGACTATGGAAATTGAACATTGTTACATCATGATGAGAATTACCAAAAATAAAAATTTATTATTAAGGGGATGTTGCGGATATGACGTGAAGATTTTGCTTGTAGAATTTAATAAAACATTCTATGAAAATAAATATTTTGAATGTAGCTTTTTTATTGACGAAATATCCGCACACATCACCCACCCATCCAGTAGATCGGATGAACTTCTGTTTCGATAACGAAGAACAACAAACAGTTTTTTTATGGTGGTCAGTAAATGGCCCGACAAGATCTGTTTCCAGAAAAACATTCCAAATTTGCTTTGATAACAATCAGCAATCGAAAATTTTTTAAACGACCCCATGTTGACCAGATGCCGAATGCGCAAAAATTATTTCGCCTTTCTGATGTTTGAATGTTGCCAAATATTTGCTACTCGAATGGAAATGAACTTGGCCTGTTCATAATTTGTACATTGACATGACGAAGGAGTTCTTAGTGTCGTTCAAGTCACGGTGGAATGAAAAAATGATCGTTAAATATATCCCCATGCAGACCTTAAATATTATGTCATTTAATGACTTGGCGTGGGCGTTTTTATGTTGCGTAGCATTTTTCTACTTCATTTCTTCATATCACTATTCGATTGACCTCGACGAAAAATCCGTAAAACATAAAAGAATTGTGTGTGTGGTGGTTTGACGGTAGAAATTAGACAAAAACCCTTCTAATATTTGTAACTTTTAATACGACTAGTAGCTATTATAAAAAGAATGAGAGAAATATTTCTGACAGTTTCAGGGAGAAGCTGAAAATATTGAAAATAGAAATGAAACATTTGAATATGACATGATATTTGTTTTAAGTTTTTTTTCTCTTATTTTATGCAAAATTATGCACATCGGAAATCTTGCTGCTTCACTGTGTAATGTTAATCGATAATTCTTGTTAGATAAACTCATGAATTTTTCATTGTTTGCAACATTTCTAAGGAGTGAAACATTCTGTTATACACGCGTCATTATAAGCGTTCGTGACAAGTGATGTCTAAATGAATGGCTTAGCAAACTAAACATCAGGAATAAGTTAGCATTTTTACGAGTCATCGTGTTTAAGATTGCACAATGCAAACATAGCGAGCTTTACAATTGCAATTACTTGCTTCTTACTTAACCATCACAATCATTACTCCAAATGTTACAAAGAGTTGTTCCCTTTTTATTTATTATTTTTCGCTTATTCTTAATCGATTTCATGACGATAAAACGTTATAAATATGCGCACTTCTAGGGCATAAGAGCTTGTAGCAAAGTATTTATCCAACGCTTGTTATTTTTCAAACAGTTGAACATTGTTCCAGTAAATATTTAATGTTTGACATATTTATTTCCACAGTTTGTTCGTCACTTGTTTGTAACTTCCAACTAACAGCAAAGAGAAAAAAATTAATTCAGAATCCACTTAAGAGTCATGAATATGTATCCAAGGCTTATCGTTGTTGCAAATCTTGTTTTTATGAACTTTTATGCAATCAAAATTATTCGCTGATGATGGTGAATGTTGAAGTTGGTCATAAATAAACATTCCAAAGTGTCATTGAAAGTTATTTATTTAATAAAGCTATCAATAAAAATAAGATTGATTCATAAGTTTCTTAATAACTTGAAGAATGTAAATAACTGAAGGTATTGAAATTTGAAATTCTTTATCAATTGCGAAAAATCACGATGGATATTTGCATTTACACAACTTAAAGTGTGACCGGACTTTATGAAAATATAGCCGAGCTTACATTTCTGTTAAATGCTGTAAAAACTTATGTTTAATTAAGTAAATTTAACGTCAGCTTTCGAGTATCGGTTGATAGATTGAAATATTTACTCGTAAATTTGAAACTTTATAACTTAACGAGCATTTGATTGCGGTTTTCACCTTGGAGCTTCCAACAGAAGCAACATAATGTTCATCCATTGTGTCTAACGTGAAGATTAAAAGCCAGTTTATGAAAATAAATAATTTCGGACAGTAAAACTTTTCATTTCTCAAAAAGCTGTCGTATTGTGAAAGAAGTGATTGCGTCATCATTACAATGTGGAACTAGACGTCAGTCACAAATAAATCTCTTAAATCTTCGCTTATCCCTGCTAACAAATAGAGTAAACATTGATCAGTCCAATCTCAACGTCTTGTGTAATATTTTCAACAGTTTGAAAAATAATACTTTAGATCTTGCGAATCAATTTATAAAGATTTTTTTTCTAAAAGTTCTCGTGATGATCTAAGCAAATATTCAGCTCTAGTTTATCCTACCAACTACTCTGGCTTCTTATTTATTTTGAAAACATTAACTAATTACCTTCTTTAATAAATCCCAGTCATAAAAAAATTCTCGGATTATTTTAGTTATCTACAGCAATTATTCTCGCTATTCTAATCCCTAAAATAAATCATCCACCCCACAAAGTTGAAACTATCTGATCGACTTATAATAAAAACTATTCGCGTGCATTAACTGTGACGGCTTAAAATAAATCATGAACTAACAACTAACCAACTAAATTCCCCCTTTTCAAGTTAGTTAGTTTAATAATTAGTAATTCTAGGATGTTTTCAACTTAATTAAAATTGGCAATGAGACACCGCTAGGTCATTATTTTCCCTCATACTTTTCTCTGACGACATTTACATGCCAAAACTTATTTTAGGCGCGCTTCGACAGCACTTTCTGACAGCCAAAAAGTCAACATATCAATCTCAATCGAAAATTGCTCATCAATTATTCAAATGAGTGAGTGAGTATTAAAATGAAATGTAAACGAATAATAATCAAAGCTTTACCAAAGCCTGCGATTAATCATAAGAAAAACAAATTCTGTTTACTTTTAATTCAATAAAGTTGAAGTCATGTTCGTGTTTAACGTGCTATGGTCAACTTTGGAATAAAGTGTGATAAAGGTGGCACAACACAATTGCTTAAATATTATAACAAGACTATAATTAGACAAATCGCATTCGCATCATCTACACGCTTCTTCATTCAATAACAGCGACTTTTAAGTGGATACAACAATAGAAACGTTTAGCTNTAGATATTAAAACCGATAACCGAGAACCGATAACCGGATGGTTTTTCCGGTTATTTCGAATACTAGGTTAACCGAGATTTCTTCCGGTTAACCGAAAAATAACCGAAATTAGCGAAATTTACTACTATTAAAAATTTTTTTCGCAAATTGTTTCGTTTTTTTGATTGTTTTTGGCTAAAAACGAATTAAAGTTTAGTGATATGCATTTTTTCCTTTAAAAATAATTTATTGTTGTAAAATTCTTTAAATGTTAAAATCAAAGATACTAAAAGCCAAAAAATCTTTTTTTTTGAAGTTTTTGTATATTTTTGAGTCAGAAGCAAGCAAAGTGCAATAAATGTATCAGGGAAAGAGTGGAAATATGCATAACAAGCATTCTTTTTCATTTTTCATGTTGAAAAATCAAATTTTCATGACTATTTTAAGATTTCGGTTAACCGTAGGTTAACCGAGTTTCTCTGTTTCGGTTACTAGGTTAACCGGAATCTGAAAAATACCGGTTAATTAACATCTATAACTATAATTAGACAAATCGCATTTGCATCATCTACACGCTTCTTCATTCAATAACCGCGACTTTTAAGTGGATACAACAATAGAAACGTTTAGCTGTTCATCCGTAAAATTTGTTCATTCATAGCTTGCATGATGATATCAGCAATTGTTAATTATGTCATCGAATAGCTCAATTGTTTCGCCAACAAATGATTTGAAGGAAAGGAAATCATGATGATGATTACTCGAATGAATGAATGTTCAATAATTTTGATATTGATTGATGATCATTAGTGAAATATCTTAATTTTCATTTTAGGTTATTGCAAGCAAGATTTTCGAGATATTTTTTCTATTAAAATTTGTTAAAAGCTTCTCTGATTTCGCAAGGCATATTAATTAATCAAAAGTCAATGAATTTAAAAGCTTATTCATCCAAATCGTCATCTTTAATCATAATGACAGTGCGGCTGCATGAATGAAACTGAAACTAAGACTTCTCCTAATGACATTGCATTTATTAATATCAGCGTGACACCATTAACAATCATTCATCATGCAATTAAGTCTACCATTGACTAATTCAAGATTTTTACGATTTATCAACTTGGTAAGAATGAATATGACTTTAAACATTTGTGCGATCATAAATTTTAAAAATANAAAATATTATACAGATAAAGTGACGTCTTCTATATAAAAAATTAGTTTTAAATATATAAACCCTCATTACGCCGTCTGAAGGGGCTGGGCCGAATTAAAAATGATGCAACTTGACGGGTATTCTTCTTAGGAACATTTGTTTCATACATGACCATGACATTCGATGGTCATATAAGAAGATATCTAATAAAGACCGCTCTCTGAAAGAAAAGTTTCCACTGTGCATTGACTAATTCAAGATTTTTACGATTTATTAACTTGGTAAGAATGAATATGACTTTAAACATTTGTGCGATCATAAATTTTAAAAATAAATTGAAAGCTTTTGAGATTTAATTTGTAAATATTTTAAATTGATCACTGATATGAGTTGCAATTAAGCGCCACAAGTTTTGATCGAACAATTTATTTTTTATATGTTTATAGAATGACGACTAATAAGTCAGACTAAATTTGATCGAATCAGACGACATTACTTGTTCCTTGTGACTCACATTTTCTCATCGAGCGACGTCAAGTGTTGCTGACATTTACATTCAATTTTTCTTATGGTTTCAAAGCACCACAACGCATGCAAATGAATAAATTGTTACTATAAACGCGATAATTGGCCGCTATGACTTATTCGCTATTTTTCAATGTTATTTTTATCTACAATTGTTGATATATTAAATATTCAACCACACCAATAATTTATCAAATAACACCGTTCACATCTCCTAAATAGCGAAAATCAACGGAATAAAAGCTCGTTGAAAATGTTGATGACCGTTTGCGAGAAGGCACGAATGTGAGTGTCTCATTATAATTATTTTTACACATAACCATTAGAATATGAACGGACTTTATTGTCATTCATATAATTATGTCACACAATTTAAGAAGCTCTTACTTGACAAGGCCGATGAATCAATAAAGACGGGGAAATGCGTAGCTGCTGGTGACTGTTGATGGAAAAGTAAATATGAACGTACGCGAAACATCGAATGTAAACAATTTCAAGCAAACATGGAAAAGATATTTGAGGAAGCTCGAACAGCTAAGGTATGATGATGAAATATTAACCTTCGGAAAATGTCACACGTCATTGATTTTCTTTTCAATCATCAATTAAAGTTAAATTTATAAAAGAAGCTTCAATAAGTAAAGAAGCGATTAAACATTTAAATCACGAAACACAAAAATACAAACTAAAACTTTTTCTGGGAATTTCTCTGTCATTGCATTCCCAATTTTCTTTCTTTCTCCTCACAAATGATTCACTACACAAAACCGCTAAGAAAACAAATTTCTTTAATTAAAATTCGCGGCTGTGTTTATGCGCGGTTGCTTTATTATTCACGCATCAACGTCGCATAAATCTTGTGACGATATGAAACAAACATTAGAGTTGAACATAATTTCACTCCACAATCCTCGTTTATATTTCATTGCGGAACATGCTGTAGGATCATTAAAAATATTTTCGAGATCAAGAATCATAAAAAATAGACAAATATGTAAGTGACGTCGTCAGAATGCTTATTTTAACTATGCATGATCGTGGAATTAAATTTCATTTCACGTTTTCTTTCAGGATTGCTTTCTTCGAAGTTATTCAATAACTTCACAGACCTTAACTTGAAATATATGCAGAAGAAGACAATAACATCATTGACAATTGTTTTGTCATCGTGAATAGTAAATTATCAAGTCACATACTTTCAGTTTTGCGGTCGCAGCAACGTGACATGGGCGCAAATTATGTTTGAAGATATTCGACATTCATTCAAGATGAGTCAAAAGATATTCAAGAGTTATTCTGTCACCACTCGATCTCACAATAGGAATGATCTCCGCTTGAAAGCATTAATTTCCATTAATTATGCTAACTCGTGAAATTAACATCTTTTGTTCCGTGTTCGAAGATTTTCGCGCCTTCAAGAAAACTTTTTCTAATCTCCATGTAAAAAATGTTTACAACGTGGGTGGACAGTTAAGAAATTACAAAAACTTTTTTCTTTTCCTTTTTGGCAGCAGTTTTATTCAACAATTTATATTTTCGAGAGATTTTGATCGCGATGCTTGCATATGTTGCAATAATTTATGTGTTGTCTTACTTACTATGTTGCATATTTAAATGAAATTGCATGGTGTGGATAGAAACATTTGCGATCAATGCTCAAATGATTTTTTTCAGCGCGTTTAAGACTAAAACAAATAGACAGACATTGGAATGTCGTTGTAATTTGTAAAATGTTATTTTTTCTTTCGCATTTTTCAAGAAAACTCGCAGACTGGTCATTCGCCTCGGGACTATTAATATCCACTTTTACGTAAATGAAAAAAATTCTTGTCGACATGCGACGAAATGTTGAAATTTATTAAATGAACTTCCAGCTGCTGCAAAGCATCGCACGAGACTTGATGATTGAAATGTTACAGTTTCATTGAATTAATGAGTTTAAATGCACTGAGCGACATAATGGAAATGCAAACTGTTACGATTGCTACTCGCTGATAATATGATGAAGTGGGTAGACATAGTGACACAGAAGCAAGGCAAATCGAAACTTCAGCAACCTAAATTATTACAAATGGCTTTGTGGTGGAGTTTAATTCAATGAACTATGCTGTGGAAATTTTTCTTTTCTTCTTCTTTCTGCTAAAAATAGTTGACGTTGTTGATCGGAGAGAATAACAATAAAGTTATCATAAAATCATATGTGATAGAAGCAAGGACGCATGTTCAATGAATAAATTCATGTCAACGCCATGAGATATGAAAACAAAAACGAAAGACTTCTGACGACGATGCACAATAACAAAGAAGAGGAAGGCAAACAAAATATTATTACACTCAGTCTGGCGACGTCAAGAAGTCTGGAGCATAGTTGAGTTCACAAGTGAAATCGATTTTTCCTCCAATTCAAGAGCGGAATTGTTTGCGTTCCCATGTTCGAATTTGCTGTTTTCCATTTTCAAGATTAAAGCCAATAATTTTTGAAGGATTTTTTTCCTTTTTATTGTCGGGTATGTTATTAAAATGCACTTTATTGGATTTTTGGGTGAAATCATCAATGGAGTTACTTATGAGATTAAATTTTGAATCAAAAGAGAAGTTTCGTATTGGTTAATGGATTTGCTACCGAATATCATTTAAACGAGAGAGATTAAATACGAATATCTGACACGTCAAACGATAATAAATAACATGAAAATATTGGAAACTATTTGTGACCTTATTTTTAAACATGTGATAATATTTTATAGGATTGGGTGAGAGATTGTTGGCAGTGGAACTAAGCCGTTAATGAGATATTGTTGAAAAAGTTTATGCAAGGTTGAAACGAACTATATTTGATGCTCTTCCAATTTCCACATTTTAATGGTTTTTACATGAAATAATTTTTCCCCTTCATCATCCTTGACCTTATCTCAGCATTCTTCCTGCATTTAAACATTTCTAGCATTAAAAATAAAGTTTAATTACGTATGATAATCCAAACAGAGAGTTCTGTTGTTTGAGGGTGAAATTATGATCATCTTTAATCTCATGTTTAGTGAAATTAAGTCAACAATGAAATCTTATGAATAAATCTCATTGTGATTACATAAACTACACTCAACTCTCTTCATTATTTATTTTTCGGTTAAGGAACGGTCGCATAGATGATGCGCAGAGTTCAACTCTCAAGTATGTATATTTATTCAAAACATAATGCTGGGTAAACTATTTTTATGTTGTTGGTGTAATAAATTATGGATGACTCATAAAAAATAATCGGAGTTCTGAAGACATTCTTTACTTTATCGAAAAAAAAACGAAAGAAAAGAGTCGAAAAAGATAAAGAAGCGAGAGTTGATGTTGTTCTTTGCTGTCGCGTTTATTGTGGGGAGATATTTTCGAGTCTAGCGAGCATGAGAAAACAGTGACACTCGAAGATTGACTGACAATTTAATGCTGTGGCGTGTCAAATTAGTATACGATTCTAACTTCTTTTGCCGGTGATACTTTTTCTTTTTGTTTCTGATTTTCAATTTGGTTTCAAGCACTGATATTTTGCGTTTAAATATTGATGCAACGCAAGAACTTGAAGTATTGTTAGACATACATAAAAATCATGTCTTTCATTTCTCAAATCCCATTTCAAGCATGTTAGTTTGAAATCAGATGAAATAAGCGGCGAAATAAAAAGCGACAGAGGCCAAAAAGAAAATAACTTGCTACTGAGTTTATTTATTTGAAAAAGAGAAAAAATAAATGTAAAATTACGATGTGCTTATTTTTGTTTCGATCGCTTTAACGTATTTTCTCTGACCTAAATTTTCCTTCCCGAATTATAGAAAAAAATGCAATCGCGTTCACATTTCACGTTTTTCCTATTAGCGATGACGGGGAAAATCTGGCGAATGCCATAAGAACTTCAATAGCAGTGTGAATGATGATTTTTGTCACAAAAGTTCACGATCAATCTTCTGTCACTTGTAACATTTCCCCTTGCGGTGAGCTTCATACAAGTCATAACTTTTAAATACTTCTTTGATCATTTACAAAGTCATTAAACTATAATAAGAAAAGCCACACGTGGCCATTAAGAGTCATTAAAAAATTGTGACCATCTTTATAAATCAATCCACAAAATTTCTTAATTCGAAACATTCGGTCGTTTTCACGTCGATTACATTTACATGAAAGTATTCCCCAAAAAAAATAAATCCGCTTCAAATCTGCTTTTAAGTCACAACTCAATGGAACGAAGACTGAAGAAAAAAAAATATAAAAAGTGTAGCAAGAGGTTTAATACGCAACAAACATAAGGTGAACGTCTCCAATGACATGGCTCATTAAATCAATTTCTCACCCAAGAATGTAGATAAGTTGTAATTGTGCATCATGAATAGATAATGAAGGTTGCAGCTGGTGAAACTGTTTACAATCCTTCGGGGCTCAATGAGCCCATCATATTGTGTTTGCTTCACATTCATTGTAATCTTAAAATGCATTCAAATAATAAAAATAAAAAATAGAAAAAAGAGAGACTATGAAGTATCAAATTCCCAATTTTTCTTCAGAATTTGAAGCAAGAAAAACGATTTCATGCAAGACACAGACAGACAACAAAAGGCAAAAGGTGCAATGAATTCTGAAGATCCCCGGCTGCGGAATGAATTGAAATCCCAAGCAAAGGCGGGAACGAATGGCGACCTTAGGTGAACAACATGAAAAATCTGACTGTTTCTTAAATAATCATTAAATGACCAGAAATTCTCTTTTAACAAGTGATGTTGTTCCAACAAATCTGCTTCGTGTAATACTATTTTATTCAAATATCTTCTGGTATCTAAAAAAACTTCATTTTTCAACCAAAAGCAAAAGTCCAACATGCTCATAAACATTCCAAGTTAATCTCTCTCATTCAACATGAGAAAACATTTCTTTTGTGTCTATTTGTTTTGTAATTTAAACACCCAGGTTACCGACACAACATCTTTTGGTTACAGAGCAGCTCCATTTGTGAGCTGGATTCATAATGAATGTTCCATGGCTAAGTGAAGGAAATTTACACAATGTTGATGATCATCAAACAATGTCTTTCGCTGTCGACGTCGAAAGAGAAATGGTAAAGCAAACAACATTCCATTTCTACTTCCTAAGCCGAATCAACGGCACCAGATGATGATGAAGATGAAATCACTGATAATTACTCGGCTTGCATTTCAGTTTCACACTCTCGACCCTTATTTGGTGTCAAATAATATTCTGCAGCTCTTATTATTACTTTAATTAACTGCAAATTCTCTTCTGGCTTCCGTTGGGATCATCGTCGTTACCCTTTTTACTTTCTTCATAAATAGCAAAAATTTTCTTTCCCATTCAATTGAAAGAAATTTAAAAACGTTTTGAAGTTCGAACTGAAAATGCGATTATTAATAATTTATGGGATTCATTTAATAAAGCCTCTCCCTAAACGTGCACTACACGCTCTCGATCATTTCTTTACCTGCCATGAGTGAGTGCATGTGTTCTAAATATGCATTTTCATTCAGCGATTAACAATTCTTTCGTTCTTCTGGTTTTATTTTTATTTTCTTTTGACTTCTTTACTGTTTGAACAACAATTTACTATGGTAACTATCATAGAATGGACATTACTAGCACTCATACACACACATGCATGAATGAATATCTCAAGGTGAACGCAAACTGCATACAAATTTTACGATGCCTGATGCATATCATGACGTTCACAAATGGCAGGTAAACGGAAAGAAATGCTTTCGTGTTTTCCAACAAATATTATTTTTTGTTATTTCTTCCTTTCATGTTTGATTCTTAAACATTTGTAAGTATGTTGGTGAAATAAGTTGAGAATAGCAAGGACTAATCAAGGTATTGGCTGTTGCACCTTTTCATATTCATTTCCTTTTTTTTCTATGTTGAAGAGAATTATCGAAAGTGTTGGAAGCAAGAACGGTTTTTTATGAGTGCCATAGTAGATGATGGATCTGCGTTTGGAATCTTTGTTCTCATCTCTTCTTCTAACCCTGGCAGATTCCTTTTTTTTTCTTGTTGCCTTCACACAATTTCCTAGAATGCAGATCTTTCCTTTTCATATTTTCATCCCTTCGATGTTAAATGAGAGATAAATTCACAGCATGACTACTTGTAGATGAAATTAAGAGGCAACACACATCAGCCATTCCAATCAAGCGAAAGCGCCAGGTTTCTTCACTTGAGTCTCATGACGATGCAGAAAATATTTTCAAGTTGTTCACTTTTTTACCTATTTAAGTATTATTTATTTTCAATGAGATTCTGTATAAATATTTGGGTGGACATCGAAGTGAAAGGAATTGTTTAAATGTTTCGTGTTAACTTCTCGTATTTTCTTTCGTTTATGTATAAAGATTAAATTTCTATTTATTAACTTTCAGAATATCCCCTCAATAATACTTAACAACAATTTCTTTCCTTTGTAATCGAGAGCTGCATTAAATTAGAATTCTTCGCCCCTCAATCTAAATAGGTACATAACATTTAATTCGATATATATTTGTAAGTTTTCCCAAAGCGACATAAATTGTTCTTAAATACTTTGACACCACGAAATTTTCATAATTTCAATTTCATCCCTTTTTGTCATAATTTTGTTTCCTTTTTTTTGTTGAGTTATTTTGACGGTTAAACTTGGTGGCGCAAATGTCGATTTCGTGGTGGAAGTTCCGGATGAAATTTTCAACCCTCCAAGTTGAAATGCTACAACAAAACAAAATGAAAATATTTTCAAAGTCACATCCCGTCTTTATTTATGAATTATGTGATGCGTGCGAAAAGATTGTTTTTCTGTAAGGGACTTTAATGACCTTCATGCTCATAAATTAAAACAGAAACCAGAAAAGTGTTTGATGCTGTGCATGCATCTTTATTTGTCGTCAGAATTGCATAAACTAGAAAGTTTCGAGTCATCTTTCAACATTTTCCCATGTCAAGGGAGAAACCTTTCGAGATCGAGAGGGAATCTGCTCTTGAGAAGTCGTTCAATCGATCCACTTAAAGTGCACTTCATCTTCATAATTGTAGAAACATAACTGATGATCTTTTCTAGGTCTGGGACTTATTTGTTGTAAAGCGCCCGCACATTCCTTAGCCATTCATCAAGCGTCGAAGAAGACAGCCATTTCAATTAAAAAATCATATCAATTGAAGTTCTGTTTTCTGATCGTAATCAATCCATAAAGGCTGGTAAAAAGAGAACAACACGCGCTTAATAAAGTACGCTTACGATTAATGCTGCCATAGAAATGTTCAATCTTTCTCTGTCTGTCTGTTTGTAAATTGTAAGTTTGTATATAAGTGGATAAATATCATATAATGAATTGAACGACAATCAATTTCTCCCGCTCTGCAAACAAGAAAGTGTCTTTAACATTCTCTTCAATGAATTTAGATGATTGCATCATAATTTTCCCCATTCATGTCGATGACTCATCGTCGTCTGTTCTCGCCATCGATGACAAATCATGGAAAAGGAAAAAGATTTTTGTGTTCTTCCCCATTCTTAAAAAATTGTTGAACCATTCCGGGTCATAAATCATTACGTAGTGAAAATTTACATGCAACTTGACATTATTTTATTTGGGGCAAAGAATTCTTTTTCTGTTCCGCCCTTCCTTCTGTTGACATGCAGCGATATTTTCCTTCTCATTGATAATCAATTTCATACACAACAAATTTTTCTTCATTTTCTAATGCAGTAAAATACAAAATTTATGTAAGAAAAGCCATCGTCAGTTCATTGAACCTTGCATGATGTTGATGATGTTATTGTTAAAGTCGTCATTCACCCCCATTTCATCCATATTTCATATTCAACAAACAAATGAGACATTTGCTGACTTCGAATGCAAAAACAATTTTATTGTTACAAGATAATTAATGGCGAACGGGCCTTTGACCTTTTACTTCAAATAATTTTTAGAACATACCCGCGACCACTTATCATGATGTGGAATACGCCGGAGAAACGTTTTTATGCCTCTTCATGGTTGAGAGATTTTTTCGGCTTGACCACGTCTAAAAAAATTTATGTAAACGTTTTCCGAAAGTTTCATTGCTTCGAATTATCAATTCTAAATTAACAATTCAACGATAGTGCGTGAAGAAACCGAAGCCATGTCATCACATCAAGCAATTTGTTTAAAATGTTCTTCATCAGTTTATCTTTAATTCGCAATGAATGAATGAATATTGATTACTGTACAATGAATATGTGTGTAAATATTTGAATTCTTTTTCATTTGCAATGACTCATTACGAAACGATGACTTCGCTTAATATTCAAAGAGTTGTAGATGAGACCATCAATGATTAATATTCATTTCACTTCGTCTACCAATGAGTTGACAAATCAATTAGACTGAGATGAACTCATACATGACTAAGGTGACATTAAATCATGGGGAACTTTATGCTATTGCATGCTATATAAAAAGGGAATTGATTTTACTTTCAAAAGATTTACGATTATCCAAAAAGTGTCGAATAGAAACAGTCGAGAAGATTTAAAACATTTCAACTCAGATTGTTTGATAGTTAACAAAGTCGGCTTGAAACAGAGACAACATATATTTATAAAGTCATATCGTAGACATTAGTAAAAGAAGAAATTTTAATTAAATTTTCCACGCCACTCAAACATTAACAAAAGACCCTTCGTTTCGTTCTTGGAAGATTAACTTAAGTTTTCAGTGACTTCACGAGAACGTTATCAACCATAAACTTGTTTTCCATTTTTACAAATTATTCATAAAGAAAGTAATTAAATTAATTCAGTTGATTACAAAGCGTTGTTTTTAAGTCAAACTACTTTGTTACTTAAATGAGCTCTAAAACCTTCATACCGAATTCCGATCTAACTTGATCTGAATTACAAATTTTAATGAGAAGATTAAACTTTCAATGAAATGATTTCATTTCGATGCATTTGGAATCTAATAATTCTTCTTATCGATTTCAATAGATTTAAAGTTCTGAGTGCGAGAAAAATTGAATTTACTGAACTTTCAACTTGTCCCATAAAATTTTTAACGTCACACAGCATGAAGAGATTAATTATTTTTCTAATGGATTTTTAATGTTGTTTGATGCTTCGCTACGTTCAAATATCAAAGAGAGAGTGTGGAAAGGCGACTACTCAATTGATTTCACATGTTAAGTCGCCAATTATGTATACAAGAATGATTTTCGAATGTGTGTCGATCGATCAACATATTTCTGTAGCCAACAAGATGTGGAGCCGTAATGATGACTTAAAAACAGCCACCTTGAACCATCAAACAAAAAAGAGCCAACTTTACCGACATAAGATCATGCAATAAAATTCCACTGATTCTCAACAAAGAAGAAACACGTACGATGTGGTATGAGGCAAAGAAATGATTGCCAAAAATAACAAAGCATCATATTGTGAGGACTACGAGCTTGTGTATCAAAAAACCAGTAAAATGAATCTTTTTTCATGTTGAGGCATGAACTGAACAATCGAACACTCGTAGTCTAAACAATTCTAAATCTGAAGTCAAAAGATTTGTTTCCATAAAACTCCTTCTATTTAAAGATGCTAATTAAACAAAAAATGTAGGAATTGTTGATTTCGATGTAAACAATTTTTGACAGGTGACGCGTTGTACAATCGAATCCCTTTTTAATGAGAAATTCCTTTTTTAATGAAAATAAAAATCGTGTCAGTTGAAAATTAAAGGAAAATTTTTCATTTCTTGATTGTTATGTTATTAATTTATCATTAAACTTTGATATAACAGAAGAGGGAGAATTAATTAATTGTTCTTATGTTGCCTTGCTTCGAGTGAAACTGAGAAAATTTCTTTGTCAACCGGAAATGCAGTTTTCTAATTTCCGTGAAATTCTCACGTTTCAGGCCCGTGGCTATTTTATCGTAAGCTGTTGAAATTATACGTGAGATTTCTTACAAATGCCTTTCCTGCTTTTGCACTTCTTATGTTTATAATAATCTCAAGTTTTATTGCTTTAAGCATCTCGTGAAGTTCAGAAGGAGGAAGAGAAACACGCGAATAAAAAAACTCATCAAATTATTCAATGGGACTCTTTGACGCTTAAAATCACTCAGACATGTGTTTTCCATATTTCGATGCTTAGGAATGAGAAAAATGAGAAAAAAATTGAAATCTAAACAAAAAATAATTTTCAAATGAAAAATCATTATTTTGAGCTTTTTGGCTGGGGATTATTTGAGGTTTGGAGGTGTCCGACGTCGAAATCTTCTTATTTAAGTGTTCAAGTTCGAGGTTCGGAACAATAATTCAAATTAATGCTCGACTGATGTTTCCTCAAACCGCAAAAGAATTTCTTCTTCTTTTCATGTTCGATTTTTTTCAGTTTTCCTCAATTTTCATTTTGTTTCCATGTTGTCTGAATAGCATATATGCTACTAAGTAGAATGGGAAAGAAATGGCAAGCCTTGATATAATTAACCAACGAGTATCAATAACTTATCATGAACCGCAGGTCAAACCAACAGACACTCCCTCAAATTCATTTCAAATTCCAGTCGAGAAAATCTTGTTATCATGAAAATGAGAAAACAAAGAAAGACAAAGAACGAAAGTTAATTGGTGAAATGATAAATAGTTTTAATAACAAAAGCCACGCAAGGTGGGGAGAGTTCGGCGATGGCCGAGGATTAACAATTTAACACAACAAAAATCGATTTACGGTTTTCCAATCTTTGTCTTTTAAGGTAAATGCTTCAATATACAATGATAATGAAAAGTCCGTAACTAAATAAATATCATAAAAATTGATTTTAGATAACATTTTTGTGAAAATGTTGTTCACAAGATTACGTCACTAATTTAACACATTTCCATTTCAATGTCATGATCTGCACGCCTTTTCAAGTTGACGACATGACATTAGAGACAAAATACTTTGCCTTTCAATCCTTTTTTGTGTTAACTTAATTCGTGGTTAATTTCACATGCGAATTTGCGGTTGAATTTTAGGTGTGGATTTATATTCGCTCTGATTTTTTTTGTTCGTCATAGATTATGGTTGGGTTCGCGGTGGTTAAAAACTTGTGTGTGTGAATCCTTTTTTTATATCGTGACATATTTTGGAAGTTAATTTTTTCCCACAATTTATGAATTCACATTTTCGTTTGAATGTCGCACATGTGTTAAATATGATTTCAAAAACCGTTGCAATTTCGTTTAATTTATCTTCACATTTTATGCTTGGTAATTAAAGTAATTAATTTATGAATATTTTGTTGACGGGTTTTATGCAGAACTTGAATTTACATAACAACATAATGATAGAGATTGAAAAACGTTTTTACTTTGCTTGATATCGATTTGTAATACTCCGTGAAACTCGAACTGATCGTGATTTCCTTTGGAGTTGAAGAAATAAAAATAATTTTTTTTTGTGATGTAAATCACATCTCAAGAGGTTGAAAATAATGAAATCTGAAATTCCAATATGAGAAAAGAAAACAAAAAATCTTAAGATGAAAATTGCTGTTTTAATATTTCTTCTGGATTGTTTTTCATTCTCTTTCATTCCTTTTGAGTTTTGCTTAGTGTCGGATGTTTTACATCTCTCAAACAAAACACGCAATGATCATCTCTTCTCAGCTCTTCTTCTAATGAAATATTTCTGCTAAGCATATAGAACTATGTAATTCAACATTAAGACCTCGTGTAACTATAGTTTCACTTAGAAAAAAAAATGTGTAAAAATAGCACTTTCGAAACATCGCAAATATGAAAGGAAAAAATCCGATAAGTCTTGCAATATAAGCATGTACATAAGAACCTTTTCTTGCTGTTTTTTTTTTATTTTTGTTGCTTCGAAAAATTTTCATTATATCGCGAATTTTCACACTTCATGTTTTAACAAAGATTCTAAGAATGAATTGTGGAACTTACCAAACTGATTCGTTACAACAGATAAAACCATTAATCCAATTAAAATTTTCATTTTGAAGTTAATTTCTTATGTTCTCCTAAGATGATCACTAATAAGAATTTGAGATGTCTTCAATATTTTTCAATAAATTTTAAATCAATAATTCGTTTCACTTGATTCGCCTTTCTTCTTTTTCTTATATCAATTCAAGCAGCAAAAATTTATGCTCAACAATTCTTCTTCTTTTTATTTCTTTAAAAACTTCCTATTTTATAAGAATCTTCTTTCACGATAAACACGAGCGCGATGCTTTCTGTTAGCTGTTCACTCATGTACTGACTTGATGAATGAAAAGGAAGGAAAAATATTTAAAGATACAAAAGTGGAAAGTGGAACAAAAGCTTTTTAACGAATTTTTTTAAACGAACCGGCGCGCTGTCAATGTCAAAAAGTATCAAATGTTAGCAACCTCTCTAAGTTTAATAAACAAAAATTTAAACTTGTAAAGTTCAACGAACTTTTATGAACATAGTAAAGCTCTTAATATTTTACCATCGAATCTAAAATTGAATATCAAAGACACCAGGCAGAGTTGGTGATTGTGCTATTCACAATAGGATTTCACACTTTTTCCGTATTTTTTTGTGTTTCCTCTTTTTGCAAATTTTGTTTAATTAAGCTCCAAATCGGTTTTAAAAAAAGGTCAAACATGGGAAAATTGTTCAAGCAAAACATCAGCTGTAGTCTTAAAATAATTCAATAATCATGAAAGGTAAGTTTTGATTGGTAACCTATTGTTAACAAAATATTTCATCTAAATATTTTTCTTTCCTATAGATATATAAGAAAGCATAATGAAATTTAAAAAAAATAGCATTAAAAAAGACAGAACTATATACATAAAGAATTCAATATCTTCCTACCTATTTGTTTTATTTTAAATTAACAAAAGATCATCAAAGCGTGAATTCTTCAAGTGGAGTAATACATAACTTTATTATTCCTAGAAAATTTTTATGACAAAAGGATTAGTTTTTTCCTTTAGGAAGATTTTTTATATATTCCTTCATATCCGCTATATCATCCAATATTTGTTTAGGCGCCATAACTACTTTACTAGTAGTGCCACAGACCTGACACCATATATGATTTTCTTTTAAATCTTCCTTCTTGGGGTCATTCATGATATTTAACCTTAAAATGTTTCGGAAAAATATATTCCTTTGATATAGATTTTTGATGTTTTCTAGATAAAAATGAATGTTTGTGTAGTAAATTTACATTTTTCAGGTAAGTTGAACTTACATGTAAGTTATTACTTATAGATGATGCAATTTAGTTAAGTTTAAGTGATGATAAATGAATTTTAACGAATTCCTGCACGCCTTGATTAGAATTTTTCACACAAGATGGATGCAAGTGCATTCAATTAAAACTGTTTACCTCTTATTAGTGTTTGTGTGATGATGAAAAAATTGTGCATGATGATAAAAATTTAAAAGTCGTTAAAAAATTGTTTGATAAGAAAATGGTAATTCCGAACTGGAACAAAATTCCTAATAAAAATGGAATCATCAACATTACAGAATATGCAAAAGAACACAAGAATTGAAGAATCAACCACAGTTATTAAAAATTTTATGGAAAAACTTCTTCACAAATGTGTTTCAGAGAATAATCAAACTGAGTATTATATTAAAATAGGAAACTTTAAGATTAAAACAATTTTTTAATTAATGAAATATTTCTATTATGACAGTGGAAAGGTTTTGTGAGACTGATATCCATAACTCATGGGAAAACAAAAACACTCTTGACTGCCTTGATTTGATACAAAAATCTGAGAATGAAAATCAAATTAAAAGCTCGGAATATGCTCTACCTCAAATAAACCTGAAATTAAGTTAAAAAAATTATTTTATGTAATAATTTCGAATTTCCCGCTGTATTATAAAACCGTCATTGAATCGTCATTAACAATCAATAATTTTCGCTAACCTCTCAAACTTGTACCTCTGAAACTTGACCAAAACGCGATAATTTCGTTAAGAAAAATAGGAATAAGTCAGGTTTAAATACCTATAAATAAATTAAATTGATTAAAAATGCAACAAAAGAAAGGAAGCTGGTTAAGTGTCTTCAAAAACATTTATCATGATGAATTTCAATGGTAAATATTGAGTGAAATTGATTTTTTTTAATAAATTTGAAATTTAATAAATTTTTATTTTCAGGTCACTCGTGAAATCAGTCGGTGCTTTTATTCTTGGAGTAAGAATAGCTAAAGAACTTGTAGGTCTTGAAGTAATGCCAGCAATTCAAGCATAAAATTAATCACCTTGAATATAAGATAAACGACATGATAATAAAAAGTTAGCATTTAAAAGTTACAACAAATATTTCCTCAATTCTTCTTCGGGTGATAAGACTTTTCATTTATTATGAAATCGTTTAAATCTAAACATTTATATAATTGTTTGTATCAAAAGAAAAAGGTTACCATGCGTGTTTAAGTGCATTAAATGTGAATTTTCAAATGTTCAGCTGTATTCGCTTTCCTGAAAGAATGCGAACAGATATCACAAGATATTTCGTCGTTCTCATCATCGTTATGTTTTGTTTTCTTGTGATTCTTCAAAGCCTTTGGTGATGTGTAAGTTCGTCCACAATCATCTTCGTCACAAATATATTCAGGTTCTGGTTGAACAGTTTCAATTTTTATGTGTTGTTGAAGACTTGCCGATCTGCGTTCTTTTCGATCAGTATGAATTTTTGTATGTTCCTTTAGTGCTTCAGGTGTTTTGAAGTTCATCGTACAGAATCCGCAATCTATAATAACATGTCATATTAACTTTAAATTAATAAACTTTTATTCATTTCCTTACCAAACGCAAGATAATCTTTGTGAGTTGCCTCGTGTTTGTCCCTGTTATCAGCTCTTGTCAAGACTTTTTCACAATATCTGCATGGAAAGCCTTTAACAGATGGTTTCTTAGGTGCAGCTGTAGCTTCAGTTTTAATAATGACTTTTGATGCTTGTTGTAACGGCATAAACTTCAGTTTCTTTGGAGGCGACGATTCACTATTGAATTCACCATTTCTCATATTTTCACGTTCCAGTTTTCGTTTTTGGTATTCCTTGAGATGTGAACCACGTTCATGTTTACTTCGATTACTGCTTGACTTGAAAGCGCTTGAACAAAATGCGCATGGGTATGGTCGCTCATCAGAATGTACTAATTAAAATGATTTTTTTTTATTTTTATTGTAATCAGAATAGCAAAAAGTTTATCTCACCTTTTTGATGATCTCTTAAGCTACTTCTTGATTTAAAACGGCTACTACATCCATCTTGTAGGCATTTAAAGATACGTTCGTCACCATCTCCACCTAACAAAATGGAGTTAATTACTGTTACGGTTGCTGGCATCTCTTCTTTCACAGCTACGACAACAGGGGCAGGTAAAGGCAAGTTTGTTTTTAACTTTTCGTCAGTTTTATTGAGCTGCTTCTCAGCATTTAAAGACTTCATTGCATTCCGCTCTAATGAGTGAATGCGACGTTCATGTTTCGACCGATTGCTGCTTGATTTGAAGGTTTGTTCACAAAAGTGACAAGGAAAAGGGCGCTCATTACTGTGAACTGAAATAAATTTGCTAATTATTATTTGACCTTCGTCGAATGATTAAAACACTTCAAACCTAGATAATGGTCTTTAAGGTTTTTCCTGGCTTTAAAACTGCTGACACAACCTTCTTGTGGACATTTGTAGGGCTTATCATCTCCTTTATGGATTTCCATGTGTTCTAAGCAAGTTTCTTTAGTTGGAAATTCTTCAAAACAATATCTGCATTTTGTATTATCACTAACATCCAACACACTGAGTGACACATTACCCAAACAAACTTCTGGTATGAGCAAGTCATTAAGATTTAAGGAATCGTCTTCATGAAGTGATTGATCCAGCAATGTATCAAGACATGCGAAGTCGTCGTCATTGTGATTCTCATTGACGTGATGATCATAAACATTTGCAAATATTTCCAAGCATCGTTTCTTAAAATTAAACGAAACTCGAAGCTCGTCGTGACATGATATACATATACCTTGTGTCTCGTCAGCCTGAAAATTAGTTTATCCAATTATTCTTTTCCTGAAATTTTCCACTTTTCAAAATAATTCTGAAAATTCACCTGAGATATCTCTAAACAACATACAAAGTTGAACATATCTAATGCATCACCTTCAAGGGATGCTTCTACAGTGTTCGTTTTTGTATTATTACATGCTATGCACCTTAAATTAGTCATTATTTTACAACTTTTCCAATATTTTGATTCATTTATTTTTACATGAATTGTTGTTGTAAAATTAATTCGCTAAGTTGCCACCAGTGTCGCGCAAATGAATTTCATTTGCGGGAAATTTGAATTTTATTAAAATCTTAAAAAATCTGTTTATGTTGATAAAATTAAAACTATGGAATTAAAGTTATCATTTTGCAGTCATTGATTGTTGTTTTCTGTCCTTAGTAATCAGAGTCTTATAAGATTTCTTTTAATAGCTTGAAAAATCTTATTAGATATTAACAACTTTTGAAAATTCAAATTAAATTCACCACACATTGATAATTTCCCCTCAAAATGAATCATTTTGATTAAATCATCGACACCCCCTTGAATCTTTTGTTTACACCCCCCTGAATGTTGATCGAAAATGCACAGGGTTTTTGTTTATGACGTCTCGAGATAATTGCCTCGTGCCCCGACGGTTCGCGCGGATTTGACCTTCCATACAAAAAACTGGTTTCCGTGTGGACAATTTTTTTCCGTGTGAACATTTCGATGACAGCGCCACCAACGATTAAAACATTGAATTCACCATGGAAATTTAAATTAATGAATTAATTTCTTTAGTTATTTTTTATAATTTTAAAGCATAATTAACTTTCAAATTATCATTTAAAATATTTGTAATGAAACGCCATTGATTTTAGTGCAATTGTCTGTTTAAAGTCATCAATGTTAAGTGTTTTTGTAGTGAAATTTTAAGATTTCTCGAAAGTGCCATTTAACAAAAAAAAATTAAAGAAATTTTCAAAACAAACAAATCATGAGTCGTGATGAAAGTTGCGATTGGTATCATGGAAAGATATCAAGAGTTGATGCTGAAAATATATTGCTAGAAGGTAATTTTGTCGAGCTTGCGAAATAATTTTTGTTTCACAATATTTTGTTTTGTTTGCTTTAGAGTCTCAGATTAGTAATGCCGATGGAATTTTCCTTGTTCGTGAGAGTTCATCAGCAGAAAAGAATTATGTATTATCAGTATATTATGACAGTCAGTTCTGGCATTATCAAATTCAACAACACGGTGAAGATGCTTTTTTCTCTATTGATGGTCAAATGCCGATTCATCATGGATTAGAAGATCTAATAGATTACTACAGAACAAGTGCAACAAATCTCTGCACAAAGCTCAAAAATTTTGTCAAGAAACATCCACCACCAATCGAAGCACGTCGTCATGGCAAGCACAATCTTCTTCACCGTGCAACGAAACACAATCATTTGGATGTTGTGAAAGAAATGTTAAAGACAAGCTACAGAAATCTCGATGCAAAGGACGAGTTTGGCATGACAGCCGTTCATTTAGCATGTAAGAATCGAGTCAACCCGGAAATTATGAAATTGCTAATTGAGCGAGGTGCAACCTTGACCAGTCGCGATTCATCCGGAAATACTCCATTACATGTAAGACATGATTGGTGTTGTTGAATATAAATGAATGATTAACGGTTTGTTTTTCACTCTTATCACTTAAAATAGTATGCCTGTGAAAATGAATGTTTAGAGATGGTGAAGCAATTGGTGTTCGCGAACAAAAACTTGATTCAGTCAAGAAATAGTGAGACAGGCTTAGTACCATTGCACTATGCAGCGAGAGTTGGAAATCTTGAAATTGTGAAATTCTTGTTATCTCATCGTGCTCCACACATGTCACGCACATCACTTGGACTTTTTCCTAAAGATTTCGCACCACGTGAAAGTGGAATTATCGAATATTTTAACGAATACAAACCTTTGATAAATACGTACAGAAATAAATGGGATCATGGAACGTTGGATCGGAAAGGAGCTTTTCAATTGTTGTTGGAGAAACGAGAAGAATTGTACGAGAAACTTCGTGAAGAATATCCTTTAGGAGAAAATCCATACGTCAACACGAGTAAGGAGAAAGATGAATTAATATCAGGACTTTTTTTAGTGCGACTTTCAGAACGTCACAATGGTTACGTCATTACGATGCTAGTTAATGATGACATTAAGAATTATCGTATCGAGAAAGATGTAAGTATTTACACATGATTGATATATTGATTTTGTTCACTAATGAGTGATTGGAAATGACAAGTCAATAAAAATTTTGTAATTTATTCATCACATTGTAGGGAAAACATTTGTACATTGATGATGGCCCTTACATGCAATCACTGGAACATCTTATCACTCATTACATGGAGTTTGCTGATGGTTTGCCTGTAACACTTCGTTATCCTGTTGAACCAAAGCCACGACCTCCAGTACCTCTCATCCCTCCAATTAAGCGCAAGTCACTTGATATCTCACCAACAAAATCAACCTTAAGCACAAGCCAAATAAACAACGAAAACATTCCAACCGAAAGTCCAAATAAATCAAAGTGGATGAATAGTTTGCCGAATATGTTCACGAGAAAGAAGAAACAAGGACGTGGGTCGTTGAAGGAAGGAAAGCCTGGACCTGATAATTTAGCTGTTATAAATAGCTTTAAAGATCTCTCTTTCTCCACGGATATGCTTGCAAGTGAATTAAATCGAGATTCTTACGATGTGCCGCCTTCAAAGAAGTCTCTTGACCCAGCTGATTATTTTACAGAAAGTGACAAAAATCTGGGACGACAATCGCCAATGAAAGATAATTGCGTTGAAGAAATTTATTTTGTTGATCCACCACCAATAGAAATGGAAAAGCCCGAATGGAGTCAACTTGATGTTGAACTTTACGACACACAAAAGAATTTAATGAAGGAAGTTAACAAAACAACGGGAACAAATTATTATGTGTCAATGAATGATCTGAGACTAGAACAAGAAATTGGAAGCGGAGAGTTTGGAAATGTTTTACGTGGCATTCTTCGTGTTGATGGAAAGAAAATTTATGTGGCAGTTAAGACACTTCATAAGGAACATTATCAAGAGAATTTGTCAGAATTTCTACGAGAAGCTTCGGTGATGATTAAACTTGACAATCCTTACATTGTTAAATTAATTGGAATAACAAAAGGTCCACCACTTGGTCTTGTTCAAGAGCTTTTACCATTGGGATCACTGGCAACATATCTCGTTGAAAACGCTCAAGACATTGAAGTCAAAGATATTAATTTATGGGCATCACAAATAGCTCAAGGCATGGAATATTTAGAGTCGAAGAGATTTGTTCATCGAGATCTTGCCGCGAGGTAATTAATTAAAATATTCATCGTTAAATGTCACAAACATGTCGTAAACAAATTGCAATTTGGTTCGTTTTCAGAAATATTCTCTTAGTAACAAAGACACATTCGAAGATTAGCGACTTTGGATTGTCACGAGCGATTGGAATCGACAAAGATTTTTATCAATCGAGTACAGGTGGCAGATGGTAATTAACATTTCATTATTTACGATTAATTTACTACTTAATTAATTATTTATAAAGGCCGCTTAAATGGTATGCGCCGGAAAACTTTTTTGGAACATTTTCTCATGCGAGTGATGTTTGGAGCTTTGGAATAACTCTTTGGGAAATTTATTCGAAAGGTCAGTCGCCCTATGGTGACTTATCGGGATCAGAGGTGATGATTTCTATTAAATTTCTTGAAATCTAATTTATTTAATTTAAATATGAATTATGAAAAGGTGAATGAACTAATCGAGAAAGGGCAGCGTCTAGCCAAACCGGAACAATGTCCAGACGACATCTATAAAATTATGACCGACTGCTGGCAGTATCGTGATCGTATGAGACCCAACTTTCAATTTCTCGCTCGATTCTTCATTAACAGTCTTTCGACGCCTGAAAACATCAATGAAGAAGTAAACGAGAATGAAGAAAATGAGAAGCATTCAAACACTGTTTACGTATAAAGCACAAGCAATTTTATTTCTATTTTATTTCTGTATTATTACGTTTTAGATAAAAATATTTACGAGTAAATGAAATAAATTTTATTTTTTTATAAATGAAATCATGAATTGTTAATAGCGGAAGATATTTATTATATAAATATGTAGTTCGTGTCATAAATTTATTTAATTTTTCTTGTTTTTCTCACTGTGTCATTGCAACTGTTACATACAGATCGAAATCTTATTTATGCAGTGTAAAGAAGCCGAAGATGATGTGATCTTCGTGGATGTCGAAATTATGTAACTTTCTGGAAAATCAACATCTCATTGCTTTTATAATTCATTTCCTTTAAATAGGTATTACAGCATTATTGATTCCAAGATTGTGAGTAACGTGATTGAATCTTCTTTAATTTATATGTTGGTAATTTCAATTTTTTTATCGATACATCTGCTTGTGGAATAATTTTTAAAGTGTGCTGAACATTCTATTGACAAAATTAAACAAGACGCAAAAGTTTAATCATCCTCCACTGCATGAAGAAACAGAACTTTTATATTCCAAAAGCGTGTGTTTAATTTATTGTGACAAAAATGTTCAAATAATGACAGCTACACACCTCTACTTTAAGTATCTGATAGCAACCACCGACTTTTCAGAAAAAGTAAACAATGTGATATTGAAACTGAATGTGGATTCTACATGACTGACTCAAGGGAAACAGAAATTTTATAATATTAAACTTGGAGCCTTGTGGCTTAAAAGTTCCTTGTCGATTTTAAAGTTTGATTAAATATTTTGTCAGTAACATTTATGGCATGAAATTTGAGATTTCATATTCCAAGATTCACGCTAGAATACTTATTATGATAAGAAGTTAGTATTTACAGTGAACTCTCGTTATAATTACCTCTCGTTACAATTTTTCTCTCGTTATACCTAATTCCTTTTTTTCCGGTCCCTTCGAAAAAATTATAACGAGAGTTCACTGTAATTGAATAGCAATATGCATTAAATGACACTTGAATGTATGTGCTTGTGTGACATAAACAACTGAAGTTGATGCTCAATTCTTAACAATTCTTGTTTAATGCTTTTTATATTTCATTATCAATAATTCCAGAATTCTGTATACCAGCAGAACCAAGGATGGACATTTTCGAACGCTGATTTTATAATTTTTGTAATGTCAGGGATTTATTCATACACATAAAATATTTTTTTAATGTCAAAAGGATATTTTCTTTGTGTCGGGGCTATTTGTCGTACTTGTGTCACATATCGCTTTTGTTCTGGTGTACATTTTGTACAAGTTAGAACTCCGGGATGACCATGGGAAAAAGTTAACATTGTTCAGGTACTTCAATCTTTACACAGAAAGCGTGAAAATAAATTACCTACTAGAATAAGTTGAATAAAAAAACGGAATTGATGAGTTGCTAATACTTCGTTTTCATTAAAAATTGGCACAAGTTGATCGACTCTTTTTATTTTCCGCAAACATCAAGCAAAAGCACCTAAATAAATATGACGCATTTTGACAGACGATAAAGTTTTAATTCATGCACTTGGCAATAAGAAAATGCATATTCGGAAGAAAGTATTATTTTGTTCTGAGGCTTTCATATGTATTTCAAACAGAATCCTCTGAGTATTTAGTCTTATTACAAGCTGTTTGACTCTAATAACGCTTTAAAGGCTCAATAATCCAAAGCTCCAACATTTTAAAAATGAATTTTAAGTTTCTTATTCTTGTATTTGCAGCACTTTTTGCTTGTGGTAAGTTAACAATAAAATATTTGAAGCTAAAATAGTTCATCGCAAGCATGGATTTAAAATTTTCCAGCGAGCAGCGCAATAATCACGAAATGTGTGCCAGGTAAGCAATTCTGTTCATTTGCATTTTTCATTTAAATTACCTTTAAATGTTTTCTTTCTTAATTGAAACTTTTCAGAAATTTGTTCGTTGCCAAAGAAAACTGGGCCTTGTAGGGGTGTTTTTCGTCGCTGGTATTACAATGCTCAAGCTAAGGAATGCCAAGCCTTCATTTACGCTGGATGTTATGGAAATTCAAATAATTTCTTAAGTGAAGAAGAATGTCTTAGTACATGTGGTTAATTTCAATTAGGTAATTTTAATGTCATCTATCGAAAAAAAATAAAATAAAAGTTTATTCGGTTCATATGGAGATTTTTAGATAAATTTCAGGACTTTTTCTACCTATTTGTTGGCTTCTTATTTCATAACAATTTTAGAGCCACCTATAAAAGTTACAAAAAGTGATCAAAATAATTATGTTTAGATACTTCAATCATTTCACAGAAAGCGAGGAAATAAATTACTAAAATAAATTAATCGAAAAAATGGAATTGATGATTATTTTTCAGTAAAATTTGACACGAGTTGATCGATTCTTTCAGTTTTTACAAACATCAAACAAAAGCACCTAAATAAATATGACGCATTTCAACTGATGATAAATAATTTTTGATACCTTTAATTTAAGCACTTGACAATGAAAAAATTCATGTGCAGAAAAAATATTATTTTGTTTTGAGACTTGATCACCTGAGTATTAGTTTTATCAGAGTATTACAAGCCGTGTGACTCTAAAGACGCTTTAATATAATCAAGAGCTCCAAAAGTTTTAAAAATGAATTTAAAATTTCTTATTCTTGTATTTGCAGCACTTTTTGCTTGTGGTAAGTTAACAATAAAATATTTGAAGCTAAAACAGTTAAATGGAAGCAAGAATTTAAAATTTTCCAGCAAGCAGCGCAAAGATCAGGAGATGTGTGCCAGGTAAGCAATTTAGTTCCCATTAGTCAAATGTTTTTAGATGTGATAAGTCATGTGTTTAAATATTATTAATTGACTAAATTTTATGAATTTGACAAAAATTTTAATTTCTTAATCCCTGAAGATGAATTAAAACAAATTCAAAACTGGTCGGAAGAAACAGCAAAAAATCGCTTTGTTTTTCATTTATAAATTCTGATTAAGCCACTTATACGATCTTCAATTTAGTTGATTTATTTTTCCATTTAAATAATCTTAATTTTTTTCGTTTGTACAGGATATTGTACGTTGCCATCTGAAATGGGACCATGTAAGGCTGCTCTTCTTCGCTGGTACTTTGATGTTGAAACTAAGACATGTCAAACCTTTAGTTGGGGTGGATGTGGTGGAAATTCAAATAAATTCTTAAGTGAAGAAGAATGTCTAAGTACATGTTAATTTCAATTATTTTTAATGTCATCTACCGAAAAAAATATTGAATAAAAATTTATTCCGTTCATATGGAGATTCTTGGACGAATTTTAGAACTTTTTCTACCAGTGTGTTAGCTTCTAGATTCATTCCAATTTTACAGCCATCTTAAAAAGCTGCAAAAAGTGATCAATCTAATCATGTTTAGATGCTTCAATCATTTAACCTTAAGCGAGGAAATAAATTACATACTAGGATAAGTTGAATAAAAAACAGAATTGATGAGTTGCTAATATTTCTTTTTCAGTAAAAATTGACACGTGTTGATCGACTTTTTAAGTTTTCACAAACATCAAGCAAATGCACCTAAGTAAATATCTATGACATATTTTGACTGACGATAAAGTTTTAATTTATGCACTTGGCAATAAGAAAATGCATATTCGGAAGAAAGTATTATTTTGTTCTCTCATATATATTACAGACAGGATCACCTGAGTGTTTAGTCTTATCAAAATATTACAAGCTGTTTGACTCTAATAACGCTTTAAATATAAAGGCTCAATAATCCAAACGTCCAAAATTTTTAAAAATGAATTTAAAGTTTCTTATTCTTGTATTTGCAGCACTTTTTGCTTGTGGTAAGTTAAAATAAAATATTTGAAGCTAAAACAGTTCAATGGAAGCAAGAATTTAAAATTTTCCAGCAAGCAGCGCAATGATCAGGAGATGTGTACCAGGTAAACAATTTTATTCATTTACATTTTTCCATTTAAATTTCCATTAAATGTTTTTTTGTACTTGAAACTTTTCAGAAATTTGTACGTTGCCAAGCGAAACAGGTGATTGTAGAGCTGTTATTCTTCGCTGGTATTACAATGCTCAAGCTAAGGAATGCCAAGGTTTCGTCTGGGGCGGATGTGGTGGAAATGCAAATAAATTCTTAAATGAAGTAGAATGTCTTAGAACGTGTGGTTAATTTCAATTAATTTTTAATGTCATTTGCCAAAAAAAAAATTGAATAAAAGTTTATTACTTTCATATGGAGATTCTTGGATAAATTTCAGGACTTTTTCTACCAATTTGTTGGCTTCTCATTTCATTCCAATTTCAGAGCCACATAAAAGAATTGCATAAATTAATCAAATTAATTAAGTTTAGATATTTCAGTCATTTCACTTAAAGCAAGGAAAGAAATAAGCAGATCAATAAGAATTAATACAGTGTTTTAGTAAAGATTGACACGATTAAGTGTGTTCTTAACATCAAGCAAAAGCACCTAAATAAATATGACGTATTTTGACTGATATGAAACTTAATTTAAGCACTTGGCAATGAGAAATTTCATGTATAGAAAAAATATTCTTTTGTATTCAGGCTTGATCTTATGAGTGGTAGTTTTATCAGAGTATTGCAAGCTGTGTGACTTTTAAGACGCTTTAGTATTCAAAAGCTCCAAAATTGCAAAAATGAATTTTAAGCTTATTGTACTTGTACTTGTACTTGCGGTACCTTTTGCTAGTGGTAAGTTAACAATAAAACAATTAATAATAATTCAATTCAAGCTAAAACTTAAAATTTTTCAGCATGCAGCTGCATGGGGGGATTTGTACCAAGTAATCATTTTAATTGATTTAATTTTTCTATTTAGAATTTCAAAATGTTTTGTTTCGCATTTAAAACTTTTTAGGATATTGTGCGATGCCATCTGCAATAGGTCGTTGTAAATCTGCTTATTCTCGCTGGTACTTTGATGCTCAAACTAAACATTGCCGACCCTTCAATTACAGTGGATGTGGTGGAAACCCAAATAATTTCCCAACTGAAGAAGATTGTGTTAAAACATGCGGTTAGATAATTTCAAATATTTTTTACTGTCGTTCACCAAAAAATTAAAAAATCTAATTAAAATTATTTATTGAAACTTTTTAGGATTTTGTTCGTTGTCATATGAAGTTGGAAAATGTCAGGCTACTTTTACTCGCTGGTATTATAATGCTAAAGATAAAAAATGTCACACCTTCACTTACGGCGGATGTGGTGGCAATTCAAATAATTTCCAGAATGAAGCAGATTGTATGAAAATATGTGGTGAATATTAAATATTTTTTTATTGTCATACACCAAAAATCTTGCCAGAAATAAAGGAAATTAATAAAAGTTTATTAATCTGGAAAATTTTTAAGAGATTTCATTACTTTTTTGTGCTGCCAGTTTGTTGGCTTCTAATCTCATCATAATTTCATTCCAGTTTCAAAGCATAAAAAAGATTTCTGCAGGTATAGCAAATAATCGATTAAATTCAAATGTCCTTGTAAATTTATTTATGATTACGTCTTAACTTTTCGTTTACAGAACTCAAAAACAACGACACTTGTTTTTAATCACTTTTGATAGCAAATGTTTGATTAAAATAATGACTAAATTTTAAATAAATAATTGGAGATGGGGAAGCTCCACATGGGGAGCTTCAAATTATGCTAACGCATAATTTTAAGTTACTCCGGCCGGTGTGGAGTTTCAAAATATGGTGGACCTCCTCACTCCACGGACCTTCCCAATAAAATATCATAAGAATTATTGAAAAAAAACTCTCTCTCTCTCACTTTTTCTCACTCTCACTCTCTCTCTCTCACTTTCTCTCTCACTCTCTCTCTCACTCTCTCACTCTCTCACTCTCTATCTCACTCTCTCACACACTCTCTCTCTCACACTCTCTCTCCTGTCACCACCACCTGTCACCACCTGTCACCACCTGTCATTATCACCTGTCACCACCTGTCACCACCTGTCACCACCTGTCACCACCACCTGTCACCACCTGTCCATGGACCTTCCGACTGTCCATGGACCTTCCGACTGTCCATGGACCTTCCGACTGTCCATGGACCTTCCGACTGTCCATGGACCTTCCGACTGTACATGGACCTTCCGACTGTCCATGGACCTTCCGACTGTCCTTGGTCTTCCACTCACTCTCCCACACGCGCACCGATCGTCCTATTCAAAAGAATTCTCGGAAATACTCTAGAAAGAATTCTCAGAAAAATTCCTGATAAGAATTCTCAGAAAAATTCCTGATAAGAATTCTCAGAAAAGTTAACAAAAAAAAAGTTACAGACAGACAGACAGACAGACAGACAGACAGACAGNAAGTACAGAAACTGTATCGAATTCATTTGCAGTCAGGTCCTGTAACAGTTGAGAACTTTGCGCATATAAAAAAAGTTTTAGAATGATTTTCAAATTTATTTTGAATTAGAATGAAAACAAAGCAAAATTGATGACACTTTTTTAATTAAAATTGAAACGATCAAGTATATTCCTCGCATGAAACAAAAGCACCTAAATAAATATGACGTATTTTGACTGACAATATTTTTTTTAATTCAAGCACTTGGGAATAATTTTGATCATGGGTTTGATCATATGTAAGAGTATCTAGTATTATCAGAGTGTTACAAGCTGTGTGACTTTTTAGACGCTTTGCTATTCAAAAGCTCCAAAAAAATTCAAAATGAATTTTAAGTTTCTTGTTCTTGTATTTGCGGCACTTTTTGTTCGTGGTAAGTAGATAAATAAAAGATTTGAAGGTAGAATAATTCAATGCAAGAAAAACTAAAAAATTTCCAGTAAAACTTGAGAAAAAAGGTAGAGTTGTACCAAGTAAGTATTTTATTTGATTTAATTTTCCTTTTAGAATTTATAAATATTTTGTTTTGTTATTGAAACTTCTCAGAATTTTGTAAATTGGCATCTGAAATGGGACCATGTGAGGCTGCTTTTACTCGCTGGTACTTTGATGTTAAAACTAAGAAATGTCAAACCTTTACTTGGGGTGGATGTGGGGGAAATCCAAATAACTTCCAAAGTGAAGTTGAATGTCTTACTACGTGTAGTGGATTGGGATTCTGTGCGTTGCCATCTGACGGGGGACCATGTAAGGCTTTTTATTCCCGCTGGTATTATAATGCTCAAGATAATGAATGTCAAACCTTTACTTGGGGTGGTTGTATGGGAAATTTAAATAATTTCCAAAGTGAAACACATTGTAATAAAGCATGTGGTGAATTTTAAATATTGTTTTTAATATCATACACCAAAAGCAAAGAAAAATTAATAAAAATTTATTACTTAATTTGAAAAGTATTCAAGAGAGTTTTTGCTACTAATTTATTTATTAAAGTTTCATTCCAATTTTACAGAAATATTCAAAAAAAAGTCATCAAAAATATTTAAGTAAAACTTCAATTTCCACGTAAATATGTTTATGATGACGTCTTAACTTTTCGTTTTCAGAATTCAAAAACAACGACACTTGTTTTTAATCATCCTTCATAGCAGATGTTTGATAAAAATAGCGATTGAACTTCAAATAAATACCTATTTCAGAAAACATAAACTGTACTGAACTCATGAAAATTGTAAAATATAAAAACTGGAAAAGAATAAATTCATAAAAGCTTATACGAATTTAACAATTGGATTACTCTAAAGTTCTTCAATTCGTGTGGTAATTATTATGTTCTTATAAGACCATGGAACAATAACATTCCGAACATTAATTAGGTGTTGTATCGTGACAAACCAACTGTTTCAATACGAAGCTTGTAAAAACATTTCGTATAAGAAAAACTTTAATTTCTATCACAACTTCTTCTTCTTTTCTTCAAAACAACTTCAAAACAATTTCAAGAATATTCTTTCAATGAATAAACACTTTATTCCAATCACTTATGAATTTTCATCTAATTCATGGTTAGTTGCCCGCAGGAATCAGGATTAAATATTCTGAAGGTAAATGAGTTCTATAGAGGCAGATTTTGGAAATTTTATTCTCGAAAATGTAAGATTTGTCAAAAAGATTTGCAAAGATGGCATCAATACGGAAACTAGGTGAAAAGCAAAGAACTTCGTTATTAACTTATTACATAATACTTTCATAAACTAACATGTTTCTAGATGCTTACTTTAAACTGTCCATAAAAATGTCTAAATCTTTTTATTTGTTCATTTTTCACTTTTATACTCGTTGAAATGCTTTTCTGATTATTATTATCGTTGATAATGAATATTTTTATATTTACATGGTTTAATTTAAAATACATAAAATTACTTCGGAACGCGACTGCTTTTATTTTCTTTCGATGGAAAACAATCTTTTTATTTCCTTTTCGCTGTTTCCATTACATTACATAAGTAAAAGTTGGGAATTTCTTGATTAAAACAAGTTTTCTTTGGCGTAGACCGATCGCAATGTTTATTGATGAAAGTCGATATCAGAAATAATGCCATTTTTAAGAAGAACTAAATAATTTTGATTATCGAAGTTTATGCGGTAATAAACGAAAACAATCAAATTATTGAATTTAATGCAACAAAGTTACTATCTAGAAACGTACTTTATTTAGCGAAAGGTGTAAACAACACGTTGTTAAGTCATCGAATTGTTGATGATTGTAAGACATTTAAAATGACTCACATAGCGTTCGCAACTAACAAGTCATACCCATCTCCACATTTTCTCAGTGAAAGTTTCCATGCTGGAAAACTTGTTTTGCATGACCATTTCTTCTCGTTGTTCACGCATTATCTTGCACAAAAACATTACTTCATTGGCTGCTCTGAAAATGTTTGAGGAAGCAGGCTCGACATTTATTTCTGTATCTTAAAGCTTTGTACACTTACATGAAAATTGTCAGACATTGCCCAGCAGTTAATAAGTAAACATCGGTAAAGCAAAGAAACAAAATAAAGAGTGAACATAAGTTTTGTGGAAAAATATTTTCTTCAACGAATTGTGATAAATGAAAAACGAATAAAAAATGATTAGGATTATAATTGTGAGTTTAAAGTTTCATAAAGTTTATTATTATGTGAATGAAAATTATTTATCTGACGATGAAATAACAAACAATTTGCGAAGTGTTATGTCTTAATATATGAAATTATGCACAAAAAAAAAGAATTTGCAAGTAATAATTGAAAGTAATTTTCTTTCCAGGCAACAATTGTGCTGTTAAGTTTACAAGAATTTAGCAAAGCAACTCGTGATGTCGATCTCCAAGGACTTATACAGAATCGTCGGTCTTTTTTAAATTATGCAGAAGAGGTTTGTCTTATTCAATATTGTAATTGTGATTTTTTGCTACTGTTTACGATCATTTTATTTGCTTGTGCAAATAAATTTTATTACAAACTAAACCAAGCCTTAAATTCCCTCATCATTTTTATTAAACTTTGCTCAAATGGAATTTATTTCATATTTCTTAGGGTAAACTAGAAGCTTATCTTTCATCTTTTGGATCATCTCCCAACCAGTCTGAAATTCACGAAATTTTCAAACGATCGCCAAAACGAAAAGTGAGAAAAGCGAAAAAAGGTTCAACGACAACAACAACAGAATCTCCAGTTGTAGTTGAAATTCCAATGAAAAGGTTAAAATCGAAGAAGAATGGAAAGAACGTCGATCAGTCCCAAAGAGTTACTTTTAA